TATTTAAAATTTTCAAAAAGACGGCTTGTTAAACGTGTAGGTAATTAAAATTAAAATGTAACAATGCTTAATGAATTTAAACGATATTTAAAACGTACGAAATCACCGGTTCTTTGTTAATTAACACCTCTTGATTCTTGGTGACGATTTCTTCATTCATCTTGAATGCTGTCGTGCCAAGAATCGTGTTTGGTTACCAGGGAAACAGGACCTTTTGATCGCGGATACAAGGAACGGCCTACATGAATTTATAGGGGGACTTCGCTGAAATTATATTCCATGAATACCACGAGTTATTTATAAAAGGAATGTTAAAATGTTTACTCGAGGAAGTGAGATAGTAAATCTAGTTATTTTTAAATTACAGTATCGATGTTAGATATTTTTGTTCAGTTTGGTAATAAAAGTCAACAATTAGAATGGAATGTTTAATAATAAAACTATATAGTTTGTAGAATAAAGACAACAAATACTTAGGTTACACCCAATACAATAAAAATATAGGTATCCATTGAATTTTATGATTATATTATGAATTCAAATGTCGCATGTCACACGTCCGTAATAAAAATACTTTTGTCAAATTCAATTTACATCAACCATAGATAATATTATGCAGCTTTTAATGCAAAATGATGTTCAAATAAGCATCACAATCAATTAGCATATTTAAAAAAAAAAACAAGAAAAAAGTGATGTCATCTTAAACCATCCTAGACTAATTTTATGCTAGCTCGGCACGCGTCGATAAAATCTAGATTTACCAGATCTCTCAGTCTAAGCTGTGTCTCGTTTGTACCTAGAATTACCAGGAGAGCATAGAGTACAAGGAGACTTGTAAGCACTAGGTTTACTTTCAATACCTACACACACATACGAGTATACCAACTGGATTTTCAACAAGCTGTCTCGGGATTTGGTGCGGAATTTAAACATAATTTTTATGCTTATATTTTGAACCTTTGTCTACTAATTAATAAGTTATACATTATTATAATGACTGTATTTATAAGTAATTAAATGATGTGTGTGTTGAATTAAGTACATTACTATTATGCAATAAGTCTCTCCTGGGCCCTTTTCGAGACGTGCTTGCAAAACTTATGACCGGAAGATTGTTTTGTAGTTTGACACATCGATTGCCGATTGAATTGAATAACATAAATGTAATTTATTTTTATTTAAATTATATGTCACTTAACTTGAATATCATTATAATAACGTAAAAGCTACCTAAAATAAACCTATTAAAAGGGCTAAAGAAAGCTAATTCGATTCAAAATAGAATAATTTTAATTCGAATGTTACCTAATACACTTAACATTCGCGTCATCATTTTTTAATATTTGACTAAAGGTGAATCAATAAATGAATACTTAAGTACTTACACCTTAACTATATTAAAATATTTACTCATTAAAATAATATTCTGTGCGAGAGCAACGCGCTGCGCTACAATCCTAGTATTTTTCTAACCGCTAATATACTACTTAGTACTACAAAATGGAGTGCTTCGTCTGTGTAGATCCTAACTTTAAGTAAAATTAACTAGTTTACCAAATATGTATATCTATTTTCGTACCTAAATATGTACTTACGATGTAAATGGTTGTATCAATAGCAACTGACACAATTTGACCTGAAACCCGTCAACCATATTGGCTATTCAATGCTTTATGATGGAACATTGTCTTTCTACAACTGTGCGGTATTTTGGTACCTAAAGAATAGGTCTAGGTATTCTAGGTAGCAATGCTATTATTTGTTACATGACTGCCCAAAAATAGGGTTAGGAAAGTTCATGTACAAAATGTTTGCGAGTTCATTTTTATTGTATTTAGTTAAGGTATGTATTTATATATTTATACTATTCTCCATCACACGGATATTCTAGAATATAATAGTTAATCTCATCTAAACTGATTTTTTCGTCACAATTTATACTATTACATAACATAACATCACGCCTTTTATCCTCGAAGGGGTAGGTATACAATTCTAAAGCTGTAATATAATTCAAATTCATGAACAATGAATTCATGATGTCAGAAAATTTGACACATAAACACTCAGTTCCAATTTCTTACATTAAACCACATGTGAGACTATACAATGAAAGGAATACACGGAGATCAGTAACACAGAGGAATCAACAAAATTTACATTCACACACAGTGCACCTATCTAATATTTAATATCAATAACATCACACAGCGGCGGAACTCAATCACAAGGAACAATACATTTCTTCACCCATCTTCTGAGCTCCTAATACTTCTAAGCTCTCATTGTTCGAAGATATAATATCAAAGATATACACAGTCTTCCTTAAACACAAAGACCTTAAAGAAATATTACCAAACGGGACATAACAACAAAAACAAATAAACCAGAACTGAAAGCGAAATTTCAAAGAATCGCGTACGCAATCCTATCGCTACTGTTTGCAAAAACTTAAAATTGTCGTTAAAGGAAATTAAACTCTATTATAGGTGTACGAGTGCTGCTATTACATTGTAATGAAAAGAAAGGCTTTTCTGCCGTTATCTAAATCTTCTAAGACTTTAATTATACGGGCCCTGTTCACTGTTGCCACAAAACCGACAATGAATTTATGCATGAAGGCCTGGATTCTCTTTCGAATTTCTCTCTCGAATCGGCGGGTTCTTATATAAAAAGAACAATGGTCTTTAGTTTTAATCTTAAAGACTTTTTTTAACTTTTTGTACGGAATCGGGTTCGTGTGAAGCTGGATTTACGACTTATGAGGGGCATGTTAGGGTTGTCCATGTACCCAAGCCACAGATAACACACAGGTACTAAAAATCCTTTGAGGTGTTATCAGGTGTGAGACGAAATGGCTTCATTATGATTATGATTTGATGATGCTATAAAAGGTGATAATCTGATTCGAGGAATTTAAATTAGTGGCATGACATACAGTTTCGAACCACAGAGGGATTCTACCACCACAGAGCTTACAGTAGGCTGTGCGACATCGCCGCGACCGTGCACGCTGCTCATGAGGGAGAACCCCTCTGTGGTTCGAAACTAGTAGAGCTTTTCTCAATATATTCACGTGAGTAACCCGCGATTTTTAGTTAATTTAGTATGTCTCACGATAGTTATTATGAAAATTTGACATACATTTTTGGCGGACGAAATTAAATGAAGCACTTAGGTTATGACCAAAGGATTTATTACCTAACTAGCTGTTGTCCGCGAATTCGGCCGCGAAGAATATGAATTTTAGAACATAATTTTTTGATTCTTTCTTCCAAGTAAAAGTAGCCTAAAATCGGTCCAGCCATTCCAGAGATTAGCCAGTACAAACAGACAGACAGACAAAAATGGTAAAGAAATGTAATTTCGGTTTAATTAAGAAAAAATGTAATGTGTAGTGCAGGTATCGTATGTACCTATATTCATATGCATGTAGTAAACACCCATTATTTTAATATTACAAACATACAATCCTATTTTATTTATCTGTTTAAATACAATTTAAATAAATAAAGAGGAACAAGAAAGGAATTGAATAGACTTAGAAATTAGCTTCGTAACTTCAGTAACTTGGTTAGAGTTAGTCTTGGCTAATTGGTAACCAGCTAAATATATTACAGGCAAGGCAATACATACCCAGCAGTCTAAGTAACAATTGTACCGTTAAATACATACTTATATGGGGTCATTCAAAATAATTTGAAGCTTATCCCCGTATATAAATTAATGTGATCATAAAACTTCAGTTTTTAAAGTATTTTAAACAACAATTAAACTATATTTGTATTGTAACTTTCGTGAGACGTACTAAATAAATTATTATGTTTTCGGCTTACTCACGTAGTAATTTGACGAGGAACTCGACTAGTTTCAAGCCATGCTAGAGGCTCATATTCATGAGCAGCATTTCGCGACAAATTACCTACTACGTGAGTAAGACGAAAACATAATAATTTATTTAACAATTAAATTTTTCAAATAAATTCGTATCGAGGTATCACACGAATTGTAAGTGTTTCTTTTTATAAATTCAAAAAAAACTTCCGTTACTTTTTTTTCTAGTCATATTTGAATTGGTTTCAAAACTTTTTTGTTTTTCTGACCACATGTGGTGACCCTAAGCCCATTGGTCCTTTGGTCCCGTCAGACAAGACATGAACACTGCGCACGATTCTCAATCGAACGAAACGTAAGTACTTTGCGTACGCGCATCAAACTCGATCACGCAATTTGGTAAACCCGCATTTTTACAATGCAATTATTTTAAACGCTTATAATTCCGTCTGGTTAACACCGTAAATCTGTACGAAACTGTTCGAAATCATATTCTTTTAATTTCGTTGATATGTATTTGAATTGTATTAGAAAAAAAAAATAGCAAATTTAATTTCAAGGAATTCCTATCATACTAGACATAATGTGATAAAAAAGGCTGAATGTTTATAACAAATGTTCTCAATTTAATGAAATATATAAAACATCGTTCGACGCCTGTTCGAGTATTACACGCAACAAACAACAGCTTAGATACTTCTGGTATAGAATAAATTGACATAAAGCCGGCCGGCATAATTGGAACTTGAAATAAAACTAATATTTTGAGAAGTAAACTTTGGTTAAATAAATAAGAAACAATAATTTTAAGTTGAGTATCGTGCTAGTGGACTATGACATGTATTGTCTAATGTTTCAAATATAAATTGAAAATTGTAAGTACAAACATTTTACTGATTAACAATAAATTGAAAAACAATATTGTTTATTTCAACGCAAGTGTAAGTATTATTTGAGTCTACAAGAATAAAAAAAAAATCAATTCGAATTAGATTTGATTCTGTGTATTTTTCAAATTAGGAATATTAACGAAATAATATTAGGTGGTATTACTTTACGTAAATCTGAAATTCACAAATTAGGTATTGATGCTTGCAGAAGGATATTGACCGACAAAAATTTGGAAATAAAATTAAAAAAAAACACTTAAATACTAATCCTACCTGAAGTTATAAGCCGTCATCTTTACGCGACCATGCCAACAACTCTCCTAGTTATTGTAACAACACTAAACAACACCACAGTACAGTACAAGCACAAGAAAAAAAAAATTGGAAAACAAAGATTTAAAAAATTAAATATTTTGAATGTCCCGCCGAATGCGCGCTCTTGCGCATGCGCGCCGACAGTGAAGTAGACCCCACTGATGTGCGTGTGACGCAGCCTCCGGCGACCGGAGTATCTGTCGGGTCGGGCGGCGCGCGCGCATCCCGCTACCCCCACCACGCCCGCCATTCATGAAAACGCTCAATGAAGCTTCGAACTAAAGCTCCAAGATTTAGCTTTGCCCTTTCAAGTAAAACAATGGAATGCTTTGCAAATAATGAGGATTTTTTCTTGTTTGTTAGCTTTTTTGTAAACCGGGGACAACAATATGTCTTACACATGTTTTGTTAGGTACTTATTATGTGGTGCCATTAATAGAGATTGCCACAATAATTACATTAGCAGTTTAAATTTATATTTGGCCATAAGCTTACGTTAATATAAATTCGTCATTTCAATAAAGGACTTCCCCATGCTTAATATTATAATATTAAAATTTTAATACTGAAAAGAATTTATAGTTATGAATTTGTTTTTTTTTACATTAATGCGTAAGTACGTTTTCTACTTAACTTCAAGATGTGAACAAAAGGCGATTCCTTTCAGAACCTCCTCGAAATTTCAGTACTTAAATACTGAAATCACGTGGTTCTCAAATAGATACAGGCCTCCACGACCTCCCCACGTGTCATAGAATATTTTTTGGCAAAATTTCGCAACATCATCTATCCTTATCTAGGATAGTCGTAGCGCGGAAGCATATAACAATCGGTTTGCGCAACACATATATACGTAGCGGATGTACATGCGCGTGGGGGCTTATCACATCCGTGCATGCCAGCGAGATCGCAGTACTGGACTACTGGTACTTCTTTTTATTAAATCCATATGTTACAGCGAGCCAAGTGACCCTAACTAAAGAACTCAATATGTGGTGACGGGAGAGTAGATTCATTCGTCACCAACACACCTCCCCCTACCTATCCTACGAGGGTCGCAAGAGACGACTAAGGAACTGCAAACAGATCGGGAGCAGCACTCTCTGATATGATAAACCTGAACCGTTTAAACTGCGCCTGTCTGCCTGCCTGCCAAGCAAAGAGATTGGTAATCCTCTCTTATGTAAGGCTTGTTTGCTCGTAGACCCGCAGTAAGTTAGAAGATTTTCTTTACTTTCTTTATTTTTATTGTTACTTTATGGAGTTGAGTATCAGATTTGCCAGCAAACCTTATACCTAATTACGTTGTTATCAAACCATTTCCGTCCGCTGCTGGACTCAGGTCCTCGCCAAGAGCAAGCCATGACGCCACTGAGCTCGATCTTCAGTTCTTCGCGTCCAGCCACTGCCCACCACCTAGATGGATATCGCGAAAACATAAACTTATTTTAATCTCGACGGCTTAGACTGTTGACAATACAATACAAGCTAAGTAAACATGTATTCATTTTTATGATTTTCTTTTTGCAATTCCAATCTAGTTTGCATTAAAATGCTTTTTATTTTGAAAACTTACATAAATATGTAAGTACACTCAAGTCTCTAAATTTGTTCCATTTTGCGGATAAAATTCGGTAAGTATCGACATCTGTAATCGTGTTCTTATTCCTATAGCAACGTTTGCTAAGTTTGGTAAGTGGATTAATAACCATTGGTGATAGATAGCATTTTGTTACATTCTCCAAAAACTCCAAGTAGCCCAAAGTCAAAATCAATATCATTTATTTCAATTAGACCAGGAAGGCACTTTTGAATGTCAACAAAAAAATTTAGAAGTGAAGCTAGCTGCTTATTCCAAGGTGAAGATTCCTATGGAGAAGAACGAGCAAGAAACTCCATAGGTTACTCTTTTTCAATCGGGTTTACTATACAATTCTCTAGTTACATAGTTTGGGAAACTGGTAGATGTTACGCTGAGAGATTGTAAAAGAAACCAGTGGGTAAGACAGCGGAGTAAAGTCAAGGACGTCATACAGCATATTGCGAAACTTAAGCGGAATTGGGCTGGTCACGTTGCACGTAAACAGGGTCCGTGGTGTAAAGCCGTGAAAGTGCGGAAAAAACCTCAAATGCGTTGGTACGATGACATCAAACGAAAACCGAAAAGATGGCATAAACTGAAGGAGGCCTACACCCTGAGGGTAGAAAAAGGCTAAAGAAGAAGAAGAGATAATCTTGTTATTATTCCTAAAGCAACGTTTGCTAAGGTTGATATGAGAATAGGTAACCATTCGTGACAGCATTTTGTCACAGAATACAATATTGTGCTTTTGTCCCTCTTGGTTCTAATTGAATCAGTCAGTCGGTATGGGTCATCGAGAGCCCGAAAATCTACCTAGAAACTTTATTTCCTTTAGACTTGCCCACCTAGACTGAATTTCCTGATAAACCTCCTGAAATCGAAAATTTTTAGGGAAAGTAAAGAGGCATTATGAGCCAAGACGAACCTTTTTCTTCTAAAATCAATCTGGCACAAAGAAAAATTAAAAGAGTAAATACGTAATCTAATGACAAAAAATAACACTGTCACCTTTTTGATATCTAAAATAAACATGACCATCAGAAATTTTTGTTAATTTGTTTGAAATCCTTAGTTTTGTTAAGTTTTATAAAATGTCGGGGTGTACGGACCGAGACCGGCTCAAGTGCGATGTCTGCCGTACAATTAATTTGGCCAGGCATGTGAAGCATCCGAAACCAGACATGCAAATCTATGAAAAATGTACTCCTACCCAGAAATACAGTATACGTGAAGGTAATTTAATCTACATTACCATAGTATACCATACAAAACTCAAAACTCAAAAATAAAAGTAACGCGAATAATAATGAGTGATTTAGTAGAGTGGTAAATAAAGTTATCTGTGGCCAACACTCACGTTGATACTATTTTTTTACCAAATATCGACAAAAATACTAGGAAAGTAGAAGCAAGAGGAACCTTAACTTTCCAAACGAATTTTTCTGCTTTACACATCAACACTTGCTTCTAAAAACTCATTATTAGAAAAAATAATCCAGTTCATAAGCTCATGCATTATCATAAACATATTTGAAAGGCATCTCGATAATTTATTATCTGGCCTAAATAAATTTCAGTACTAGGTCTGCATATTGTCTGAACATCTAAACTTCCTTCTGGCTAAGTCCTAAGATGTTTTAGATAGCGAACGTCTTAATACTAATAAATAGAGCTGCTATAAAATTGTTTCGCTAACAAGAGATAGCTAGGTTCCTACCTAATTTCAGGTAGGTACTATTTAGAATCTAGCTATTTTATACTTATCTAGATTGTTAAATTCGTTATCATTTACATAATTCAATGTAAATGATAAAAACTTTTATTTTAGTTGGTACTTGCCAATTGACTGCCTCGTTGGCCGAGTGGTCGCAAGTGCGACTGCCGGGCAAGGGGTCTCGGGTTCGATTCCCGGTCGGGCAAAGTACTACTGGGTTTTTAAACAAAATCTCAGTAGTAGCACGGAGTCTGGAATTGTGCCCGGTATATGGCAATAAGCTCATCCCCTATTATATGGGACTTATAACATAAATAGTGAAAAGTGGGTGTTACCATTGTACAGTGTAGTGGCATTGAATGCCGAAATATGCACCTCTGCCTACCTTTCCGGGGATAAAAGGCGTGATGTTATGTTATTTTATGTTGGTCTTTGCATATTTCTAACAATCTGCTTATTTAAACGTATATTTGGATGTTTTATCTAATGTTGAGCAAATGTTTCAGATAGAATTTTAATCATTCCATTATCCAAACCACGACATAAAAAACAAAATAGGTACCTATTAAAATTTCTTAATAGTAAAAACCAAATCATATATGTAATTTTCTTTTTTTTACATCTTTGGTTAACCACTTATATGTTAACATTTAGTACATAGTTTACAAGCTTTGTAGTCCTTACAAAAAATATTTTCGTAAAGGAATTGTTCACATATTCCACAATCTCTTTTCTACTTGAATATTGAACATAGCCTAATTTTTCCAGACTTTAGTACTAGGACATCAGCCTAAATCAGCAGATTGTGTGGCAGTGAGTCAGCTCGCCACCATGCGAACGAACATATAAAATCTTACGTGAATTCTATTTTAGTTCACAGATAACACTGACCGAGCTGGTCACTGACTTCCATGCTTACTGCATGCCCGACACAATAGAATCGTAATGTGTTTCTAACTTAAATTTCATTCAAATCGATAATTGAATAAACATTGTTATTTCAAAGTGTCACGTCTTCAGCCAATGAAATTATTATGCCTGTCCATCCGCATCCAGTTGGTTTTTTAAGTGTCTTCTTCTATTTAATCGACTCAGACTATTGTTTTAAATAATGTTTTTATGTTTCAAATAATGTTATTTTCACAATGAGTCATAGGTGCATAGCTATTTTATATCTGTGGTTACATCATATGTGCCAAATGTTATCTTTTTGAATTTTTTTTAAAGAATATTTTGTAAAACAACACATATCATTTTAATTTTTTATGACGTTGCAAAACAAAGCTGAAAGAAAAGCATAAAATAACTATTATTCGTATGGTTTCAGTGCTGTCTTAAACAAAATTTATTAACTTTTTATGTTAAAAAGTCTGCAATGAGCCTTTTACAAAGTTATGTTTTCTGTACTAGCCGTTGTCTGCGACTTCGTCCGCGTAGAATATGATTCCGGTTTTATCCCATGAGAGCATTTGATCAGGATAATCCTATTATCTAAGTCAGCCTATACACCAAATGTTTCAAATCCGTTCAGTAGTTTCAGCGTAATTGACGGATAAACATCCAAACAAACTTACACTTATAATATTAGTGTGATTTTTATTGTAGCACCGACTTCCATAATAGAGCACGGTGCTAATATTATCGTAGAACATAATACATAAAATATAGGTACGAATAATGTTTAAAGATTTACATTCAACTTCTAAAGACTGGAAAATACGTTCCATCACACATGCCATGATGTTTACCAGACAACCAAAAAAAAGAGGGGGAGAAGCTTAGTCAAAGTCAAAGCATTTATTTCAATTAAACCATAATTTGGTACTTTTGAAACGCGATTTTCCCAGAGTCCAATTATCAGACTATGACATGATAACTTTATACGTTACTTATAAAATACTACTTTGCAAAACAACAATCAACAATTAATAATATAAAAGAACAGTGAATTGGATGTCTCCTCTTTTCTTTTGAAAACGGTTAAAAAAGCAAACAACTTTTTTCGCAATAAAAAAAAAAACAAAAAATGTCCAATGTACTAGGAAATTATAAACTCGGATTAGGTGAAATGTGAATTTATCAAAAGAATAAACTTCGCGCGCCACAATGGTGAGAAAGAGATGTACATAACATCAGGTAATTAAAATATATCTATCTCTTTTACATCCATGAAAGAGAGCCGTGTAAAAGGTGACTGCCCTACATTTTACGTACAAGCTTCCTAGTTGGTATGATACCCTGGTGCTTATTACAAATTATGTAACGTCTCCTAAATGCTCTCAAACTTTTAGAAGGCACTTACTTGATTTACAAATATTATTGTAATTTAAAACCAATAGGTGCATGTTTTGCAATGACATGTACATGAATAAAAACATCAGTTTATTTAATGATTCATAGCCATATCGTTGCTGATAGGTATTATGTTTGTATTACATTGATTGTATTATCCTTGTTTATCAATCGTCTGTGACATTCTCATTTACAATTTTATTCCATTCATTCATATCTTTTAAAATCAAATTAGAAAATCACTATTACCTTCTACCAAATCGGTACTTACCAGGAGAGATACGTAAAATAAGCATTTTAGTTTATTTGACTTTTTCGGGAAGTCGAGGGCATAAAAAATAATATTTATTTTATTTTAATTAGGTCCGCTACTAATTATTTCAGAGATAGGTAAATATTTTATTTTTAAGCATCATCGTTTTTGTTTATGTAAGAAGGTTGTAACAAGCAACTGTAGTAGCTAGGTTAACAAGTAGATGAATATGTATATCTCTTTGTCTAAAACTACTTTTTGTTATTTTTGTATTTAGGTAATCTTAACAATAATCGTTTTCCAGATAGTCATCTGCATCCAACTTGTATAAAAGTCTGCACCAAAGAAGAGTACAAGTTGAAGAAAAGCGGCCAAGCTGTTGCTGTACCCAGAGTGCCTCACTACGTCCACGGAAAGCTAATGTACGCCATCAAAGTTAGTGAAACTTAACCTCTTTTAGCTCACTGCCATCCTAGTACTAATTAAGATTTGATATGCTGTAATCCTTATCCGTAAGGTTGAAATTTCTCAGAGTCAGATTAGCGCAACTCTTGTGATGATTTAGTATAATATGTTATTGTTTGGTGTCGATCTGCTAATTGGTCGATTTCCGGTATGGTTAGGGAGCAAGTGGAAGTACATGGGAGGATTTCCAGAAGAAAAAAAAAATTTACATAAAAATGTCGGTATTTTTGTTGTACTGTAAGTTTATTTAAAACTAGATTTACGTCCCTGTACCATGTGCCCATACTTTACAGTCATATCATCATACGTGCATGATGCATGTATTGTGTTACGAATTACGATACCTCCACAACCTCCTCTGCATTTCATCGACTTTAGTATTATTAAATCGTTTCAACGTTTTGTCTATGCTCCTCGACAGGCTGGCATCATAGTAGGTTCTCTTTACTTCACGTACACGCAAGGAGTGTGGGGTGACCAACGACAGGTTACAGAATGCATTCGCCGATGGCAGGAATACTATCGGAGTATCAACACAAGGCGCCCACCAATTTTTGACAAGTGTGGTAACGTGATTGTAAGTACGCCATCAAGCTGAGTTTATCTCTATACCTGCATGATAAAGTTCAAATTCAAGTAAGCAATTCCACTCGTGCTGCTATTGTAAGATTTCAAACTGCTCGTCGCTTATGTGACCCTAGTACAAATAGTTACGTCACCAGTCGTTCGATCAACTTTACAGACTAACGTTAGATTGAGAGCTACTAGAGATAGGACCATATTTTTTCTACCTCTAGTAGTGACACAATTTTATTTACTCTATCCGTCACTACAATTTTTATATTAAATCTATACACAGTAATTAAGAATTGTATCAAGATTAAATATCATTTATGTGTCTAGTATTTAAAAAAAAGTATAACAGACAAATAATCGATTTACAATACAAACGTTAACATTTTGTATTTTGTAACTGCGTTTATTTTATTTTTTTAGGTTTTGTTTATTTCTCTGAATATTATGGTTACCTAGTGTAGTATTATACCTACTTCATTTACACTCATTAGCTATGTTTACCTACATGTTCTAAAGTCTAAAAATTACTAAATGAGTACACAGCAGGCTACCCTACGTTTACATGTTTTCATCTATCTGTCCAAAGGTTTCAGATATAAATATACCACTTCTTGTAGAGCGATAAGGTCGTCCCATTGTACTCTTTAATTAAGTTCTTTCTCTTATCTATGATTTTTAATTAATGTGTAATCCAGTCTGTCGCATGGTAGTTAGTGGTCTACTGTTACATTTTACATACTTGCCAAAGCTTACTACTTACACAGATATAAATTAAATACAACATAATATTATTTGATTATGTACCTGTAAGTACCTATATATACAATTCATGATACGTTTTAATTAATAAAAATAAATAAATAATTCGTTTCAATGGAATTTGTACAACTGTACATTCTTTGTAAGTTATGCACGCCTAGTAATAAGGAGGCTATCTGGTAATCGGCGCGAGTCATTCGCATCTTACTTTCGCAAAACGTCTGTCCTCTATGAACGCCATTCGCGCATTGGCTTATTGGTTGAGTAAGTCTGAGTCGGGTTACAATTTACAATTTAGTTACGCGCAACATTGTGATTCTGGCAAATATTTTGGCGCCATTCTACATCGCGCTACCACTAGATACTCGGCGAACTAATAGTCAGAGTCACCTAGTGCCTGACAATTCACAACCATTGCTCCTTTCACTTGAAATGTTTAAACGTGCTTGACTTTGTACGTCACAATGGATTTAGTTAGTAATAGATAGATTCGCTACACGACCAACGGCAACTGCTGCTATCCTAGTAGTTTATGCTACGCTCAACAGACCATGGCTCAGTTTTCACTCTACTGTTAATTCAGCTTGCCGCCATTCACATTAGAAAATTCCATCTGACCTTTTCAAATGTTATGTTTGCCTAGTGCTTGCACGTCTGTTACATACGAGGGACGCCGTTCTTGGCATAGTGTTGGTTCATTCATTCGCCCCCGCAATACCGGTCAATGAGTGTGTATTCGCATTCTCGCGCTAAATCGTTGCGTGCAAAAAACTTGTCTACTTTGTGTCTAGGTTGTGATTAACATACAGAAATCCGGCTAATATTAGGTAGGATAAAATAATACATAGATAAAAATAATATGTTGCTTCTACTCGCAATTACTTATTGGAGAGGAAATTACTTGCAGTTTAGCTATATTGTTTCTGTTTACATTTGATAGAATGCGTAGTTTTAGACGAAATAAATCACACGAGTAAACACACAATAGATCCTAGAGGGAAACGTTATATTTATGGAAAACTCTATTCAATGGCATAATCATTTGACATAATAATATTACAGCATAATATGAAGTTGCCCTTCTCAGATCCTTGTAAACCGTACACGGAGGGAGGCAGGGGGTACGTAGTGATCAATATCGCCTATAAAACCGGTAACGTAATACTGAGCGGAAGTAACGTCCTACGCGTTGATAACCGCCTGGTATAAATGGGGTCATATCATTACAATGTTACAAGGATGAAAAACTGTAACGCTCGCTTACGCTGAGCAAGGCTACTGAGTATTAAATAAATTATTTTAATGTAACATTATGGTACTATTATCATGAGGATGCTATTTTTGTATGATAATAATAAAACTAATTCTGTATCTATAGTGGCGTGCTAATTTTTAATGGTCGGATTCGATTCGTAATTCGAGTAAAACGTGAATTGTTGTACCATTTTCATTATCACACATGACACACTGATAGGAGAGTAACAGCACAGAAAGGAAAATAAATATAAACAGTGAACATTGAGCAAAATGTCCCAGTTTCACTGGACGCTGATAAAATGTATTGTTTTCAGAAAAAGGATACAGTTGAGAGTATATTAGGACCCGTGTATGCAATGTACAAAAGCGCTGTAACCACATGTTTTGCTGGTAAATTATCAATTTTTATTACATTTGTAGCAACCACTTAAATATTAATAAGTTGCTTTGATAAAGAAATGAGTAATATGGCTTCTATTCTTAATACAGTCCCCTGTTTTTATAATAACTATCGTGACACATAATAAATTAACTAAAAATCGCGGGTTACTCACTTGAATATATTGAGAAAAGCGGCGATGTCGCGTACCGTACGTATAGGCCCCGCGACCGCGCACGCTGCTCTTGAGCAAGAACCCCTCTGTGGTTCGAAACTAGTAGAGATTTTCTTAGTATATTCACGTGAGTAACCCGCGATTTTTAGTTAATACACAGTCCCCTATTTTTTTTATGAGATAAGCCGGTAAACGGGCAGACGGATCACCTGATGGTAAGCAATCGGCGTCGCCCATGGACACCCGTAACACCACAGGCATTACAAGTGCATTACTGGCCTTTTGGGAATTAAGAGTTTGAGGATTGTAGGGGATTTGGGGATTGGGGAGACTGGGGAAGGGGGTAATTGGGCCTCCGGTAACCTCACTCACACGACGAAACACAACGCAAGCGTTGTTTCACGTCTGTTTTTTGTGAGGCCGTGGTATCACTCCGGTCGAGCCGGCCCATTCGTGCCGAAGCATGGCTCTCCCACACGCAAATTAATATTATTATCATTGAGGAATACTTATAATTAGTTTTGTTTGTATTTTCATAACTATCTAATGACGCATCTATTGATCACGATTCCTAAGACACAGACAATTCTCCAATCTTCTTTCTTTTCTGTATTTATCCAATCCGCAGGTGTTGTCAAAGTACCGCTCTTAATCAAATGTGCTTATTTTGATTACCTGAAAGCGTTGGAGAAGAAACAAGAAGAAGAAGCAAGGGAAAGGAAATTAAAGAAAAAATGATGAGCAGTGTAACCTTCGTAGACAAGTAACTAATATTGTTTTGTAAAAAATTGATAAGTTGAATTTGTATCGAGACTAGCAACGACTGGCAAGTTCGTTTGTTTTGTACAAATTTCGCAAGCAAAGGTTGACATAATGTTTTATATCTTCAGGGTTTTGTGAAATCGTCAAAACAGTTTAATAAAAAGATTTCTATAATAAAACATTGTATAAATTAAATAAGAATTAACGAAATAAATGCATGTTTGTGTCACTGTTAGCATAAAGCACAAGCCAAATATTGGTTTTAAACCATAAGAAAAGAATTTTGAAATTATGGTAAGCAACAAGAAACGTTATTAAAAAGAAAATATATTTATTGTACTGTAATATTTTTGTTAAAAATGTAATATTAAATACGTTTCTGAAAGATTTATTGCACAATTTATTTATTTATATTCTTATGTAAGTATTTACGTAGTATATGTACAATATTGTACTTACAAAAAAAAAAAAATTAGAAGCTTTCGTCTATAAATAAAGTACTTTACAACTAGTATCTTTGTTGTCTTCGCCTAAGGTCGGAGGCTTGAAGCTCGAAGAAGGCGGGATTCTCATCCGGGGATCCCCCAGCCAACATGTACTCCAAGTGTCTGATGTAACAGATGGCTATCCTGGAATTAATATTAATATAACTTTAACCCTTCAAATGTAATTAAGGTTTGTTCATAACATAATTTGTTTATTAAAGACAACACTGACTTAAGTAAGGTGAAGGAAAACGTCATTTAGCATCTCAAGATAAAGATGTGAGTTTATGTGAATATTGTGGATATGTCCGACAAGTAGTATGTGTAAGTATAGGTAACGTACTGTAGGTATATAATTATAATGTTTCTGATGAAATACAAATTACATAGAATACTTAAAAGGATAATAGTCCCTATATCTTCCCAGGGAGATAGTTTAAAATAATCGCGTTTATGTTTATCAGGTAGAGCAAAAGGTCTGCTTCATAAACCTAGCATTTTACCCACGGAATATAGAAATATTCCGTGATTTTACCTGATAAGCAATCACTTTTAACTATAATTTCGAAAACCGATAAAAAGATATTGATAGATTGGTGTTTGTGCTGACCAGAGGCGTAGTTAGCGCCGTATTTAACGTATCCATTATACAGGGCCAGGGGTAAGCAAAAATAAAACTTCCCAATTTTTATTCTATTTCAAAGGTTGGCAGAAACCTAAGTTAAAACTAAAGTAATCATAGTCCGATAATTTAGGAAAAGGAAGTTAGAAAGTTTAAATTATTATTAATATCTACCTACTCCCATGGGAGACAAGCGTTAGGCTGTGTATGTATGTATGTATGTACGTACTAATCTACACTCTACACTTATAGTATAAAGAAAGATTTGATTTTTACGCAGATTTAGGGACGTTTGAATTTCAAAAAAAAAGAAAGTTTAATTTTTCGACAGATTTAGGGAAGAGGTAGGTAAGAAAGAAACAAAATGTCGCCTATGCTACTTTCAGTCCTTTCTACTAACTTAGCTCAGTAAAAAACCACGTCAATTTGTAACAAAACAAACAGACGTAAACAATACCTTTCTATTTTATCTGCCATATGTTTGACAAGTGAGTTTATGCCAATGAATTATTGACAATTTATTTTATTATTATCATATGTCATGATACAACATTAAGGTATGCAAAGAGGCTGAATACTAATTTTATTAACCATTGAACGTATTTGATTGAAATTCGGTGCAACGAGAGTTTGAGACACTGGCACTGGAAAGGAAATCTCACGGGACAGGAAATATGCGTTAAAATTCCGGGACTCTCTATTGCTTAAACCACTGAACCTATTGAGTGCAATTCGGTACAACGATAGTTTAAGACTCGGAAAATGACGCCTGATAGTTTTCAACCGCTGTACCTATTTGATTGGAATTCAAATGGAGTTTTATTCACTAGAACCTCACGGGAATGGATACTACACGGGTAAAATCCCCGCGGGATTGTTTATTTTTTGAAATCACGAATATAAACAACATTTCACAACGAATATAACTAAATTGATTCTGATGAAATTTGTTACACAGCATTGCATTTAATCTTGGAGAAGACTAATTAAAAATTAAAAATTGACCAGAAGTCTTTATTATACGCGGACGAAGTCGCGTGGAACAGCTAGTATTTTATAAAACAAAATTTTCTTGTGATATTTCCCCTTCATAAGGGTCCCAAGTCTTATATAAGACCCAACCAAGTACATACATATATAACATCACGCCTTTTATCCCCGAAGGGGTAGGCAGAGGTGCACATTATGCCATTGTACAATGTAACACCCATTTTTCACTATTTATGTTATGAGTCCCATGTAATAGGGAGTGAGCCTATTGCCATATATATATGACCCCACCAGCCTATGCTATATTATTTCGGGTAGTGCCTGTTATAAAACGTTAGGCAATACTCGATTCTAAGCAATTGGTAATCGAAACCGCCAGTGTCTAGACTGTAGACAGTACATTTGGCGCAGTAGCCAAAGAGTATAATAAATATAGGGGAAGCAGTAGCTCTGCAACTTGCTTCTGCACAACGCGTCACGGTTTCAGTTATTGCACGATTTTTTTTTTTTTTTGTAAAGTGACCCACAGATTTTGTTGTCTTCTTATAACATGTGGGTAACTGGTATTTACTTAGCGCCTGGTGGTGAAGTCGGGTGGTTTTGTATATTTTTTTTTGGGATTACACTGTCAAACACCGCGAGGACACCGGTGACCGCAACCTATTGTTCTTTAATTGTGTCTATAATGACGGTATTCAAAGGGTTAACCGATAAACTAGCCGACGAATCACTTTATGGTAAGCAATCGGCGTCGCCCGAAACACCAGAGACGTTACAAGTGCGTTACCGGTCTTATGGGGATTAGGAATTTGAGGATTGTTGTTTTTGTATAATTTGGCCTCCGGTAACCTCACTCACACGATAAAACATAACGCAATCGTTGTTTCACGTCGGTTCTCTGTGAGGCCGTGGTATCACTCCGGGCAAGCCGGCCCATTCGTGCTGAAGCATGACTCTCCCACACTTAAACCAAGTATTACGACATCACTTCCCGGAAATGATCGTCTGATTAAATTAAATCCCATTTGGCGGCAGTTTTTACCGATACGTTATCAGAAACAGCTTAAATTTCAAATACAGGTATTGAAATTCATAACAAGAATTTGTAAATTATATTCTGTGGAAGGATCGAATTTGCTAAAGCAGCTAGCAGTGAGTCACTCTACTATAGAAGCACACGAGTAACCGGACCATTTGATTTAAGTTCTTACTTAAACTTATGGACACCCACAATACCAGAGCAGTTATGTGGAGTTAGGGAGTCAAGTGGATTACCAAAGTTGCAGGTCTTTTTTAAGGGGGGAAAATCATCGAATAACTGCTCCCGCCTGAATGAGGCGGGAGGGAGTGGCAGACTCTTACTGACTAAAAACCACCCCGTTCCTTCTCCTGCACGTCAAGCCGGAGCCCCGGTAGCCCGTTAGGTTCTCCGCGACAGGTCTTTAGTTACATTACTCACAAGGGTAAACATAGCCAAGCATTGTTTTATGTTGGTTTTCTGGGATGCCGTGGACAGCCGTGGTAACAAACACTCTAGTCCAGTACAGCCAGAAGCATGGCCCTTGCACATGGATTATTATGGCAATTATGATTTACTGTAGTCGACTAAAACATACCTTAAACATTCAATTTTGGAGTATTTCTTCTTGGATGGTTTAGTGACTGGTAACTTGGAACGCAGCAAATCGAAAGCGCGGTTCATGTCTCTCATCCTTGTCCGCTCTCTATCGCACGCTGTCTTTTTGTATTCTGCAATTTTAATACAATAACTTAGTTTAGACGTTGACTAGTCAAATCTACTATATAAAAAAAGTCGGGTTTTCCTTCCTGACACTAGCACTCCAGAACGCACGAACCGATCTCCACGGTTTTGTATTCGTTGGAAAGGTCTCGGTCTCCGTGAGGTTTATAGCAAATAATGTTACATAAAACGAAACCATCTGATGGCGAAACGGAGTTCGCCGGGTTTGCTAGTTGGTGGAATTAAAAGGCACAGGCGGAGATAGGTACGCGTCATGCTAAATGCAACATCTAATTTTTGACAGCGCCAGCTATGGTATCAGTTCCACAATAATTAGGGGCGGAAGGCTTGTTAGTGCGGATTAGCATACACTGACTCTGAACATAAAATTAAAATCAAACAGGTATTGAGCTCGATCTGGGAAACTGAGCTTTTATTGAGCAGTGTCGCACTCCTTCATCAACATGGTCAGAGGTAAAAATGTAGCCCATAATACTTTCCCGTCTACTACTCTAACTACCTCCAGACACAATAATATTAAACGTTTACCTATACATAGTGGAGTCGTGAAAGTAAGATAAATAAACAAATAGATGCTATAGAATATTTAAATAATAGGAAGATCGATCTGGAAGTCCTTGGGGATACCTACGTTTAGCAATGAACGTCTCATTGTCGATAATGAAGATGTTTAGAAGGGATAGTTGGGATTTACCTTTCTCCAACTGCATGGCTCGTTCCTTCCAATTCAGGACTGAATCTTGTGTGGGGTCATCCGTGCCATATTTGGAGGTATCCTGGGATTCGTGAGAGTAATCTAGTGAGGACTCAGAGTTCGCTGTCTCAACTACATTCGTTTCTCTATATTCTTGCTCATAATACCTGGAACCTTAAGTAGGTATACATTTTATGAAATTGTTATGTTAGAGACGGTTTCTTTCCACATTCTAGTCTAGACTTAAGGGACCACTCTGATAGACTACTCTGACAGTACCTAATTTGTTTTTTCTTTTTTTTATATTTGATGTGTCGACGTTTGACCACTATCTCGCGTGGTGGTAAATGATGATGCGGTTGTACATATTTGTTATTGAAAATGAATATTTATTTTAAAACATTACAAGGAATAAATCATGTATGTTTGTTATTCAGTTTGTGGAGAGCTTAACTTAAAGTTGTATGGCAAACTCGTTCATGTAGAGGAGAGAGGTATAGTCCAGTAGACCTGTAACGTGTTGTTGATCATAATAACAATGATGCAAGTCTGCTTACGCCCAAATACTGAAAGGCTATTCAATTTTAATTCGCGCAACTATAGTCGTGTCACTACAAATTCTTTGTAAAATGACAGAGAAGGCACGACATTTAAGTCCAACTTAAAGTTAGGTAACCTTTCAGTATTCGAGCCTTATACTGCATTATACATTGTGCTTAGTGTAAATAAACCAAAAAATAAATAACTAATATGCAATTTAATGCTATAAGTTAATCAAGTGCGTTAGTCCTTTTGTGTAGTAAAAGTTAATAGAAATAAATAAGGTAACGACACGTGAAGTTAAGACATAACAATACTCAACATTAAATTCGATTCACTATGACAACACTATTACAGACTATGCTATGGTCACTACTATGGCAACTCTGAATATATCTATTTCTTCAAAGCACTTCTGTGTTACTTTGATACCTGTTTAGCGTTAACATTATTGTAAATTGTAACATAGCTACACAACAGAAATCAGCTCCTTTCCTTGAATATTTTTATGAATTACTAGTCAATTTATACCAAACGATAAACTACTGTGCCTACAGTACAGCATATCACTATTGTAAAGAGAGCATCAATAAACGGACGTGTTCGCCGATAGATATTGTTTTATTGCAATACTCGCCATCATAGACTGCCACAGTGGTGACCCCGACGTGATCGTGGTCTGAAGTGCTTGAAATTCCGGTTTTCTTAATTTAGCTAAAATAAAGACTACCACAAATAAGAACACTATGCAGTTAACCTTTTATTCTGGTATCCTATTGAACAATAATTTTCAGTCCCTTTTTGTATCTAAGCTTTAGCATTGAAGTGTGTAACCTTACCTTCAGAAGCACTGTGATCCAATTCATGAGGTCTGAAGTAAGATATTCTTCTCGGCTCATAATCCTCTAGTACATAAGACCTGTGATGTGATATAGTTTTGTCATACTTTTTATGGGAAAATGTATGTTCTTCTTTTGGCTTATCATCTTGTCGTCCTATTTCTAGAATAACACGATCTTCTGTCTCTCTCTTTTCTTCATCATCTTCTTTAACGACTGTGTAATTTGCAATCAAAGGTAGTGGAGCGTCTTCTTCGAATGTTTGACTATACATTGCGTTTTGTGGTATAGAATGCTTCCCACAATTACACAGGTAGTTGGTAATGTATTGTTACTTTGCTGACGTGTCAATTTAGCGCACTTGATTAAATATTTCTTGTTTTTGATTTGATCCTAACATTAGAAGCATTACTTTGACGACCACAGTTTTCGTAATTTATAAAGAACTATTTTATACACTGCCTTATACTATTTTGTTTTAAGAGAACCGTTCTCTACCTGTTTCAAGTATGGACTGTGTCATCCACATTTGTGTCCTATTGTAATGCATATTCGATCAAAATGGTGCTATATGTACACAAGTGTGGCGGTACAATTTTTAGTTTTCACCGAAGAGGGCCAGCCTATTGTCTCGCAGTCTTTTGTTAGCTATTTGTTTTGTACCGAACCTCTGAGACAGTCGTACTCCTAAGTGAATTAAATACCTTCTATTTTTATGGAAATGTGAGTGACACACGGGACTCAAAATGTATAAAATCGACTTATCTCGTTATTGGTCTTATGTGGAATTACTTAGAGCAATTAGTGTTCTCGCCAATACCGTTAAGAAATCTTCCTTCGAACATTTTTGTTTCATTAATAAACGGATCCTTTTTTTTAAAGGGGAAGTATTATTGAATGACTTCTCTCGCCTGGGTGAGGCGGGAGGGAGTGTCAGACTCTTACTGGCTAAAAACCACCCCGTTCCTACTCGTGCACTTCGCGCCGGAGCCCCGGTAACCCGTTAAGTTCTCCGCGGCTCCGTATCGGTATCAGCCCTATTGGGCCGTCCGCAGGCCCGTACTTACGGTGGCCGGAGATAGTCCCGCGATCCCCGACGCCCGGAGTGTCCTTCGCGACGGCTGGGTACGGATCTTAATCTAATAATTAATCAATCTAAGGTTTTAACATAAATTCAATGACAAATCACAAAAGTAATGTTACTAACGGCCGTTAATCGAGTCGGAGGTACCTTCCCAAGTTCCCGATTATTTAAAAAAAATGTTATACTAGGTTCTCTCCTGTATCGAGGGGGTGGGTGTGTTTACAAACAATACAAACTCTCATACACATCACACCCATAACCGAAAAATCCATATATGTATATACAAAAAGTTGTTCTGTACGGGAATCTAAACCACGACGTTGCGCAGGCAGACAGTATGGCAACCGTACATATTGATCTTGCATTTTTTTTTATTATAATATCTTTTTATCACAACGCCAACGTCAAGGACGTTGACTCCATCTTTCCGCTTTTTTGTTGTTTGTCATAATAGTATTTATTTTATAATCATATTTAATTTATGCTATGAGTCCCATGTAATAGGAGGTGAGCATAATACCATATACCGGGCACAATTCCAGCGGAGGACTTAACGGGCTACTTTTTTGGTTTGGTGGAAAATCATTAAAATCCGTCCTAAGTCCGTCAAGGTTACTGACTAAAATCCACCCTAATTCGCCTACTGCGCTTCATGCCCATTTTCGGTACCTAAATAGCGACTTGTCTACCCCTACCCCAACAAGGCAAGGCAAGGCCCCTTGTGTGGGCCCGGTATGTGGTAATCTGACGGCTCTTTTAGGCGTGCGCGGAACGCGACGCACGCAGGACATCGGTCTGGCTATTCTGTAAGAAGTCAATTCTAACTCTAGAAGTGAGCTCGATCGCTTTCTCGCGCTTCATTGGTCGAGGTTATTCTTACAACCAATGACATAGGGTCAATCCCTCCACCTCCACCTCCCATGGCCCCTCCGACATTCTTGTCAAATGGGCCGAAGCGCCAGGAGGCGCCGAGCATAGTCCGCCCCTATAGTCTTGCTGTTTTTGCTTCTGCGGAGACGAGCTATCACCGCGGCGATTCTTGACCCTGTACAAATTTACGTCCTTGCCCCTCAACGAGCCCTCTCTCGTATTCCCTACCCTTTTTTGCCTAGCTGGTCAGGCACCGAGTTATTGTTCGCTCTCCGCAGACCCGCACTTACGGTGGTCGGAGTCGGAGATCATCGCGCGGTTGTGGTCACTGGGTCGTGTGGACAGATCGTTCACGCGCTCCGCTTTCTCCTTTAGTAAGCATAACTGCTTCCTGGGGCGGCATCCCTGATGTACACACGGCTACACATCGAGCTTAACATAACCAGTATAAACTGAACGTTAAATGTGCGGAAAGATGATGCGACGCGACACCTGGATAAACTAGTTTTGTATAGATATTACTGTAAAAATGCGTAAAAAACGAAAATAATTCACTGACAAAAACCCGGATCCTTCTAAAAAAAAAGAATTACTTAAATTTGTTGTGAATACTGTATCTAATTTTAGAAGTCACTAAGTAGGGGGCGGCGTTCAAAATGTTAAAGCTTTGGGGGCGGCAAATCCAGCTCTGCTAGACTGCTACTAATCACTTCATTATAGGCCTGCGATTGCGCAAGACCACATTGCTACATTTATATAGTGTCTTTTATTTTTTATTTCATTTTGTTTTTTTTTTGCTTGTGCTTAGTGTGGTGTTGTTGATATGATCACATAAAGATGATTGCTCATAACTTCAGGTTGGTTCATATTTTCAGAATTTCTTTTCATTTGTGTTAAGTGATTTGTGTTTACCATTTATTTAATGAATTTGTATGTAATATGCTAGTCTATAAACAAATAGAGATACGTACTTAACTGAAATAGGTAGATAAGTACATAGTATCCCCAACAATTTAATGAAAAGAGATTAAATTGCTTCTAGAAATGAGCTACCATTTTTTCATCATGTTACATAGGTTACATATTCATCAGACGACCTGTGGTAAATAAGTATAAGTACCTATATAATTCATACAAAGTAACAGAACTACAACTACTTGCCTACAATATTACAGTAGGTACTTGAGAATAAACCAATATGTTGTTTCTGTTGGTCTACCTTAAAGTTTTGGACGTTTTATTTGTCGCAGGCGAATTATATAATCTGTCGTTTTCATTACGGCTATCCATTTGGAAAAGCAAGGCCGTTTTGGGATATGGCGACTGCATGATTAGCCATTGTCAATGCGAAACGTTCTGTAATATGGCGGCACACGTTTAGCCTCATTGTAATTATTTTATAATGGGTGGTCTGGGTGACCATTATCATATTTTGTAGTTTTAGTATTTAAATAAAACGTTATTCCAAGATGGTGGCTATATTTTATCTATAGCTTATCGCCTGGGCCTCCTCTATGTACCTACATAAATAGGTTTTGTCACAATGTCCACGCCCGGAAGGGGATTTGGAGATCGTTAGTATTTGTGCGCCTTATGTATATTAATAATTATAGCGACATATTATTCAAAAATGTTAAACTCATCTTCTAGTATTTAACAACTAGCAGCCCGTCCCGGCTTCGCACGGGGTAGACAATTATTTAATTTTGGAAATTTGGATTGTTGTAGTGACATAACTACAATAGTTGGACATATGCTACCGCGGAGTTTTTTGTAGACATTATGATGTTCTTCAATATTGTTGTACATTATTTTGCTCTATCGCTAATAGTTTCGGCAGCGCATTCGACGTAAGGCATTTTAAGACTCATTTTTCTACACCTTCGGTTACATTGTTAAAATTTTAATAAGAATCCCTAATTTTTTTCAAAATGAAATGTAGCCTATGTCAAATTGGAAGAATGTAGCATTCTATTGGTGAAAGAATTTTTTAAATCGGCCCAGTACCTTTTACGCCTATTCATTACAAACATACAAACATACAAACATACAAAAATAGGTACAAATCTTTCCTCTTTATAATATTAGTATAGATAGGCACCTATTTTTAGTAAACGGAAGCGATTATCTATAACCATTTGTACCTACCTACCAACACATCCTTTAGAATCATAACTAATAAAGAATTGTATTTTAGTGCCCGATTATCTCGCAAATAGCTGAACCGATTTTGATGAGGGTTTAGAAGAGTGTTTATTACACTTAGGAGAAGGTTTTAGCCTTCTGCCAGCGGTTTTCCCCGGGGTCCCAGGGATAAATAGTAGCCTGTGGTACTCCAGTCTAGAACTCTAGATGACCATTTACTTGAATTTACCTATTTCATCCGGAACCCTTCAGTCGTTTTGATGAGACTGTATAACAAACTTACACACAAACATACAAATTCAGTTATTTTCGTATTAATTCTATTGGTTTAAGTTAATTTTAGCCATCGACTCTACATACATTCATACCGTAAAGTCCACTGCGGCCAACCTTACATTCGATAAACTCATATTTGCGTTTGGTACAGTAACTGTGTCTAGGGATTGAGCCGCACAACTAAGTTTGTTTTTTCGAGTATATGCTTTTTCAGGATAATAAATACCCAGTGTTGTGCCCAGGATATTAAAGTATAATCATACCAAGTTTCATCGTAATCGGACCGGTAGTTTTTGCGTGATGCGTGAACATACAGACAGACAAACAGACAAAAAAATTTTAATCACATTTTTGGGTTCGGGGTTTATCTAGTAACACCCTACCATTTATTTTTTTAATATATTCAATGTAGTAGGTATTTTGCATTTCTGCAGTTTTATTATTATGTTGTAGATGTAGATTAATTGACTTTAAAAATATATAAATGAATTATTTTAATAACTAAGCTTGTTTTTGTTTCAGATCGCTGCTACTAGTAGCAATTGTAATAAGTAATTGTATAACTGGGACGGCTTCGAAACACAATGTAAGTACCTACACAAACATCCATCAAACTCAAATAAATATTTTGGAACAAATTGTAAAATAGTATGACACTTAATCTTCCCCCCTTCCCCCGTACCCGTCCCGTGCTCTATACCCCGTCTTCCGATTCCTAAAGCTAATAGACTGGTGACGGATCTTGTGACGGATTATAAAGTTATAAACTCTTCCGATGGTGCGAGAGTCCATGGACGGCTGCTCATTTGCCGCCCTATTATGCCATCAAATAATCTTGACTAGGCCTGAATAGGTAGGTTTTTTTTTAAAGGGGGGAAAATCATCGAATGACTTCTCCCGCCTGGGTGAGGCGGGAGGGAGTGTCAGACGCTTACTGACTAAAAACCACCCCGTTCATACTCCTGCGCTTCGACCCGGAGCCCCGGTAACCCGTTAAGTTCTCCTGAATAGGCTAGGCGGAAAATACAGCGGAAAAGCATAGATTTTTGCCGTTTATGCATGTTATCAGTGCACGTGCTCGAGTATGTTACTGGGTATATATACATATATGGAATGCGTCACCAGATATAATATATATTTTCATATATTAACCAGTTAATGGATCTTGAATTTAGTCACATCATCATTTCCGTCGACGACTGGAAGTGGATGTATGTAAATCTCTAACATCACAGCATTTAGCTCGATCGATTTAGGTCGAAATACGTATACGCATTACTCTCGAATGACTACACCAAACTAAATAATTCATTATTGTTGTCTTCGTTATAGTCAGGATACATTTTGTACGTACGAGTTTAAAATATTGAATCGCTAAAAAAATCAGGGCAAAAGGCTAAAAGGAAATAAAATAAGAAATATAATATAATAAAAATCATATATTATGATGAAAGAAATAATAAATCGATCCTCCCGAATTGCACAGTTCCTTCGTATTTTTGCTCCCCACAATTACTGTCGCAACAGAAAGCACCAGTTATTTGCTGTACCATCTTGCAGAAGTCAGTAGAACTAAATCCCTGTTAACACGCACGATGAAAGTTTTAAACCGATTCCTGGATTTAATCCCGGAGTGTGATGTGTTTTCAAGTGAAAGAGATGAATGAACAATAGTAGGTATCTAATAATGATTAAGTGTTTAATTGTATTCTTTCTTTCGTTTTACATACTTATTGATTAGTGTAATTGGTTTTTTGTACCGTTCTATTCATATAAATAACAAAACCTAACATCACGCCTTTTATCCCCGAAGGGGTAGTCAGAGGTGTACATTATGCCACTGTACAATGTAACACCCACTTTTCACGATTTATGTTATGAGTCCCATGTAATAGGGGGTGACTCTATTGCCGTATACCGGGCACAATTCCAGACTCCGTGCTAGATAATACTGAGATTTTTTTTTAAATACTGTAATAAATTTTTCCGAAACGGGAATCGAACCCGAGACCCCTTGCCCAGCAGTCGCACTTGCGACCACTCGGCCAACGAGTCAGGTACTCAGGTAGTTATATAAATAAATAAATAAAAAAAACACTGACTTTGTAGATATTTAACCAGGATCACCAACACCACACTAGACCTAGGCGGCAAGGCTTGTATTCACCTGCATCCTACGTCATACCCGAAGGAGAGGGGTCAGGACCCTGGGGAGACTGGGGCGATATCTCCACTTGCTCTAGGACCTGCGGAGGAGGCGTGGCCAGCCAGAAGAGGGTATGTCTAGAGCCAAGGTAAGGTAAAAACTATTTATTTGATACTTGCAAGTTAATTTCATTAAGCTATTTAAGATTCCTGGGAAACTTAGGCTTTCGCTATAGCAAAATAATGCTTTTCTAATTTTGACCCTAAGATAACATGATTTTCTAAGAAAATATTAAGAGATAGTCAGCCCATAGGTACCCATTGTGTGAAGATTCTACTACTAATTTTTCCAATTCAGAGAGTAAAAAATAGAGAGTACGCAATGTAGCATCACCTATCGTAGTGGATTTTTTTATTAATATATTATCACTTAACCTTTGATGACCGTCTTCTCTAATCTTACAGTCCACAGAACTCGTGTACTGGCGGCGACACGAAGTACTTCTCGTGCCAGACTCAGGACTGTCCCGCCGGCTCGGGCGACTTCAGAGCCGAGCAGTGCGCAGAGTTCAACGACAAAGAGTTCAGTGGTTATATTTACAAGTAAGTTCTTCTTACATCTAGTATCCTACTCACTTCCACTCACACCGTTGTACTACAGACTTCTCGTATAAATTACAGTTGGGTGCCGTACACGAAAGCCGTAAATCCCTGCGAGCTAAACTGCAAGCCACATGCAGAGCAGTTTTACTTCCGACACAAGCAGCGCGTGGTAGACGGCACCAGGTGTAATGAGGACTCCTTCGACGTGTGTGTCAACGGTGTCTGTCAGGTAACACTCACTCCACATGACTGTATAACTGGCCCACTGCCTACTCCACGTGTTGGGAGACTGTATTACCGTGCTGCCATACTTCCAGCACGTGGGCTGTGACATGATGCTGGGCTCCAGTGCCAGAGAGGACAAGTGTCGGGAGTGCAGAGGGAACGGCACCACCTGTCACACCATGGAGGGAATATTGGACTCTCAAGATCTCTTAACAGGTGAGACTCATTCAACAGTCAACTAACGAAAGAGAAGCCTTAACCCCAAGTGGCAAAACGTAGACCTGGTATGTATTCTACATCCCTAAGTCCTCAGAGAATGAAATAACTGGGTTAAAATTATGTGTAATAAACTTTTACTTTTAATTATAGGCTACAACGACATCCTGCTGATTCCTGAAGGCTCCACCACCATCATTATTGAGGAAATAGAACCTTCCAATAACTACTTAGGTAGGTTCTTCACTCACTATTTTCTAACTAAAACCGAAACTACGACGACTAAACGTTTTCTAGACATCTTTACATTTATAGCGTATTACTGTCAACTGTCTGTTTTCGACCTTGTAGTAGAATAATAACACTTATATTTACAGCATTAAGATCTAAAAACGGCACGTACTACCTAAACGGTCACTACCACATCGACTTCCCGAGGAGTATCATGATTGCTGGTGCTCTCTGGACATACGAGCGCAGCCAGCAAGGTTTCCATGCGCCTGACAAACTCCGCTGCAAAGGACCTATTACAGAACCTCTGTATCTTTCCGTAAGTATTTTTTCTTACAATTTGGGCTTACATACAATTGTACAACTAGGTACATACATACATTGCATTCATATACATTTAATAATACCTCAAACTGTGTTTTTAATTTTTGAAATTACTGAACCTGAACAAACATTTTAATATTTTCCAAGCTACGTATCGCGCGAATCGAAAGTCATTATTTATAGGTGTAAAATATAGAGTCCCGGGATTTAGCACATATTTCCCGTTATTCTGGGATTTCTGGATTATTATTTTGGTACTGATAATGTAGCCTCATTTGTACCGATGCGACGCTACTAATTTACTATTATCTTAAGGAAACTGTCAAACTTTTATAGTAAATTTGGTCTCAACGGACTAAAATAAAATACTACCTGATTTCAAGGACTAATATTAGTTTTCAGCCATATGTAATTAGTTTTTTGATATGTGAAAAATATGATTTCAAGTTAACTGAAAATATTCAGGATATACCTATAAGTTCGGGATTTTCTGACCAAAACTAAGAAATTATATCTCAGAAACTAGCCACTTTCGGACTGGGGACCTCAGAGGTAATTTTGTAGGAAATTATCACCTCCCGAGAGGAACACGTTCGAGTTACAAGACACCCTGTGTTATTAATGAACTTCTCTCTTTACACTGGTTTCGACCTTTGCACAGGTACCTTAATGTTAATAATTATGTCAATGATCCATTGCCTCTGTAAACTCCATAATCCCTGATCCTGATGCAGCTAAATATAAATACTAACTATAAATACTATTATTAGTCCTTGAAAACAGTTTTCTATTGGCAGTCGAGGGCTTAAGCAATATAAGAAGATTTTTGGTAGTTTTTCACACATCGGCTTACATTTTCGAAATTTTCACACGGTTCCCATTTTTTCTATAGCCTGTGTTCATTAGGGAAAATGTAGGATTCCAATGGTAAAATAAATTTTCAAATCGTTCCGGCAGTTTCGGAGCCTATTCAATTCAAACAAATAAACAAAAAATCAAATCTTTCCTCTTTATAATACTAATGTAGACTATAAAAAATGATTTTATTAGTTTTTGAAGGCCGTAATCAATACGAAATCAATGTAATGATTTCGTACCTATCGTAGTGTGTGTTATTTTTCATAAAAACTAGTTAACAAAAATTTCACTGACTCTTATAATTATTATTTGTGTCATCAGCTTTTACTTCAAGACGAAAATGTGGGAATCAAGTATGAATTCAGCGTTCCCAACCGTTTTAAGATGCCCAACGACCAGCAATACAACTGGGTGCATGAAGAGTACACGCCATGTAGCGCCACCTGTGGTACAGGTACCTACTCACCATAAACTTTTAGTTAGGCTACTAAACTGTGCTTAGGCAACAAATGACCCAAAGCCAAGCAAATATCAAATTCCAGCCTCGTCGTTTAGTTAAACCTTTTTTTTTCATACTGAAGTATTTATGCGTCGTGTATTTTACAATCCAGGTTTTCAAACCCGCAACGTGACATGCAGATCGAAGGAGGAGTTGGAGGTGGTTGACAACAACTTGTGTGATGAGGGTCTGAAGCCCCCCACGAACCAGTCCTGTAATCAAGACCCCTGCCCCGCGCAGTGGGTGGCGGGACCTTGGGGAGACTGCTCTAAGAGTTGTGGCAACGGAGGTGTCAAGTCTCGGGAGGTCACCTGCCAGAAAGTCATTGCTAATGGGTAAGATTACCTGCCACAGATGTCTGCCTGTCCAGATGGTATGTCGTTGCTGCCTTGGAAGATGGGTAGGCCTTGCGCCATCACATCTTTTAAGCACCGCTGCATGCGTTGGTGCAGCTGCTTCCGCGGCAGAGGCCCTCAAACGGCGTAAATATTCAAATCTAGTGGGTAACTACTGTTTTGAGTCGTTTGGGGTCGAAACACTTGGCCATGGGGTCCCAGTGCACACTCTGTGTTTAAAGATATCGCCCGTAGGCTAATCGACTCTACACGTGACCAGAGGGCTGGCTTTTTCTTCAGACAGAAAATAAGCATTGCCATTCAACGTGGCAATGCTGCCAGTCTTCTGGGAACTTTCCCCTGTGATAGTGATGCGGACGAATACTTTGACGCCTAAATTAAGGGTATAATTTTTGTTGTTTTCTTTTTTTTGCTTTCTTTTTATTTAATAGTTTAGTTGTAATTAATTTTAAGTTGTAAATATTAGATGTTTCCTTAAGTTGTAAATATGAGTTGTTAATATATTAGATGTTTCCTGCCACATAATTATACAATAGTAACAACTAGCAGCCGTACAGTGTACAGTGATTATAGTGTGATTTATAGACATCACATCAGACTGTAGCCGTTTTGACGTCGACCGACCTCTCACCCGACGGCGACCTCTCGCGTCCGGCTCTGGTTCAGACCATGGTATGGAGCGAGGGGGACTGAGATGACGTCTCCTCCAAAAGCCATTAAACGACCACAAATGAGGCCCAATAAGGCTGATGCCCATACGGAGCCGCGGAGGGCTTAACGTGTTGTTCGAAGTGCAGGAGTAGGAACGGGATGGTTTTTAGTATCTAAACGGTCTGGTTCTGGTCGGGCGGTTACCGTCCTTACTCGCGGTCTGAATGTCTGATGAAAGGAAAGATAGATTATACAAGTGTGAAGTATGAGGTAATTTTTAAGCCGCCGGCAATAGAAATAGATGAAAACAACTTCTCATATTTCCATTCAAATTCGAATTTAAAATGACATATTGTGTCCAGTATTGCCACCATAGTCCCCGATAAGGAGTGCTTGGAGTTACTGGGGATTAAACCTGAAGTAACGCAGATATGTAACGAAGATGTGTCCTGCCCAGGCTGGTTCGTTGGACAATGGAAATCGGTAAGATTTGAAAAAATCTTCTTCTCCCATATTGATTGTAATGTAGCATTAAGTTGCTGCTGAACATAATTTTTGCACAAAACTTCATCTGCCGTATCTTTTTCCTCAGTGTGACAAACTGTGTGACGAGGGCAAGCAGACAAGACAGGTGGTATGTCGCCAGAAAATCAGTGGCCGTGTGACAGTTCTAGGGGATGGAAACTGCACAGACGAGAAACCAACAGCTGAGCAGAAGTGTATGATACGGCCCTGCTATGGTGTGGACTGGGTGACTTCCGACTGGTCTGAGGTAAGTTCACACTGGACACTGATAGAACATGGAAACCCTCGATACAAGTCAAGTTCAATATTAAATAACGTGTTTGGTTTTCTGTTGAAAAACACATTTAATATAATATTTTGTTTAAGTGTGACACCTGCATCTCAAAGAGGCGGACACGAAGGGTGTTATGTTTGATGATACACCCTGAGACACACATTAGAGTGAATGACAGCTTCTGTAGCCACCACCCACGTCCAGTGGTGCAGGAAGAATGTGATCAGGACCACCTCTCACCGTCTAAGGCGCAGTGGCATACTACGGAGTGGAGCAATGTAGGTATACGGAATAGTATAATACTCAAATACCTAGCTTGGAGCTGACAATAGATAATAATCATAAGATGTCCTGTGAATATCTTGCTCAACAGTGTTCCGTGCACCGCGGCGTTAGAGTTCAGACTAGGAGGGTATTTTGTGGCGTTATCAAAAACGATAGCGTGGAACAAGTGGAGGAATCAAATTGTGCTCACCTCCTGAAATGCAATGACACCAAACCATGCTCCGAATCCAAAGAGGAATATCCTTTGCAGTGGTTCACTGGACCCTGGTCTTCAGTAAGTAGTTAGTCATTTAGGCTTGGTCACTAAATTTTTTTTCATTACCTATATTTTTATTATATCATTTTTTTATTAATCCATCGCAACAGCCTATTACTAGCCAGTGCTGTAATCTGGGACTCTAATAACTTACATGGAATAATATATTTTTATCTAGAATATAATTGAGGAAACCTTTCTTTATTGTAACAACTTCCAGTGTACCAAAGACTGCGGTGGAGGGGAACAATACAGACGTGTCATGTATATGCGAGGGTTTGAGGAGGCCGACGAATTACCCTGGGAAAATATGCCAAGTATTAAACAGTTATGCAACACTGAACCTTGTAATCCAGGTATAAAGTTCAGTTTATATAAATGTCTAACCAATCAAATTCTTTTGATGTTCAGCATGCATTCGTGGTCAGCCACTAGACAATTTCACGAAGGTTATTATAACATAATATCATCATTAAAACTGACTTTCCATTTTAATTGGATATTTGATAAACTTACGTGTATAGTCCTATAATCTGTATGAATTGATCTGATTACAGCAATAATTAACCCAAAGCATATAAGCATCGTTGATGTAAATAAGCCGTTATGTAACGAGACTAAGTTCGGCTGCTGTCCTGATAACAGGACTCCCAGTCTAGGACCATTTGATCATGGTATGTAGTACCTAGTATTTCACCTTCACTAGTAACATCATATGCCAGTACCGTAAGTTATGTCTTCAAAGTAAGAAAAGAGTGATATCCTTCCTAATTTTCAGGCTGTGGCAAACCACGCACATGCAACAAATCCACCTACGGTTGCTGTCCTGATGGTGTGTCCCCGAAGCTTGGCGACACTGATGAAGGCTGTCCCGTGGAGGCGTGCGCAGACACACTGTTCGGCTGCTGCCTCTCTGACAATAAAACCGCAGCTCAAGGCAATGACCAGGAGGGATGCCCACCACCACCGCCTGCATGCGCAACGTCTGAGTACGTAAAATACGCCTCACTCTATAAATTGTGTCTTGAACTTCCAACTTTTAATCACTTATTCTTGTATAATATTTCTCTGTTTTATCTAATATGGAAAATATGATTATTACTATGTTAAGTTGCTATGCTGATAACGAGACTAAGGCCGTCGGACCCAAGACGACAGGATTCCCTGAAACCGGTTAGTTGTAAACCATCATATTCCGAATTATATAAGATTTTAAAATATTAATTGAATTAATTTAATGATCCGTGTTCCAGAAACTTCAACCACTGTAGCTGGTACAGAAACCACAAGTGAAACCACTGTAGCTCTTGAAATGAGTGTAGGAAGTACGACCGGAGCAGACACCACGGCGGCAGGTAGCACGGAGGTCGGTAGCACCACCCTGGAGCTATGCAGTGGATCCGAGTTCGGATGCTGCGCTGACAACCAGACTGAAGCCAAGGGACCCGACGGTCAGGGATGTCCATGCAAAGAGTACAGGCTGATGTCAGTCGGCACGCTGGAGATCGTGTCTCTATACCGGAACGACACCGGAAACTACATCTGTGTGGCCGGCAATGGCCTCGGTGTGGCCACGCAGGAGATACACCTGGTCGTCAATGGTGAGTTAGTTTTTTCATGATAGATACATATACCATACAAGACTGGTTATTGAATCATTTATTTTGCCATCTCAATTGATAATGGGGAGTAGGATCTCTTTTCCTATTACTTCCTGTTGGATTCCACCAAACTAACAATCGAATCTCTCAAAGATCAATGTTTTATCAACTGGGTTCTTCTAGATCCTGTAAGGACGCCTGCCAGGATTGCTGGAGATGAAAATGCCATTGTGATTGGGGAGCTAGGCAGCCCGCTCTCAGTGCGGTGCCTTGCGAACGGGTACCCGTCGCCATTTATTTTATGGTTCAGGGGTAATGAACTATCAAAGGTGCTATACAGTGATGATGTGTACGAAGCAAGAGGTAACGTGCTTCTGATCAGAAATCTGGCTATGGATACTCTCGGACAGTACACGTGCCAAGCGTACAATGGAGAAGGCAAGATGGCCTTATGGGTTGTAAATGTTCGCGCATATAGACCTAGGGGACTGTACACTGACAATGATCTGTTAGTGCCGCGTGAGACAGAGGCTCCCACTACCACAGAGTGTACTGACACACATATACCTGTGTTTAATGGTAAGTTTAGAAAAAGGCAATTAGCTACAGCTCGTCGGTCATATCTTTCTATAATATGATTATTGTGAATGAATTCTCATAAGGATCTCATATCTATTCATAGTAGGGTACATTGTGACGGCGTTCCAGAAATTTCTATTACAGAAACCTCAACTGACACTGCTGAAGCTCTTAAAACGAGTGAAGGAAGCACGACCGAAGCAGACACCACGGCGGTCGGTAGCACGGAGGTCGGTAGCACCACCCTGGACCTATGCAGTGGTTTCGAGTTCGGATGCTGCGCTGACAACCAGACTGAAGCCAAGGGACCCAACGGTCAAGGATGTCTATGCAACGCTACTGAGTTTGGTTGTTGTCCTGATTATGTCTCTCCAGGTACAAAGTTCGAAAATGTAGTAATTTCTTAATTTTTTTAATACCTAAATGATGCTGTATTCTATTGAACGCTACCTTACTTCATACACAGTTTCAGAAAAGTTGACCTTTTGTATAGGTTTTCTGCGCCTATTTCGAGCAAATCTGACACGTACCTGTTTTTTTTTCTTTTTCAGCTAAAGGAGCAGACAGTGAAGGTTGCCCGGGTCCCTGCAGCACATCACCGCACGGTTGCTGCGAGGACAACAAGACCCCTGCTCACGGACCGAACTTCGAAGGATGTTGCTTATTGCAAGCGTTTGGATGCTGCCCAGACAACCGCAAGCCTGCCGAAGGACCACATCTTGAAGGTAAAACCAAAAATCTGTCGTAAAAACTATGCAAACATTTCAAAAATACAATAATTATGCATCCGCTGTTTCTGTTTGAACCCCAAAGTTTTACGTATAAAAATATAAAATAAAATAAATAAAAAGCCTTTTATTCAGATTTACAAAAACAAAACAAGTTACAAAAAAATGTTTCTCATGAATTTGGTTTTTACTAATTTTTTGCAGATCCGTTTGCCAGTTGGCATAAGTAGACCTCCTACAATCTTCTCCATTCTGATCTTTCGTTTGCCACTCTAAGCCATTATATTTAGACATTCGATGATTTTCCCCCCTTAAAAAAAAAGCCATTATATTTCCAGCTACTTGGCGAAAGTCCTCATCCCATATTTTATTAGGTCTTCCTCTCAATCTATGACCTTCTCTTGGGTACCACTGAGTAACAATTTGGCTCCAATTTTCTTTGCCTCTCATCAAGTGACCTGCCCATTTCCACTTTAATCTCTTTATTTTTAAAGTTACATCTTGCACCTTGGTTTTGTGTCTGATGGATTTGTTTTTTATTTTGTCAGCTTTCTTTACACCTAACATGCTTCTTTCCATCGCATGTTGACATGTGGCGAGGTTTGTGATCGTATTTTTTGATAATGGCCTAGTTTGGCAACCATAAGTCAGTACACGTAAGATGCACGTGTTAAATAGTTTAGTTTTTGTTGCTATGTGTAGTTTGTTATCTTTCATTCCCTCTTTCAAGCCCTAGTATCTCTTCCAGCTGTTTGCTACTCGTCTTTCCATTTCTTTATTAACTGTGTCTTTGGTAACATCAATTGTCAGTTGGTATTGTATTTTTTTACGCGTTTAAACGCGTTGCTGTAGTCTATAAATGCGATGTAGTATGTTTGTTTGTATTTAGCATATTTTTCAAAAATTTGTCTCACAACATGTACATAAATGACCTAGCACTGAGTAGTATTTTCGGAATCCTGCTGGCTCGATGGGTTAAATAAAGGTCATCCATTTGTATTTCTATTCTTTTTACCGACTTCAAAAAAAGGAAAAGGTACTATGTTCGGCTGATTGTATTTTTTTGTGTGTTCGCGCATTACTCCGCCATTTGTGAACCGATTTCCACAATTTTTGTTTTGTTTCCCGAGATGGTCCCATTTCTATGAGGTCAGGATCTGATGATGGGATCCTAGGGAAACCGAGGGGAACTTTCGAAAATTGTAGAGGCGAGTAATGCGTCTATTATGTTTTTCAATTAGGATTTTTAAGTACTACAATTTGATAACGGTCTGGAGTCGACCTGGTGATGGAGCCAACAGACAGTCGAGAGAACTCCTCAGCGGTTTATATTAACTACCTTGTATTTGGGCTTGATAAATTTTTACTGATGAGATCTTTACACCTAAATCGAGTGAGACTGTCATTAAGGGTCTGATGATCAAGAAGTGTAATTGTTAAGGGAGCTCTTCAACGGTTTATAGTAACTACCTTGTGTTTGGGCTTGTATAATTTGTATTGATTAGAACTTTGCACCTATGTATATTATAATTGACAAAACGGATTTTTGTAGCTTTAAACTGAAAATGATAAAATAATAAAATAAAAACTGCGATTAAAAAACGACTTTAAAAAACCAAAAACTAATAACAAACAAAAGGTCAAAACTAAAAAGCAAAAAATAACTATTATTAGTACTGATAGGCTACCCACTCACTGATTGGTTAGAAGTGAATATATTTAAATTAAAATAAATAGGTTTATAGGTACTATAATACAAAAATTTATTAACTAACAAATAGGTATCATTATGGTTTCTCTTGTTATCCTTAGGATGTGGGTGTCAGTACTCGCTCCACGGATGCTGCCCTGACAACGTTACCATCGCTCAGGGAGCAGACAACCAGGGCTGCGGCTGTCAGTACACACAGCATGGCTGCTGTCCGGACAGGTGCAGATTGTGATCTGTATACATAGTGCCTTCCTTCTGAAATATTTTACGACTTATACCGATATGCTGACTGCCGTCAGGGCTTATTAAGGAAGAAATCTTAGGAAGTCAATGTTGCTTTAATTTACTTTAATATGGAAACGATACATCTAAATGAATATTCTTACTTATTCAGACACACGGCTGCCTCTGGCCCCGACAACGAAGGCTGTGGCTGCAGCACGCACCAATTCGGTTGCTGTCCTGACGGCGTCACTATCGCCAAGGGACCTGAACAGCAGGGCTGCCACTGCCACTACTCCTTGTACGGCTGCTGTGGAGACGGCGTTACTCCAGCGACTGGTCCTGACGCTGCAGGCTGCGACTGCTCTTCCAGTAAACATGGTTGCTGCCCCGATGGAACTACTGAAGCGGCTGGTCCTAAGTTCTTTGGGTGTACTGATGTTCCTGAAAATAAACAAGGTAAAATAAAAGAAACAATAGATAATCATAATGCATAATCATGAGTTTTGTAGTCGCTTACATAATGTGAACTCTCCTTTGTACCAGCTGCCTGCAGCTTACCTACGGACCCAGGCTCATGTCACAACTTTACGGCGATGTGGTACTTCGATATGACATACGGAGGCTGTTCCCGTTTCTGGTACGGAGGCTGTGAGGGCAACGGTAACGTCTTCGCCACTAAGGAGGACTGTGAGGACGTGTGTGTACAGCCCTCACCTAAAGGTAAACTTCCAAATGAATCGGTGGTCGTAATTGTAAATCGTAATGGAATATTAATTAGCTCTTTTTAAATAAACCCTTTTTTCAACTATAGGATCCTTTTATTTATTACAACAAAACATAACATCACGCCTTTTTATCCCCGAAGGGGTAGACAGAGGTGCACACAGAAGTAACACCCACTTTTCACTATTTATGTTATAAGTCCCATGTGATAGGGGGTGAGCCTATTGCCATATACCGGGCACATTTCCAGACTCCGTGCTACTACTGAGTTTTTTTTTTTTTAAACCAGTTATTCTTTGCCCGACCCGGGAATCGAACCCGAGACCCCTTGTCCGGCAGTCGCACTTGCGACCACTCGGCCAACGAGGCATTATTACAATTTTTATTTACGATAATATGTATTCTTGTAGAAGTATGCAACCTTCCGAGCGTAAAGGGTGCCTGTGGCGGTAGTTACGAGCACTGGCACTACAACAGCACGCGCGAGCAGTGTGTTCCGTTCCTGTACGGAGGATGTCTCGGTAACGCCAACAACTTCGAGACACGGGAGCTCTGCCAGAACCAGTGCGAGCCTAAAGCAGTTGAAGGTTAGGAGTCACGAGCGACCAAATAGAGTTCAAGAGCTGTGCTAATGGACGCTGTTTGACGATAATTTCTCAACAATATTGCAGGACAATGCGACCTGCCAATCGAGCAGGGCTCGTGTGCCGGCAACTTCAGCCGCTGGGGCTTCAACCCTGACACTCGGAGCTGCGAGCAGTTTATATGGGGAGGATGTGAGGGCAACTCCAACCGGTTCAATACTGAGGCCGCTTGTCAGATGCGCTGCAACCCACCAGGGTCACAACCACGTAAGTAATAAAAATTGATGGAAACAAAACTAATTGGGTTTAACATTTATGGGAATGTTCAATGTAGCATTCCCATTTTTAACTTCAAAATGGCTTGACTTGTAATCCAATTTTGTGCAGTAGTTAGTTGCAAAGTAGGGTTTGGGTAATTTTAACTAACTTGCATGGTTTGTGTACGCTGATTTGAAATGGTTCGGATAAACAATTAAACAGTTATTATTAGACTACATTGTTATTCTGAAGCTCACTTTGAATGAAACTCCAAAACCAGATACTTATACCTATTTATCAAAAATGTGTAATGTTTAATCTGATACGCACCTTGATATTTATTATTCTTCTAACATTTTCCATATGTCACTAACAATGGGTTTGGAAACAGCTCAGTGCGCAGAGCCACAGGAAGCAGGCTCTTGTGGCAATAAGGAAGCTCTCTGGTCCTTCAGTGTGTCAGAAAACCGCTGCGTACCATTCTACTACAGCGGCTGTGGAGGCAACAACAACCGGTTCCCGTCCAGGGAGGCTTGTGAACACACCTGTCCTGCCGCTTACGGTTAGTTCCATATTATAACGATTTCGCGAGTACCTTTATCTCAAACTACCTTTTCCCTGCAACTCCATCCGCGTATATAAACACCAGCCAAATTTTGGATTTTTTAGTTAGTCCTCTCCAAGGTTAATTGCAATGCTGCGTAACCAATTTCATCTGTATCAATTTAGTTATGTTTATTGTGAAATGTATAAACAATCCCACAGAGATTTTACCCGTATCATATCCATTCCCATGAGGTTTCAGTGACTAAAATTCCAATCAAATAGATATAGCCGTTGAAAACTATCAGGCGTCATTTTCCAAGTCTCAAACTATCGATGTACCGAATTAAAGCAATATAGAGTCCCGGAATTTTAACGCATAGTTCCTGTCCTGTGAGATATCCTTTCCAGTGCCAGTGTCTCAAACTCCGGATTGGCAGGGAGGTCCAATTTCATGACATGCACGGTGTCTAGACCTAACACCGGTTGACTTTTACGTAAAATTGGAGCGACATTAAGTCCCTTGTTTACTCAACGCTAATAATAATTTTGTAGTAAATTAGTTGTTTTATCAACGCCCGAGAAGTATACGTATATGTATACCCATGTATATATTTATTATATGTATTTATTTATTGCTAAGTTCTGGCTTGTATTTAAAGGTAATATCAAATCGCTTCATTTTGTTTACTTCAGTGCCCGATAAATGCACGCTGCCCGCCGAAACTGGACAGTGCACCATCTACAGCGAACGGTGGTTCTTTGACACCATGTTCAAGAGGTAAGGAAACCATGCAATCCTTCACAGAATTATAATTGTAATTATATAGGCAAGTACGATTTGAAAATGACATGATATCCACGTCACAGATGTCGTCAGTTCTACTACGGCGGTTGTGGAGGTAACGAGAATAACTTTGCTACCGAGGCGGAGTGTGAAAACTCGTGCTCCGAGCTTAAGACAACTACTACGACCGACACTACTATCACAGTCAGGCTTACAGAACCTCCGCCGCCGCCTGTACCCAAAGAACCATCAAAATCTGGTGAGTCTGACATAACTCCAATAACTAGCATGTGGTGGTCCTCTTGACGCGGGTCCATGCCGCACCTCCATCTCCAAGACCTATTGGGACGACTTAACTGGCTCCTGTCAGTCATACGCGTACGGCGGCTGCAATGGTGGACCGAACGCATTCTCCAACGTCGAGGAGTGCGAGAGCGTATGTGGAGGCACCTGACCTGGTACCTACTTACATTTTTCTTTGGTATAGTGATGGGATTAACGCACTCTACTTCTCTTTAATAATTTGTTTATACCAACGATACTTGTCTAACTCGCCATCGGAGCATGAGTCTTATTAAGACGGCCACAAACTTCCCCGCCAGTAGACGCCAGATAACTTAGTAGATATATATCCGCTTGTTGTGGCGGGGTAGTGCCGGAGTGCCTGCAGGCGGTTGAAACGGGCGAGAGCTGCGGAGTCGCGGCGACGCAGTGCTGGTGTAGCGTACGTCGACTGCGGCGCGTAATCGTGTTGGCGTACCTACCTCAGCTTTTTTTGAGGGGGGAAATCATTCAATGCCTTCTCCCGCCTTGGGTCAAGCTAGAGGGAGTGTATGGAGTGTCAGACTCTTACTGACTAAAAACTTTTTATTTATTGTATTAGGTTTCTCATGATTTATGAAACCGTTGCTAAGTTCAAGAGTAAGACTCTTGAAGGAATCTTTAAATTTTTTTAAGTTAAACTTCACGTCACCTTCGCAGACGGACCAACGCCACCACAAGCGTTGCCGCAGCAAGAACCCCAGGTGACAGCTTCGGAAGGCGGAAAAGCTACCCTTCGCTGTCCGTTCGACGGCAACCCTCCGCCCAAAATCACGTGGAGACGTGGAGAGCTCACTGTGCGTATTAAATATGTACTTTTGACTATTGCATTTATTCGGTTTGTTTCCAAACTAAGCAGAACTAATTTGCCTATAAAGTAGTGAATTGTTTGGAAGAGATTTGAAATAGTAGAGCAAGAAAAGAGATTTTATATACTTTCGAAAGCATTTATTAAATGCAGTGACACATTTAGAAAGTGTTATGTTAAATACTGCTGAGATGTAAGGTACCCCCCAACAGATCGACGGCAACGCGGGTCGCTACAGGCTGATGTCGGACGGCGCACTGGAGATCGTGTCTCTATACCGGAACGACACCGGAATCTACATCTGTGTGGCCGAGAATGGCCTCGGAGTGGCCATACAAGAGATACACCTGGTCGTCACTGGTGAGTAGAGGAAGATCTCGAACTGCAGATTTAATACTAAACTTGCAAAATTAAAGTTAGTATGGTATGGCGACTCTATCAGGATAAGGCTACCTGATATAATCTTATACACACGCCTCTCAATCTTTAAGGGGACAGATTACATTAATAATTCTTTTATAAACTTCTTTCTTAAAAACCGCACCAAAATCTATTCAACCAGTCGCGAGATAATCCCATACAGACATACATAATATGTACAAATATACAGGTGAAACTGAGGACATCCTTCATTTGTTAAAGTCCCTTAAAAATATACAATACACGTATATATACACCGACATGCTTGTTTGCTCAAAATCTTCTCAGACTTCATAATAACCGAACATAAAAAGGCAGGCTTCAATCTAAAGTCAGTTCTTGCAACGTAGTTTATTGAAAATTATTAAATATTAAATATACTGACTAACTGAGACTGCCTCGATGGTCGCAAGTGCGACTGCCGGGCAAGGGCCTCGGGGTCGAAAAATTCTCAGTAGTAGTACGGAGTCTGGAATTGTGCCCGGTATATGGCAATAGGCTAACCCCCTATAACATGGGACTCATAACATAAATAGTGAAAAGTGGGTGTTACGTACAGTGGCATAATGTGCCTACCCCTTCGGAGATAAAAGGCGTGATGTTATGTTAAGTTATTAAATATACTCGATGGTTAACAGATCCTGTAGTGACGCCTGCCAGGATTGCTGGAAACGAGAAAGCCGTGGTAATTGGGGAGCTGGGCAGCCCGCTCTCAGTGCGGTGCCTGGCGTATGGATACCCGCCGCCCACCGTGTTCTGGTACTACATCAATAATGGAACGATAGTACCATATAATAACGCCGTGTTTGAAGCGAGAGGCAATGTGCTCCTCATCAGAAGTCTGGCTATCGAAACTCTTGGACAATACCAGTGCCAAGCGTACAACGGAGAAGGCAAGGCGGCATCATGGGTGGTCAATGTACGCGCAAACAGACCTGAGGGACTGTCTACTGAGATCGACATGTTAGTGCTGCGCGAGACACAGGATCCCACTACCACGGAGTCTATTGATGTACACATACCTATATTTACTGGTAAGTTTAGAAAATGACTACAGTAGGATAACTCCTCGGTCGATAGTTGTCAAGAGCATGTCGTTTTTATTTTTTTATCAAAAGATAAGTAGGTTCCTTAACTTTGTACTTATTTAACGAACACAACTAATGAGGACACTAATAAGCATTAGAATGAGTAGTAATGTACATTGTGACTGCGCCACTCTGGACCTGCTAAGTGGCTTCGAGTTTGGATGCTACGCTAACAACCAAACTGAAGCCAAGGGACCCGACTCTAAGGGCCCATGCCCATGCAACGCTACTGAACTTTGTGACTATCCCGAGGGTGTGCCTTCAAGTAGTTTTTTTTATGAGATAAGCCTGTAAACGAACAGACGGATAACCTATCAGTATTAATAGATATATTTTACTTTTTAGTTTATACTATATGTTTGACATCGGTTTTATAAACGCAGTTATTTATTTATTTTTTCTTTTTAATGTTTTACCACCGTTTTGCCACTAATAATCTACATAGGCATAAAGTTCTAATTAATACAAATTATACAAGCCCAAACGTAAGGTAGTTAGGTAATAAACAGTTGAAGAGTTCCCTTAACAATGACACTTCTTTCATCATCAGGCCCTTAATCCATTCCGCCCCATTTAGTTGGAAAGTTCTTATGAATACAAATTAATCAAGCCCAAACACAAGGTAGTTACTGAATACCGCTAAGGAGTTCCCTCGACTGTCGACTCCATCATCACGTCGACTTTATCGAGTTGACATCTACATCAGATAAGATATCTAGACAAGCAACCATCGATAACTACTCGTATTGACCGATCCCTCAGGAAGTCTGCTATCCATCTGCACAGATTAGCAGGAAGTCCATATGCAGGAAGCTTGCCGATTAGATTGTCGTGCCATACCCTGTCAAAGGCCCTCAAAATATCGAGGGAGACTACCAATGCCTACCCGAGCCCCTCGATGGCCTCGCTCCATATGTGAGTGCCATATACGCAAGAAGGTCCCAAGTAGATCAGCTACGTCGAAACCCGTATTGCCGATCGCTGAGGAAATCGTTACCTTCAAGGTAAGCCAGGAGTCTATTGTTAAGTACACGTTCCATTCTCTTGCAGAGTATGGACGTGACCGAAACAGGACGGTAATTGTTAGGCAATTAACAAGCTGTACGTTGGCCAGCTTCCATGCAACCGGCACCAGACCAATCTCCGAGGAAAGGCGAAACAGACGTGTCAGGATAGGAGACAATTCAGGCCCTCAGGCTTTTTAAAATCACGGCTAAGATTCCGTCGGGACCACTGGTCTTGTTAACATCGAGATCGCGCAGCGTCCTATATACCTCTTACGTATATGAATTTGCGACATATTCTCGCATAAGTATGTTATTAAAAGAACGGGACGATGCACCACCAGTATCAAGACGCAAGTATCAAATAGGTTCGCTTTCTCTACCGCATTGTGAGCCAGCGTCCCGTCAGACCGATTCAACCACCTTGGCCAGGGACCGAAATGTTTTACTACCCGCTGGGTAGGAAGCTAGTTTGTTCCTTATACGGCCAATATGGTTAAATCGAGTCATCCGTAATGCATTTTTGCTCTCTTCTTTTAATGAATGTCGCCAGCCCTACGGCGCCTGGCATCCGCCCATGCCAAGTATGCCTCCTGCTTTTGCGGTTGGTGGGGAGCGTGTGGACAAAGATTTCACTGGACAGTGGTCAGAGCTACCTAGGGGTGTTGCAACTGTCACCGAGTAGCGGTCTGGATCAGTTGTCAGGAGAAGGTCTAAGGCACTTGGCAGTGTGCATATCGACATCGGGCTCCCTTGTGGCCTCCTGGATCGGCTGGTTCAGGCCAAGCTAAAGCACAAGCTTACGCATTTCCATTCCAGCTTGGTCGGTGCACTGGTATGGGATTAACCACTCCTAATGATGACCGCTAAAGTCCCCCAGTAACACCAACCGAAGGCAGACCTCGAATATTTGAGAGGTGCACTTTGAGGAAGAGGGAGTGTAGCCGCTGTTAAACCCTTTTCTTATATCTTTGTGTCATTAAGGTAGTATGGGAGGTTGCTAGTTCAGAATTCACGTATGGCTAGCACGCTAGTTGGGTCCCCAAATATTTACGATCGGCCAGCGATGCACCGTACCTCGGATCCCGCTAACCTCCGCGCCTGGACACCCGGTGCAGCTACACCACCGCGCGTCAGACTGGTCAGCCTACAGTGGAATTTATAACCGTAATATCTCGACCCATCCTCTAGTACGGCGTCACCGGGCATCGTGGCGGAACACGGCTGGGCCGCTTGGCGACACGCTTTTACTCGTTGGGTGGCTGGCAGCCTACAACCAAAGTGTCACCTGGTTAGCACCACCCAGAGGCCACGTGTAGGGATTTAGATTTAAGGGTGCTCTCCTACGGACGAGGGTGACTCAGCCTCCAATTACCTACAAGTACCTACAATGTGCATGGGTTGATAATATTGTATGTATATGAATAGTGCCGGTGTTCGTGCACGTGACGGCGTCGACGACAAGTATCGGCAAAGACCTGAAACTCACTTGCGAAGTGGATGGATACCCGGAGCCTGATGTCTACTGGACAAAGGACGGCGTACGTCTTGAAAACAACGAAAGAATCCTTATTACTGGTAAGTTAAGACTTTCCGGGCGGCCTACCTGGTGGAAAGTGCTACTGATCGTAGGCTATTACATCTGTAACATGAGCATTACTCTTGAAACAAATCTCTATGTCAACGTTTATCCAATATCCAAAAAAACTCAACAAAGCCAAAGTAAATACCTACTAATGTCGATAGATCGGAATTGGATTCAAGAGTAAGCAAGCCCTCTCGTCCCTGATCTGTCTCACGTTGGTTACCGACCCTGGCACAATCTGAAGGTTTTATTAAAAGCATTGCTGCAAAACACAATAGGTAGGTATGTAAGAACTTACGAAGGTACTTATATAAACATAACATCATGCCTTTTTATCCCCGAAGGGGTAGGCAGAGGTGCACATTTCAGCACTTAATGCCACTGTACAATCAAATGTAACACCCACTTTTCACTATTTATGTTATGAGTCCCACGTAATAGGGGGTGAGCCTATTGCCATATACCGGGCACATTGCCAGACTCCGTGCTACCACTGAGATTTTTAAAAACGCAGTAATATTTTGCCCGACCCGGGAATGGAACCCGAGACCCCTTGCCCGGCAGTCGCACTTGCGATCACTCGGCCAACGAGGCAGTCCTACCTAGGTACCTACATATATTAATAGTGCATAATAGTATTTCCCTCATCTAAAGTCCTACTGAGCTGGCTTTGTTATGAATAGAGATCAAATGTACACAAATAAGCAGAAATCATCGACCAATCCAATATATGTATATATAGGTATCGGCCTACATATACCTACGTATGTATAAATCTCTCGATCGATTTCGATCGTGGGCCCACTACTATGCACGTTTTACCTGCAGGTAACGTGGAATCCCGGCTGACGGTGCAGCGAGTGACAGTCTCTGACAGCGGGCTGTACGCCTGCCACGCCAGCAACCTCTACACCTCGGGAACTGACACTGCGCAGGTTAACATAAAGCGTAAGTAACTATTGATACAATGTGCAGCGAAGTGTTATACATAAATGTACTTAGGCGGGTGGCATTAGGTGGCATTTAATTGTGGGAGGCTCACTTCTTATAATAAATTGAGAGAGACACGATCTTGCCGCTGTGACCGTGCGGCACGCGGTGTGGTGTGCGGGAAATATCGAAAGTAAAGAAATGTTTGAAGCACGCCACGAGCAACGCAATGGCAAGCGGTGTAGGGAGCGGCGGGAACAAGTGGAAAATCCGATCGCGTGATTCACTCGTACGGTTTTTCCATACGTGAATCGCGCGACGCGATCAGTATCTATACAAAATGTAGTGTATCAGTGACGTGAGTAAAAACACTCGCCACTACGACCAAAGCAGTAACGCGAATTTGAGTAGTGTTACTACTATTATATTCTCAATTTATTAAATAATATTCTGTCCACAGAAGTTTTTGTACCACCTAAATGCACGGACAATCCATTCTTCGCTAATTGCGTCCAGATCGTGCGCAGCAAATTCTGTGCGCACAAGTATTATAAACAGTAAGTACATACCAACACCATCATCTTGAATAATAAACATTTTGTTCAAGACTGACGAGATAGTTTTTTCTTATTTATTTAAGGACCTATCTCCCTACCTTTCAAGCGCTTAATTAAATATCTATTGCCATGCCTGTAGTTTCCAGGGTATCAAAATTAAAAATCTAATTAGTTCGTCAGTTAGATAATGAAAAAAAATTTGACACATTTTTTTATTGTCTCGTATTAAGTTGCAATACTTAGATAAAATGGCGCTACGTTTAGGAGTGAAGGGTCGTTACGTCATAACGTGCTACAAAATGTGGCACGCTGTGACGTCACACGATATTTCAAATTAATGTATCGTCGAAAGTAATTAATTTTGTGAGAAAAGAAAAAATACGTGTTCAACTTTTTGAAATGAATGTACCAGACGGACATTACAATAAAATTTAGGAAACTACCCTATTATTTACGCTTTATTTACCTATGTTCCCAGCTTCTGTTGTAAGTCGTGCGTGGAGGCAGGTCAGCTCGCGCCCCCGGAGGAATAGTTTCAAGCAGACTAACCCTTGAAGAAGAAGAAGACGGAATCACGGGGCCTTACGTAGTAACGTGTTGCCAGATGTAACGAATACTGATGTTAGGATAGGAATAACTGCGCTTACGGGACACCACGCTAAGGCACCGGCGCCGCACCGTGCACATCATGGATAGGGTGTGCCATACACGAACTGCTTAAAGCAGTCAGGATCGACTGCTTCAAGCGGCTGCATAGTGAACTAGACTTCTATATATGTCGCGGAGAACCTAACGGGTTACCGGGGCTCCGGCTCGACGTGCAGGAGAAGGAACGGCGTGGTTTTTAGTCAGTAAGAGTCTGACACTCCCTCCCGCCTCACCCAGGCGGGAGCAGTCATTCGATGATTTTCCCCCCTTAAAAAAAACTTCTACATATGTACATACATAGTTTAGATGTTAGTATTCATAAACTGTGTGTCAAATGTTTTTGTTACAATAAACACTTTTTATTTATTATTTATTTATACACGGAGTGCTGGACATTTCATCAGTCGCCAAGCACACACTGAATGCTTGCACCGCGCCCGCGCTCTTCATTGCACGTCATTTAACATTAACTTTGAAATTGATTATTACTTGAGAAATTATCAATGGTAGCTTCAAGCTATTCTCTTTCCACAAGTTCGTTTAACCGCTTGAATGCACTGATATGAGACACAATAGAAAATACATTGTCTCGCGTGGATCCACGTTTAGACACACGACGGATTAAACTTTAAGTGAATCATTGGGTAAATGCCCAAGCAAGTCGTGTATGGCAGGCCTGAAAGTCCCGATTAGAGTTAAAATTAGTAGTTATCCCGATTAGAGTTAAAATTAGTATAGTTAGTAAGAATGTCTTACGACATAAATTATGTATAGAACAAAAAATCATCAAATGAATTGCATGTTGTATTTATTGAAAAATAAAATAAGTTAGTCATATAAATTATGCTCATAGCACAGCCAAGGTATGTAGTGCATAGTCACAAAATGTTGCATGCAAACGGTACAATATTCCTACGTTTTGCTGTAGTTTAGTAGTGATGATGACGGCGTATGAAAATTAAAAATCTATTTAGTACATCAGTTAGGTGATGAAAAATATTACACACATACATATTTTGTTGTATAAGAACACAATACTTAGGTAAAACGAACCAAAGTTTAGGAGTAAGAGCTAACTACGTCATTTCTAAACGTACACAAAAGCGACGTCACGCGATATTTCAAATCGAAAGTATTTGTTTCCGTTAGAAAATAAAAAATACGTGTGTAATGTTTTAAAATAATCTACCAGACGGACATTAAAATAAAAATTAATCATCTACCCTATTCTTTTATTTCACAGCATAAGAACAGAACGGATTTTCATACAACAAATCTCAGTTTTGTAACCCAACCACTTAAATTTTAAACAACCCAAAGCTAAGATAGGTGTGACACTAAACAAAATTTTGGTTTTCACCTACTTATAAGTAACACCTAACAGTACAAGTAGTTTAAGTGCTCCCTCGCGCTAAGTAACACTTAGTTAAGAGATAGTTAAGGAGTGGTTGATGAAAACGGCCATTAGTTCTTTATAGTATAACTACTTTAGACTTGTACATGATATTGCGTACGAGTATAAAGTTAAATTTGTTCTCATAAATTGAGTTTTTAAGTATGTAAGAACAACCGCACCGCATGACTGCTCTATGACATTATCATTAGAAACATAATAAATTAAAAACTGGTTTTTATAATAACTATCGTGAGCTATACTAAATTAACTAAAAATCACGGGTTACTAGCAGAACTAGAAGGAACAGTAAGCTAACAGACCAAGCACGCTGTTCATGAAGAAGAGCCCCTCTGTAGCTCGAAACTAGTAGAGCTTTTCTCATTATGTTCACGAGAGTACCCTGCGATTTTTAGTTAAATTAAAATTTGTAGAACAAAACAAGACATCTTACAAAACTAATGGTTTATGTAATTATATTACACATTTCGTATAAAAAGGCGTCTAAATATTTACTATACGATACATTATTAGCTTGATTATGTAAAATCTACTCGTTTTAGGAATATAGCTTCGATTATTTAGATACGTTTAATTATATAATTATACCTAAGGCTAGGTTCAGATATGTCGCTTGTCCATACAGTACCATATTTGAACTCAGCCTCATTCTTATCGTTAAAAAAGAGAGGCCAGCCTAAAAGTTAAGTCCCTTCAATGGCTTTTCATATTATCTTTGTATTGGATTCGACTGACAGAACGTAGCTTATTAAGGGCTCCGGTGTAGCTCGAAATTAGACGGGCAAAAATATTTGGAAACAATCCGTACAAACTCTATTTCATTTAATGTCAAAGGAGATTAACTAGTATAAATAAAAATGCTACAGATATTAAAATTATACATAATATTTGTAATTCTACATAGACATATGAGTCAATATACACAGATAATGAAGTACTTTATGATGTATATTTTTTGTTACAACAACTTAAAAGAATCCTAACAGAGACATATGACGTCATTACGCTAAAGGACTTAATTTTCAAAATTATTTTTAACAATCGTAATCGTAAGACTTGCACGAAAATCGCCTTTATGACCTACGCAATAAAGCTGGTAGCGTGTTCCAAGAGTTAATACAGACATGGTAGCGCCTTACATGCAGTCTGGCTAAGTCAGACTTGGATTAAAACAATACTTGAGCCGTATAAATACTTTGAAACATAAACTATTAACATAATAATAATTCGCCTAGATTTCATGCAGGTGAAGTGAAATCTAGTACAGTATCAGGCGAAAAATATTGCACATCGACTTTTAAAAGACCATAATTATGTGATGTTAATTTATACAAAGCCATATCTTTTTCAATCCTTTTATGATTCGACTCTATACTCTTAATATATCTTGGCCGATTGTCTCTTTCCAAAAGTGAATGTGCAGTATTGATCGCCGGGTACTGTAGACTATATATTGTAAGTGTACATTTCGGATCAAACTATTAGAGATATTCATTACCGCCATCTAGCGAGCACAACGCATTAAGATTCAGTGCTAGTAATACATGTGGGCCATAATGACAATAAGAAGGGTTATAGCAGTGGTGGGCAGACTATGTGGCTTTTGAAACATCTCCAGAGCGCCGAGGGTTCTTTAAAATGAAGTCAAACTGCTTCTCTCGCGGGTGAGGACTCGACTAAGAGACAACATTTTCGATAGAGATCAAGAGTGGAGATTGGAAGGCTATTGATGATCTTACTAATATTATAGAATATGCTAAAGTTTTTGTGTGATTGTAAGTCATTCACGTCAAAAAACATCGGGATGAAATTTGGAAGAGAGACTCTCCCCCCCCCTTGTTCTAAATTTCATCCCTAGTCTTCCATCTGGTCATCCCTTTATGGTCTGAAATAGCAAACTTCTTATTATCCCATGGGAAAGAGGGCTAAAATTACCCACGATCTTATTACAACCAACAATATGGGACTTATAAATTAAAATGCGTTGCGATATAGATGGCGGTGACTTTGATTTACACAGCGCAACCCAACGTAGCATGGTGTCGTAACCTTTGATTGCCCACCAAGGTACTAAGTACACAAAGTTATTTTAGAACTTAAGTGGTCGTAACTTAAAGAATTGTTCTACAACTTCGTCCGTGACCGTCGCCCTACGTTTCTGGTACTCTTGTATCCACGGTGTGATCACATCGATCGCTTCTCTCTTCAGTTCACCAGTCAGCATCACGCCCGATTCATATTCTTTCTTTATCTGTGAATGGGTAATACTGGGTGAGTGGTCATTTTACATCAGTAAAGAGTACAGCAGACCCAAAGTCCAGACTGACGGAATAACTATTCCGTCAGTCAAAGACAGTCAGGCATGCTACAAAATGTAGCACGCTGTGACGTCACACATATCTAATGTTTTAAATCTATCAGACGGACATTAAAATAAAATTTAGGAAACTACCTTTATAATCTATTCTATCGTCACTACATGACGAATTGGTTAGTATAATCCCTACTTTACAAAATCTCAACACAATATTGTACAACGTCAATTATAATTTAATTACCTCTGCTAGCCGGTCATCATCCTCCAAGAAGAAGGTAAGGTACTTGTATGAAATATCCACGTCAGTGTTGCCACCCTTCAGTCTATGTTCCTCTACGGTAGTTCTACCTCCTGAGAACGCGTATTTGTTTATCTGTGGAACATTACAATAATATTTATTGAGATGGCAATAATATTGATCGTTAGTAACATAGGGGTGTTATTTTTAAAATAAGCAGTTTATACAGATCTTTGTCAGTTAAAAGATTGTGTCTTTATTCAAATCATAACAGATTTAAAAGTATTACTGGGATTGTCGGCGGTGTATGGCAATAAGCTCACCCCTTATTACATGGAACTTATAACATAAATAGTCAAAAGAGGGTGTGTATATGTACACCCCTGCCTTCCCCTTCGAGGAGCAAAGGCGTGATGATGTATATTTACTAGATTTAAAAAAGGCATAATATAAAATATAAATAAAAAATACCTTAGTCTTAATATGTTTGGCGCTATCATTCAAGAATATAGAGGTGTTTGCGTCACTGGCAGACATTTTGTGCTGAGCTCCTTGCAACGCAGGTAGGAAGGTGGAATGGATGAGGGACGGCTTCGGCAACTTCAGGCGAGCAGCCACGTCGCGTGTCATGCGGAAGTAAGGATCCTGGTCGATGGCACAGGGTACCAGGCATGGTAACTGGTGACAAAATTAAATTAACCCTTTGAGTACCGTCATTATAGACACAATTAAAGAACAATAGGTGTGCGGACATCGGTGTCCTCGCGGTGTTTGACAGTTTAATTAATGAGTTCCATTGTGACTTAAAACAAACAGAGCCTTAAAATCAAATCAAATCACTTTAATTCAAACAGATCAAGTGAGTACCTAATCTGTTTTTGTAATCAATATAGTTTGTCTCCCCATAGTTATTTTATTGATAAACAAGTAATGTTGTAATTGACAGCCTCGTTGGCCGAGTGGTCGCAAGTGGTCGTAAGGTTCGAATCCCTGGTAGAGCAAAGTACTACTGGGTTTTTAAAAAAATCTCAGTCGTAGCACGGACTCTGGATTTTTGCCCGTTATATGGCTATCGGCTCACCCCCTATTACAAGGGACTCATAACATAAATAGTGAAAACTTGGTATTACATTGTACAGTGGCATTAAGTGTCGTAATGTGCACCTCTGTCTACCCCTTCGAGGATAAAAGGTTGTTATGTTATAAGTAATGTTATATTTTTTATTTTTATTTCACTGTATCATCTCCTGCTAACTGGCGCAGTAGTAGTACAGTAGCCAGCAGGTCAGCCAACTCCAATCTGTCAATGTTTTTCATTACAATTAGGACTTTATATCTAAGCAATAAAGTTGACAGAAAGGAGTTGACGTTCCTTGCATTTTAGATGCCTAAAAGTTTTTATTGTAAGTTATTTAGAAAATATTTTATTCTCAATCTAAATAATAACTACGACAATGACGAGACTATGGGAGCTGTGATTATTAAAAACTAATTATTTAATTTTTTTTAAATATGGCTATATATTATATACTTACGACTTTATTTTCAAATATAAACGGAAAGCTGGTTGAGAAGGCTGGAGCAGCCTCTATGGAAGGGAAGGTGATCTTGCCGATGACATCAGAGTCTCCGAAGCCGAAAATACCCTTCACCTGGTTGTAAGTTACACACTTCTGTATCCTCACCATGTTCTGGTAGAATGCTGGACATTTGCTGCAAAAAAAGTTATAGAATGTCACGATTCTTGTCACCATGTACATCCATGTCATAACTACTAACTATACAACTAATCTTCAAAAATTTTTCAGAAAAAATTATTCACATGCATCCAGTGAGCTGCGTGACGTCGCCGCGACCGCGCACGCTGCTCATGAGGAAGAACCCTTCTGTGGTTCGAAACTAGTAGAGCTTTTCTCAGTATATTCACGTGAGTGACCCGCGTATTTACTTAATTTAGTATGTCTCACGATAGTTATTATAAAAACATACATACAATAAAGTTCTAAACATTTTGTATTTTTTAAGCATAATTATTCATTTATCTTAAAATTAAATACAGAAGTACATGCTTTGTATAGCAGCGTAATCTGGTCAACAACAATGTGAATTCTTTTATAACTGGTCAATTTCCAAGCGATCACCGGTGACCGCTCTCCACTCACTATGTTATAGACCTTATATCTGGTAATTAAAGACTATTTTGTATGAACAATATTTGGGGAAGTGAATAAATTACGTTTAAAGAAACCGACTTCAACCCCCTTTTTTTAAAGTCAGTTAATATACTATAACTTAACTTTCTTCTAAGTATAACAAACACTTTTCTGAATACTGCATTGAAATCGGATCAGCCATAGCCGAGATAATCGCGCACAAACATATACATATGTATATATATATATATATACAAGTCAAATTGAGAACCTCCTTCTTTTTTTGAAGTCGATTAAAAATGATCTTAACTAACAGTATTCAAAGAATTACTTTACTATAACTTAAAAATTATGGTAACGGATTTTACTTTGAGGCGGTGGCTAGGCATCTAGCTGCCACGTAACGTGTAGTGATTACGATTCTCGCACAGACCAACTCTTTGTGTAATCTACAAATTGTTATTTCAGGTCTGTGTGTCATTTGTATGTGAAATTATGTTTGTTTGCACCTACGACACAGAAGAAAATCTTTGTATGGGGTAACATTAAAAAAAAACATATCAAACCACTCACCCAATAAAGTCCAAATTGTTAAATATGAACGTTTTCTCCACATCGAAGCCGACAGCGATGATATCTTTGGCATTATCGAAGGCCATCTTCCGAGCATCATCTATCTTCAGGTCTCTCCACAGCACCTTCTCATCATCAGTCAGCTGAATGAGTAGAGGGACGTCAAATACATCTTGGAGCCATCTAAAAAGGTTCATTAATTTAATTACATGTATGTAATTATTTAATTACATGTTACATGTATGTATGTGCATGAATATGTAATTAATGTCGACTGATGCTAACAAAGTGTAAACGTATTTGCTTTTACAGTTTTTTCTGTCTGCAGTCAAACTATTCATATTATCAACTTTTAATTTATACAAGTAATTGTGGTAACGCACTTGTCTCCTGTCCTGTCACCTCTGTTGTTCCAGCTGTCCATAGGCGACAACAATTGCTTACCATAAGCTTGTATACCGGCTTATCCCATAAAAAATTTTAGGCATAGGTACCTGTCCTATCGTTCTGACAATAAAGTTAACAGAATAATTTTAATAATAAAGACATATTTAGTGTATGTTTTTTTAACTGAGGAACCAAATAACTAAGTCAGTTATCTGCACTTATCATAGACATCAGAGTACCTCTGTTTTTACTGTGGAATATCTTCAATGCTATAATATCATACTAATAAAAATAGTATCCACAACTTACTTCGTGAAAATGAAAGGGACCATGTGTCCGATGTGCATGCTCTCTGAAGACGGACCCCGACCAGTGTACAAATAGAATTTCTTGCCCGCCTCATACAAATTGAGGATATTGTGAATATCTCTGTGAGAGAAAAATATTCCACGCCTTAGAAAGTGATGTGCTGTAAAAAAAAATTTTTGTATTAGTACTTTTACGTGAATCTTGTAACTGACATTCCTAATAGGAACGCCACCGGAAACCACTAAGTCAAATTAAATTCTTTTTTAACATGATAAAATTATAAGTATTCATTTTCATTTTAAAGGCAATATCTAAAATATTTTCTTTTAAATTTTAGTATTGTTCTAGCATTATTCAAATAATAGAAATTCTAGAAATTTAACTGAAAATAAAATCAGTTAGTGAACTATTATTCATTTTAGACAGTTATTATTGAAAGCAATCTATAGAAGACTGAGGAACTAACAAAAACAACAAAAAATAAACCTTTCTAGAAAATTTACCTTTTTTCCCAGTGACTTTTTCAAACCTCTGAATAATTTCATCGTCAATCTTCTGACTGCCAAACCTCTCTGAAAAATAAGTTATTATATTTTACTTAATTTTAAGTTCTTTCAAGTTGGCAAATAAATAAGTTATTGGGATTTCACTTACTTATTAGCTTATCATAGTCAATACCCGTCTCGGACTTTCCAGAAACGGTCCATGGGTCGACGAAGTCGTCATCCTCATTGGCAGTAGGTTTATTCACTGGTTCCTCAGCCATTATGTGGTCTGAAACAAATATATTAAATTTCCCTGAAATATTGAGTGTAATATCACTAAATATTGTATTAAACAAACATTTTAAGACAGGTGAAAGCGCTTAGTGATATTTGTAGAGTAACAATCTAATAAGATTTCTTAAAATAATTGGAAAAATATGGTCCAAAATTCTCAAGACACGGTCTTAACGTCAGATCATCAATATTTTGCAGGTTATTTTTAGTATACATAGGAAACTTACTTGTGAATTTGTTAGTCCAATCCCTGTAACGCTACAGTAAATTGCTGATTAATATTCGGTAGTATTTAAACTATAATCTGATGCAATTTTATTCAAAAAAATATCAACATCGATCGCATATGCGGCGCTATCAAATTCAAACACGTCACGTCAGAAGTTTTGTTATCTGTGATTCTGTCAGATATCAAGATCAAAATAGCGGAATAAATGTTTTACTATCCTTAAAAAGTAAAAGAGACTTCATATAACTTATTTTTGATGTATATGTCTTATCATTAATTTTGTATATTAAATTTTAGTTTTTTATTTTTTGGGACAACAAAAGAAAATATTTATAATACGAATAATAAAACGTACTAAAAACCTACCAAAATAAAATGTTGCCAGTCTTATGAAACGTAAAATGATCTCTCGTCCTTTAGCTTTCGCCTTGTCGCAATAAATAAGAAACGATTCATTACATTTGGACCAGAAATTTACTTAAAATTAATTATTTATATAAACGTTACTCAATTCTTTATGAATTAAGCAAGATTTGTTATGGACAAAACTACCATAATCTTTTATTTTTTTCTTACTGCAGTGCATGCATGACAAACGTCAAAATTTGTCAATAATACGTTTCAGTGATCACAATTTTTTTGCTGTATTTACGATAGGGAGTAGGATAAGCTCGCATTTCTTTGTCTGAAAATTTTATGGAGATTTTGTGTTAAACAAGCCCGTGTGTTGGTGTTCTTGATGGTGTCCGGTGACGATTCAAATGGTGGCCGTTTGTCGCGTAAAACTACGAGGTCCCCGAACCGTAAGTCGAAGAAGACAGATGCAGACCTAGCCAAGGGGTCAGCGTTGCGACATGATTCGCAACCTTCAGTCCATAAAAGGAATCTTTACGTCGTTTCTTTCCCAATTATTATTTTATTTAACGTGCTAAGATCAATTTTGTATCAACTTTTTATAATTTTTAAATATTTGTATACGGCGTCTCATCGGTTTATGCACAAGCCTCGTAAGGCAGGCGAGTGTAACTTGGAAGTGGTAGTGAAGGACGGTATAGTGTCTACAGAGCTAGCCCCCAGTGAAGAAATGTCTCACATACACAATGTGGGTCCCGGAGACCCGTTGCTGGCCAAACAGAAACACCATCACCGGAAGGCTTTTGAGTATATCTCCAAAGCTTTAAAAATTGATGAAGAAAATGAGGGTGAGTTGTATTTGATAAGCACTTTAATTATTTGGACTATAAGACATTATAAAATTATCAATTTACCTATTTAATAATAGATTAAATAAGTAACATCACCTTTGTAAGCACCAATGTGTGTGTATGCTTTTTTACTAATGTGATTTGATAAATGAGATTATTTTTCATGTGAGTAACGATCCAGGAAAATTTTGATTTGCTGCTCATGTTATTGAACTACTTCTAAATTATGAGTAAATACCTATTGTACCATAAATGTAATTTTTAATAAGAAAATAGTGACACATGGCCAGTACCTAATTTTTACTCAACCACTAGTATTACTCATGTAACCAGACAAAGGACAAAATCTAGACAAAAGACAGAAAACTTAGAAATTATTGAATTAAATCTTTGTTCATTTATGTACTTAATTACTTTTCTAAAAAATACTTAATTGTATTATAATAAAAAGTGCTGTTCAGTTGTAAACCAGTTCTTTTGGTAGAATATTCATAAGGAGAATTTATAGAAGAGTAATTATATACCTATTTTCCACTAGTCAACATGTCTTTTGTCTTTAGAATATAGTTCACAAAGAAAGCAGTGATCCTTTACAAGTATTTGTATGCATTCCTTATATTCTTATACATATAATTGTGTGCTCCATTTCTATTAACTTAGTTTACTATGTCTCTGGCATGTGTATTGAAAACCATCACAAAAGTCCACTTTGTTTATTTACAATAAATCTTTTATTTGTCAATTTACTGGATATTAAATGCCATTTAATGACAGAATTTAAATTATATTCTTGATTGGTTAAATATAAAAACAAAATTTGAACTACATGTGAATCTGATGCCCACCTGTAGTTCAGTGATGCAGTTAATGTTTAGACATTTGAACAATGTTGTTGTAAACATTATTAGATGAATTGACATTGATAATGAGAGAGTTGAGAGACATAGTTTGTTATTAGATAACAAAGTCAATACATCTCTCTAAAACTATCAACAATAAGTAACCTTCTCCCACAGGCCAAAAAGAATTAGCAATAGAGCTTTACAAAAAAGGCATTTATGAGTTGGAACGAGGGATCGCCGTAGACTGCTGGGGCGGCCGCGGCGACGCCTGGCAGAGAGCACAACGACTCCACGACAAAATGAAAACTAATCTAGGCATGGCCAAGGACCGACTGCACTTCCTTGGTATGAAACTATCCATCTCCAATCACTGAGCATCACTGCCACAACTCCAAGCTATGACCCAACTACGCTATTTTATTTTGAAAGTGGAAATTGGCTGAATGTCTGCATGCTAAGCTTCTTTTATTTTTCTTTCAACATATATACACAACCTATCGTACAGTTTCTATTGAATATAATTTTATATTCCCCAATGTAGCCAACCTAGTCGCCCTCAGTAAGTTGGGCGTAGAGAGTGAGCCCGAACGGAGTGACAAAAAGCCGACGGAGTCGCCCCTAAAGGCGCGACGGCTTGAGAAGTCGAAGACAACGTTACTCGCGCATACAGAAAGTAACAGTGGTCAAACGAAGCCTCCGAACGAAGGTAGACACACAAGAAATAATGCTTAGCTTCGTTTGACGTAACCTAATGCAAAATTCAATCGAAAATTCAACTAACATTTTAATAACTTCATAGTTATAACACTACACTCGACATTGGAAACTAATTGGACTGTTTTTGTTTTTAAATTGTCAGTGTTTGCATGGGTTGTCTGCCTACCATCATTTCAGCTTGCAATCGTTTTGAATAACACAGTGTGATGTGTTTGTTGTGTTAAGCTTTCCACTGCCTCTATAGGATATTTAATAGCTACTATAAAAGAAGCCATTCTTTGAAGACAGCCGAGTAATTTTCCCGTTCATAACTAATCCATCGATCATTTTGTATGCAAAGTGCATTAACAAATGTTTGTCTTGTCGTTACATGTATGGTCGCAGTACTTGCATAGTAACTAGGTCGGCAACTAGGCGCACACATTTATTAGCACAGCGCACAACTTGACACGTAACACGTCATTAGACCATGTTATCAGTGTTTAGAAGTCTAGATTTTCAGCTTAACAACACGGTCAAAGAGAAAATAAAGTAGTTAAGTCCGATGTACTACTTTCGTTAATTAGTAACGCTATTTATCAACAGTTTACTCTCTTCGTAGATTGCGGTAACAACGCTTCTTCTAAACATGTTCAAGAAACATTTACTTGCGCTTGCATTTACACATATTCGTTAAATAAGTTTCCTTACTGATAAATTACGTCACATTACGCATTTTCATTAAGTAAATTTCCTTTTAGATAAAGTTACGTTAAATTATGCAATTTTCTTCTGTACGCTAAATAAATATTTAAAGACATAATGCGGTAAAATAACAAGATAAAACAACTGCAAGGTTTCGATAAGACGTTGCTGATCTTTATGCAAAAAAACGTCTAAAAATAACTGACGTATCCTTGAACAATACAAAGCAGATTTAATTTATCGAGCGAAAAATGTTATGCTAATTGTCGGTTCCTAGTTTAGTTTGGTCTCAGTTCACTTGTGTTGAATGGATGGCCGCGGCGCGTGGGGGAGGACGCAATCATGCGCACACTGCGCACACGCACGATCTTTTACATACGACCTGTATTTCCCTAACATCTCGTTCCGGTTCAGTGGGTGGACGCACAGCTACTGTTTCAATTTAACCTCATTTAAATTACCTACATAGTTGAAAGCTATGTTTGTCCATTAAAACTTCACGCATGATTTGCGAATTGAATTTCGACTGATAGGAAATTTGATACTGGTACAAGAATGAAAGTAATTTAGAACAGTGTATAAGTAATTGAAATAGAGTTTACAAAATAAAATTCGATTTTACTCAAACTTCGCCGACATTGAGACTGTTCCGCAAAACTAATTGGTGATTGAAGATACTGTCTTCCAAGTAAAAAATAACCTTGATTAATTATTCTCTTTGGGAAGGAAGTCGATAACTCCTTGCTCATTATCAACGACTCGTGACATCTGGACAATATGCGTTTCCTCTACATAAGAGAGGTTTTTCATAATTTCCATGCTTGGCATTCGGCCAATTAGGCTTGACTGCCTCATTGACCGAATGGTCGCAAGTGCGACTGTCGGGCTTGGGGTCTCGGGTGCGATTCCCGGGTAGTAGTAGTAGTAACCCGGAGTATAGTATTACATGGGACTCATAACATAAGTAGTGAAAAAGTGGGTGTTACATTGTACATTGGCATTAAGTACTGTATTGTGAACCTCTGCCTTCTCCTTCGGGTATAAAAGGCGTGATGTTATGATGATGATGATCCATGCTTGGCGTGCAGGGTGGGGATCGCAGTTTAAATGTTACTTAAATGTTCAGGTTTATCAGAGCCCTCCCCCTCATAAACGTGAACATTTGCCTCTGATTGCTGACACTGGTGGTCTCTAACAAATGTGTAGCCCTTTAACGGGGTCTTACGACAACCACGGGAAAAGTAGTGGTGGTGGTGGAAAAATGTACTCTTTTCTGCCGTCATTACAGGGCCTTGCTTCTTTGTGCATAAATGTTACTTCCGGCCATAAAAAGACTGACAAAGAAAATGAATTCAAAACTAGATAATTTAATTTCCTGTTGATTTAATAAGAAGACACTTCGTTTGTCACAATTTCTCGCCAATTTCACAGCTAATGGTCCTTCGCAATCTGTTATAATCAACCAGGGGAAACGGCTTGTTATGGTGTTTATAGTTCGCTTAATGTAACGTAGGCGTCGTTTATTAGTCGCTCTATAAAACGCCCTTTTTATTGAAATGGTCGTAGGAGCTCATGGTTGCGAAAATGTGTAACCGTCTTTATTTAAAGTATACCACCGTCTTCAACTTTAAAGTTCTACTTTTTTGTCTTTGAATTACCTATTTTGTTACAATATTCAAGATAGTGTGTCCTTATGACAGTCTTCTTGTTCTTTGGTCTTTTTGGACCTGCTGGTTCTCACAAACACAAATCATATTACAAATATCTAAATAATTAATATCTTTTCTGGTCTGAAACTAGAACTTCCCTCGAGGGCTTATTTCCCAAACGTCTGCAAATGTAACGACAACTGCGACATGACAAATGAGAAACTGCAAATACACAACAGAATTAAACATTTTTCTCAATACATTGATGTACGTCTTCAACCAATCGATGTTCATTTATTTTTTTGCTATTAAAACGTAAAATTCTTAACGGTCCTCATTGGGAACCGTTAGGACTGATGGAAGCGAGCTGTGTGACATGACATCACGTCTGTAATACTCGAAAGGGCTAGGCGGAGACAATCTATGATATAATCTAGAGTCTATTGCCATTTTCTATCAGCTAAAATCAGGTAATCAGTCAAACTAGCTAGTTCAAAATACTCCAAATGTTAAACATTGTCTATGGGGTTAATAAGTCGCGGAGAACCTAACGAGTAACCGGGGCTCCAGCTCGACTTACAGGAGAAGGAACGGGGTGGTTTTTAGTCAGTAAGAGTCTGACACTCCCTCCCGCCTCATCCAGGCGGGAGAAGATTGATTCGATGATTTCCACCCCTTAAAAAATAGGGTTAATAAGATAGACTATTACCACAGTTAAAAGCACAAATAGATCGAACCGAAACATTACTTTTGTCCGCTCTAGACCATATTAGATAGTGTGTACAGCGGTCTGTTGCAGATTTTCAATAGATACCACTGGGCCGCCGAACCAAATTGACGGTATGGTGACGGTTCGGTTCGATCGTCGTTTGTGCTCTTAATGTGAGGTCCAAACTGAATGTGACCAGCAGTAGCAGAGCAGTACTTATCTAAAACCTATCCTCTCTGAAAACATAGTATCAACCTTAACAACATAGTCTAATTTTAGAGCCGTAAATGTCAATTTCTCGATAAAAAATCCATTATCGTTGACAAGAGATCAACAAAGGACATGTTTGAGTGCCAACACGCTTACAAATACATTTCAGAGTCTCTTAAGTCTGTACCTACGTCTATACCTTTCTAAATATCATCAATCCAATGCGAAATCAGTTCTTCTTCAATATTTACAAAGGCATATTGTAATAGATACAATTGAGCCTATCTAAAAGAAAGTTTTCACTGTCGTTTTTATAAAAGCACCTTTCCACAATGTCTCGTAGAAACCTCGAGATACGATACTATCGTCTGTCGGTCACTGACCTACTGACATTGGCACTGGCACCTTTTCAGCTACTCGATTCGATTACTCGATTTAAAAGCAAATCGATTCAGTTAAATCTGTCAATTTGAACTCGGGTGCTCTGATCGACACACGATTGGATGCATCGTACTTTGTATACGTCTAAACACGAATATTTTTATCGGGTGTGTCGAAGTTAGTCATGCAAGCCGTATTTATGTAGGTATGCATACACGATACCGTACCTATTTCCGTTCAAACATGAAATGGATGCTTGTACAATCACTCACTACATTTAAAAGTTACTAACTATATTTTGACTTTTGGTAAATAGATAGTTAAGCTAATGATTTTGAAAACTAAACTTTGAAGGTCCGTGTGTGCATGAGTCACAAAGCAAATTAGCACTTTGTTTGACGCATGAGAATGAGGCCCGGGAATAGAGGGGTGGTGAAAATGTGGCCTTATTTTCCATGGCCATTCCAAATTCAAAACATTTTAAAACAATGACAACGTTGACGTTGTTTGTAATAAAACCAGTCTTTTTAAAGAGTTTATCTATATAGTATATTCTGTCATTATATTCTTTATTTTACACTGTATTTTAGGCAGGTATAGCTGCGTAATTTGATTTTATGTATTAACTTCATAATGGATGCTGTATCACGAATAGCAATCTCTTCCTGACTTCTTATATGTATCATAATTTAAATAATACATAAACAATGTATACGAATGTTCTGAACGAAATAACCTACTTTAATTTAGCATGTACTTAATTCATATTTTAATTGAATGCTTTATTTCTTTATAATAGTGTGACGTCACCGTTTGTCACGTCATACAAAATATCCTTAATACTGCCTTAATTAATTCAGAAACTCTTTTCATATTGGAGATTTGGTTACCAAAGAAGAGAAAAAAAAATGCAGAAACTCGATAGTTCGTTCTAATGTCTATTATTACTATTAGTGACTGAAGCTATAGATTTTCCTTTTCATGTAGCAGTTCCTTTATACGCTTTATTTATAGGAATCAAGTCAAGGAGGTTTTATTGCATCTATTAATTGTTTATGTTCATTACCCTTGATGAAAACGTGCAACGTTGACTGTAGGCAAGTTAATTAGTTGTTTGTATATTGTCTATGTATGTACAATAGGGTAGACGACTAATTTTTATTTTAATGTCCGTCTGATAGATTATTTAAAAACATTAGACACGTATTTTTTATTTTCTCACAGAAACGAATAGTTTCGAAGATATATTGATTTGAAATGTGGCGTGACGTCACTTCTCAGTACATTTTATACTAAGAAATGACGTTTTAGCCCCCACTCCTAAACTTTGATTCGTTTTATCTAAGTATTGTTTTATTAAACGACAAAATAAAAAAATACGTGTCTAATATTTTTTCATTACCTAACTTACGGACTAATTATATTTTTAATTTTCATACCCTGTCATCATCCCCATTGTAGAAGGATGGTATAGTATATTATATACATGTTAAAGTGACGTAATGAAATCTTGTATGGAATTGAAAGATATGGGCTTTAGGGTCTCCTTAGACGGTAATAATGTCGTGGTGGCCCGGAGGCTTGTCATGCATGAGGGTGCGGTTCAAAACCCACCAACGGCAAGTACCAATGTGACTTTTTCCGCGTTATATGTATTTTCTAAAATTATCTAGACATCACTGACAAACGGTGAAGGTAAACATCGTGAGGAAACCTAAGCTTATAATTTCTAATTATAAATTTGTAATCGCCAACCGGCATTGAGCAAGGGTGGTGATTAATTCTCAATCCTTCTCCGTGTGAGAAGTGAGAAGTGTGTGTGTTTGCTCAGCAGTGGGCATTTATAGGCTGTTGATGAGACGGTATTAGGGTGTAGGATCTGCTGCTTGCTGCTGGATGTAAGGAAGTCTTGTAGTAGTAAAATAATTCTTCTAAGCGTCTTCATAATTACACGGTTTAGTTAGAGACTTTGGAAAGACTGAAGCGGTAATTTCTGAACACTTTCACTCTTTTCAAATAATTTTAAAATAGCTAAGTATGAGTCAGACGTGAAATAACTAAGAAATGGCACGTTTTCAGTTATTATTCTGTAAATTTTGTACTCCTAATATCTAAACTGGTAAAAATTAGACCTACGCTAAAATTATTACTGTAACACATAGGTTGCAAATGTTGCAATAAAAAACATTTATAAGAGTCAAGTAAACAGCGGCACTTAATTTCATCTTTAAATCTAAAGTTGGTAGACAAACAAGATGATTTTTGTAATAAATCTCTTTTGAGCTGACCCAAATTGAATTTAAAAATAAAAGTCGCTGCACTTCGTAACCTCGTTTCTAAAATAGTGAGCTATAAACATAGACAATTTTACTTTGAATAGATAAACTTTTATAGAAAGGAAGTGATAGATTTAGTATTATAGATTATTTTTGACGTTTTATTCTTCCTTATTAGATACTTGATTAAACTACGGCTTCCGCACGATTTTTCTTTCGCTTACATTACATGCGATTTCCACGAATATGTATAAAGTAAGATTAGCCTCGTTGGCCGAGTGGTCGCAAGTGCGGCAAGGGGTTCGATTCCCGGGTCGGGCAAAGTATTACTGGGTTTTTTAAAATTTCTCAGTAGTAGCACGGAGTCTGGAATTGTGCCCGGTATATGGCAATAGGCTCACCCCCTATTACATGGGACTCATAACGATAAACAGTGAAAAGTGTTACATTGTACAGTGGCATAATATGCACCACTGCCTACCCCTTCGGGGATAAAAGGCGTGATGTTATGTTATGTTATGTTAAGATTAGCCAGTCCAGAAGTTCTTGAGATTTTGCAAGACCTAACAATAATTGACATTTAAATTACATTAAGATTTGTTCTCCGGTTTTACGTGGATGATCCGTTCCTATAAATTAACTTTACAAGTTAGTTAAAATGATATCTTATTTAGATAGTAAGCACCTTTCATTATTTATCTCAATTTTCTCCCAAGTTTGTTGAAATTAGATTTTTGCAATTTCCTGTGAAGGTCATTTGAGTACATTGCCGCCTACGTCTTATTACTTCATTTAGGTAAAGATGATCTTTGATCCCCGGGGAGGCTACGAACACTTATTACAATATTTACATAAAGGTACAAAGAAAGTGTATCTTTAGTCTCTTCAGGAGACGAATATTGTTAAGAAAAGTATGTCGTATTTCTCAAAATAGTCCAATTGAAAAAAGAAACATTAAAAGTTATTGGTACTTTGTAGACTTATAGGTGGTTAAACCGTTAAACAAGCCACCACAAAAATTGCGGGTTACTCATGTGAATATACTAGGTAGGCTGCGTGACATCACCGCGACCGCGCACGCTGCTCACGAGGAAGAACCCCTCTTTGGTTCGAAACTAATAGAGCTTTTCTCAGTATATTCACGTGAGTAACCCGCTATTTTTAGTTAATTTAGTGTGTCTCACTACCTCTATAGTTATTATCAAAACACATTATCGCATTCCAAGCAAAACGTTCCTAATTTCACGCATAATTAATTTAAAACTAATTTTTGACATTTCAGTAAGTATTGAATTTGATTACTTGTCATCATCCCCGAAGATAATCTCTATTGTTAATCCAATAATTCCATCTTCTAAAATAAAGAATTATCAATCAATCATGTCATGATGTGTGTCACCTCAATTTGAACCGTCTGCCGTTGCCATAATAAACTCTGACGCATCGTCGGTCGTTCAGCGAAAATAGTGCTTCAATTAGCGCCTTTAAATAGAGCAATGAACTTTAAAATGGTATTGGAATCAGTCAGACTTGACCTATCAATTTTAGCTCATTAGTCCGACTGTTTCTAAAATACAGACTGACGTTTAGGAACTGAAAAGTCTATCGTACTTACGAGTAATAATTTAATTAGGTATCCAAGTTTCGAAGCGTGAAAGCGTTTACCATGAAACATCATATCAGTCTGGAGTAGTAGTCGTCAATCCATATCAGAATCGGTAACTAAAATGTATTTTTTTAAGCGGGGAACGTCATCGAATGACTTCTCCCACCTGGGTGAGGCGGGAGGGAGTGTCAGACTCTTACTGATTAAAAACCACCCCGTTCCTTCTCCTGCACGTCGAGCCGGAACCCCGGTAACCCGTTAGGTTCTCTGCGACAACTAAAATGTATGGAGGTTGATTTTGTGGAAACCATGAGACACTATCTGCCAATTCCTAAATCTCTAAACCCTAAAAGGTCGACAATACACTTGTAACGTCTCTGGTTTTGCGGTTGTCCATGGGCGGGTGTTTATTGCTTACCTTCAAGGTCAAAGCATTTATTTCAATCAACCATTAATAAGGCACTTTTGAAATGTCAAAAATTGAATTTTTCGTCCGTCTGTTTGTCAGTGAAGCTAGGAGCTCGTTCCAAAGTGTAGTTTAGAATGGAGAAGAACGAGCAAGAAACACCATCGTTACGTTTAAAAAAAATGTTTTTTTTATAGTCTCGTCTCATTGACACATTATCTGATCTTTTACCAAGCCAGCCATCCTTTACCATCAAGTAACCCGTATGATCATACGCCGCCCTATCCCATAAAAATAAACTTTAACAAGAAGTGGCACAACATGATCTTGTTTGTGAATATTCGTATCTATTAGAAACCGTGACAAATGCACTAAATATCATGAAAATCTGTGCAGCCGTTCTTGACTTATAATCGCTGTAACGAACACGTCTTTGTTCTATACTAGGTACTTCCGTTTAGTTTTTCTCTCTAAATAGTTTTAAATATTGTTTCTGCAAACTTAACACTAGTTAGGTACCTACTTCTTAAATATTTTCGTCTCTTTTTGTAGCCTTTTCTGACTTTTAGATACATGTAATAACAAAATGTTTTTACTAGCTCATTTCCATAGAATTATATCTAGCTTCTACTAATATGACCAAACAGTGAATTCTATTATAATGTATGTGATATTAACGCTTTTCCTTTATAGTATATTGTAGGTCTAACTTTACTAAAATTAGTAAATTGGTTTATTACTATTTACGCTTTCCTAGACCGCATTTGTAGGTAACATTGGTAGTGATATACGATAAAGAAATCTAAACTGCTTTGCTACATACATAGAAGATTTATGTTCCACCTATTCACCATATTTACGTCTATAAGTGATAAGTAAGTAATCTTAATGTTATAATCTTCAGTCGCAGGTCGAAAGCTCACGACGGCTGGTCGTCGTGTGCCAAGTGGGGGAGGTGGGGGTCCTTTAATGAAGTCACAGACCCTCCCCCGTTCCATGGGCAGGTCATCATCACAGCCCAACAGCTCTAATGGAAGTTACAGCAGATATCCAGTGAAACCAGCTTCCACACCGCCCGCTGTCAAACGACAGCTTTCTGTAAGTTATTTGTTGTTATTTTTTTAGGTTGAAATCTTCTTCTGATCACTTATAATACTACTTAATTTAGGGACACTACATTATATACCGGCAGATATAAGCTATGCCTAAATTCTATGCCAAAATCAATGGCTATAATGCCTAAATTCGCGCATAGGAAAAATATTCAACACACAAAATGTAATTAGATAATTACGTAGTTCTGTACGATTAATTGTTATTCCTTTATTTAATACTTTTTACTGAAAAAAACCTATAGTGTATTTCTAGAAGCTAATAATACTTTTAGGAAGGTACAATCTATGAAATTACAAGGACGCGGCTAACGCATTGTGGTTGAATGGCCGACCTCAGACTTTACGAATTATTGTATTGAATTACACTTTGAAATAGTTAGGTACATTTTTTAGTAGCTAACAAATTAAACCTTCATGATTAATTAAGTAATAGGCATATATTATTTTACACGGTAATTCATATCCTATTACATTTGCTTTATAAACAATATCACTCAATATCTAGATGGCAATTTAGAGGCCTATCTAGACGCTACAAAACTTTTTTATACCACACGAAAGTGCGTGATAATCACGAAAAAGTTAACAACGGTCTATTACCGATATAAAAAAAGTAAATTGATAGGTGCTTCACCAAATAGCTTTCACGTCAAACGATGGCGCGAAGTCGCATAGCATCCAAAATGGCGGCAAGTAACCTATTTTTTTTTAATTCCATCGACCAGTTGTAAGTATGCAATGAACTTTTTTTAAAAAAGGAAGCCTTCGTTGTCACGTGACTTGTTTGCGGTCAGCTTGTGGAAATGTATCGCGTTACATTTCCGCCTTTAAAGAATACAATATGTAGGGTAACAAGGAAGTGCAATTCTCTTAAATTACCTACTAACTACTTTCATAGCTGTTTAGGCTTTGCGTAGAGGCTTAAGGTCAAAACAAATACATTTTATACTAAGTTTTTCTTATCGATTTTTATAATAACAGTATCTGCTATTGAACCTGTGGGAACTAATTATATTTTTGTGTTAGTATAACAACACCACAATAAAGTTGACTGCGCTTTCTATTACTTATGCCTTTAGGAATAGCACATAGAATTTCCAAAAGTTATATGTGTCTACCACGCACAGAAATATACCTGACTTTTATAGAAACATTTTATTACTATATAAAAAGCTGTAAAAGCTAAAGCATAATCAAACAAGATAGTGACGTCATCGCCATCAAAGGCCTACACAGTTATGTCATAGCATGTCACCAAAGTTACGTGTTACTTCAGTGTTACTTCATTCTATTACCCAGCAGTTTCCATGCTGCTATTATCTACTTAATAACCACTTTAACACACGTAAGTTCTATAGAAAACATGACAAAATTAGTAGCCAAAATACCCGATCAGTATATAGATTATAACCGTAAACCAGTTCTAACATTAAAAAAGAAAACAAAACAATATATTTCTTTTATTTCCTAAAAATAAAAGCTAGAAGAGCACACTGCGACTATTATCTATACCTAATCTATTCATTAGTAGATTTAGCTTCTAAAGGTAGATAACTATCCTACTAATATAATATGAAAATTTACGTCAAAACGGCTAAAGAGAACGAGATATAATTTAGAACAGGGAACGAGATATATTATGGTGTGGAATAACACATAGCCCCATTTTTGTGCCACGGGAACGATGACGAAGCTAGTTTGATGTAAACCCAAGCCAAATCTACCACAGATTAGTAACTGGAATTGACCGTAAGTGACCCCAGGTTTCACCAGTCGTATTACGAGTCCCATATAATAAGGGGTGAGCATATTACATATTGCCCTACTGCAGGCCAGGGGCTTCTAATTCCCTGTCACTGATATGGAACAATCTCTACACCTTACCCATATAAGTACCTGCTTGGAACGTGGTTCAGTAGGATCCTGTTACCTCTAAGTCCTGTAACCTACGATTGCTGTTGCTCTAGTAGCAGAAAATCCTGTTATGACGTCATTTTATTACATTTATGTTGTTGGTGCGGAAGTTTTAATTCATATTCTACCTTTTTGGTTGGCCATTGTCAGGAATAGAAATAAACTTCTCAACCGTTTATTCGTATAGTATATTTTAGGCTCTAAAGCTAAGTTGCTAAAGTTACGAAGGTAATAATCATTTTAGTTCACATTAATCGATTTTTATACTTCGATAAAGTCGTAATAAGACTTTAATTCAGAACTTTTTGAATGATATAATAAAACACTTTCACTTAAACTAAAAAATAAAAAGTGATTAATTGAAGGCACAAAGACAATAACTATCTATATTAATAAAAAAATTAGTTTCGAAAATGTGTTCTCGCAATCTTTAGAACAATAAGTTTTATCAGTGATCAGAAAAAGAGCTTTCTGCTTAGCTTCTAGGGTACAATAGAATACCTATAATATAGCTTAGACTTTCTATTTTAATTGGCACAATAGTTTAAATTGCTATGAGTTAACCTAGTCTCAACCTAACTCACCGATTGGCATCTTCATTCACTCAAAATTCACTAATTTGTTTTTGTTTAAATTGGAATCAGATCAATTGGTTTGGTCTTGATGGCTCAATATTTGATATTGTTCTAAATTGTAGAATAAATAAAAATATTACTACAATCCAAACTCTGGTTTTGACAAAGTGTAAAAATTCAGAATACCTTAGTGACTACTAAACTCGATTAATATCTTATTCTTTGTTAGTTTATTTAGACTTTATATTGATTTATTTAATGTACTAACTATATGTTTGTTCTACTTTTTTTCTTCATTAACATTTCCATTCATCTAACCCACATCATTGGAATTCGCGTCTCAACTCAGGGCGCATACCAGGTACCTTCGAACGGGTCCCCAGTACGCCGCGTGGTGGGAGGCGGGTCGCAGCGCGGGACCCCCACAAGGAGCAGAACACCCCAACCGACACTCAGCGTGAGAGGAGTTGACCCCAAACTCGTTCAGCTGATCCTGGACGAGATTGTTGAAGGGGGTCCCAAAGTACACTGGGAGGATATCGCAGGACAAGATGTAAGTAGGCTTTGATGTTTTTATTTAGTAAAAGTATCGATCAAAGTTAATTAAAATTAGTATTATTATCAGTGGTGCTCGAAAATAGAAAGATTATTATCTATTGCAATAGTATTCAATTGAATCTGCCTGCATTGACGTACATATTATAAAACTTTACAAAAATATGTTTTTCTCTTGAATCAGTCTCACTTGATTCTACTGCTTAATATGAATTACAATTTGGCGATTGCATCGCAATTTCGCAGTACAAATGCAGTCTTACTGTCTAGGTGATCATTTTGCAGTAAGCACTTAGCTCGTGACGTCACAATGCTAATATGCGAACACCACTAATCATAGAGTTGGCTCCGAGCCAAACTATGTTCAATTAATAATAAAGCTACTCACTCAGCCTAAAAGTTTGCGGCAAATTAAGGTGCTTTCTCAGGGAGTTTGAAAGACAGGTTGAAACTATGTGCAAATGTAACCAGTCAATGAAAATTCTATAAACGCCAGTTTCTAGTTTATACCAGCTACTACCGGTTTACCCACTCTGCTCTTCACCTATTGATCTTAGCGTAATGTTTTATAGTCTATAGCATACATAAAATAACATCACACCTTTTATCCCCGAAGGGGTAGACAGAGGTGCACATTATGCCATTGTCCATTGTACAATTCACCCACCCACTTTTCACTGTTTATGTTATGAGTCCCATGTGGGGACAATAGGGGGTGAGCCTATTGCCATATACCGGGCACAATTCTAGACTCCATGCTACTACTGAGATGTTTAAAAAAAAAAACCAGTAATACTGTGGCGAAATTGTGTCTGCAAATTTTTTCTAGTTCAAAAGCACAAAAACATCATCGCTTCCATCTACTTGATTAGCATATTTCTTGGCAATTTCTTCATTTCACAAACTGCGAGCGCTTTTGACTACGGATGTCTTCGTATGTAAACGACGGAATTACATTAGATACCTTACCTACAACAGACATACGTACCATTCCATAATATTGGAACACATTCGTACGTCAGTGAAATGGAATTAAGCCGACTGCACTAACCTGACAAGTTCACCCAGTTTGCATCTCTATTGGTGTCAAAGTTTCGAGCAAACTGTAGAACATACGAGCATATCGGTTTAAACTATTTCTGTTGTGGAAAACGGAAATTGAAACATTTGTTTGTTCATGTGATATATATTAACCCGTCGAGCGTCCGCATTCCTTATGATCCAACGGGTGCACACGTGACATTTGGAGAAAGAAAGAAAATGCATTTATTTAGCCATTGGCACACGAAAACAAGGATCATTACAATAGAAATAAAAATACAGTCAAAATAATAACAAAACATTAATAATAGATTTTATAAAAGAGAAAGCAGCATGGAGCATATTTTCTTATGATCCACCGGGTGCTCATAAGGACGGTCGAGGGGTTAATGCTTGTTTAATTTAAGGGTAAAGAGGGATACAATACATACATGAGTAGGTATATTTGTTTATAGCATAGCCCGGCAAACAGACGCATCACTTTGATATAGATAGTAATCGGCGCCAATGGAAACCCACAACACCAGATGAGTTATAAATCCGTTGCCAGCCTCTTGGGGGTTAGAGATTTGAGGATTGAGGATTTAGACGTTGGGGAAATTGGGCAGGGACGGATTGGGGCCACCGAGAGTATTACCTACCTATTTTATGGTAATATGCTTACTCCTAACATGGCGCGCATATCATAACTGCCTTTGGGACTTAAAAGGAATGATAATATTAACATTTAAACAGTTTAACTTTAAACTATGAAGAATAATTCCGTCGGCTAATTTACAAAGTTTTCACTATTTACAGTTTTGCGCGTGCCCCAAACGTTTACAAAATATAATCTCATTGTCAAATCGATAATATTGATCACACAGCAACATTGCCTCAGCGAAATACCGATTTGGTACATTTAGTGAAATTGTTAGGTAACTGAAGTTTCGTAACGTAAACTTGTACGTTGACCTTATGAGTAACTGTTGTCTAAGATATCAGTGTCGATATTTACGAGTTACACAAGGAAAGGTAATGTTACTATCGATTGTACTCGCTAAAATTATGGGGCTGTGATATTACACCATTTGTTTTTTTTTTATAAGTACAACGACGGTGGCAGGAATAGCACACGTTCCACCTTATAGTGGTTATCGTTGGCTATGAACTTTTACTTTTCACCAGCTAAGTTATTAGTTCCATGTAGATTATAGGGACAAGCCCGACACAACCTCCGAAAACCGTGGCAAGTCATGTAAGCCTGGATCTACAGTTGATACAACCATGAAAACGCAGGAGCACTGAAGTCCGGCGCGTCCCAGGCACATGAATATAGTCTCTGTCTTGGTTCCCGCAACGAAATAAATCAGAAGATATTATAAGAGGAGAAGAAAAAAAACGATAATTTTAACGAGATAATAGGGAGTGAACCCAGTGCTATTGTGGCGACACCCGACCGAAGTCACACATAGATTATCGATGAGTAAATCAATGGATGACGACACAAATCCTACATCGCACATGTGAAGTTTACATGCGAATTAACATGGATAGTAAATCCCAACGCACAACTTAAAGGCAGATAGCTCGCCAGGTATGATCACCTTACCTGATCAAAGGATCCTCCTCTTCTTTGGGAACTTAACTCACTGTACACTATTATGGTTCTTAACACTATATCCTTGTTCCAATGTAGAAATTTTCGAAAAACTGAATAATCCTGAGAGGACCCTAATCTTATTTATATTATTACCTACAGACAGACAGCCATTTTATTTTGCTTAAATTTTAAAGAGGAGAGTTTAAAAGAGGAAAGATATCCACCCGCAGTCGACATGTTTGCATGAAAAGATTGATGAACATAGATTGTTGATGAAGCGAAAGACGTATGCTATGATCTTGTCATTTGGTGGTCTATTGTCACAGGGACACAGACCTGACGGTATGTGCGTATGTATGTTAATGTACAGTGGCCAGAGCCGCAGATCAGCCTACTACAATCTGTCAAATTAATTCATTGGAATTTCGACTTAATGTCAATACAATAAGTTGAAGATGTAATAAAGAAATTATACTTGCCTACAGACGTATTTTTTGGAAGAGCTTAAATTGAGTTTTGCTAAGGTCGTTCTTGTGATAGTTACGTAAAAGTTGGAAGGGCAGATGTCGGTCACCCCGGCGTAATAAGGACTGCGTAAACTTACGTAAAGTTTCGGTGGTATAATCTGATATTTTGTAGAATGACTTCTAATTTAATACTTTTGAGGGTAACTAGGTAGTATTTAACACACACATTTCACCGTTATTTTAGAGAGGAACCTAAATTACGAACTAAATAATGGATAACTAAACTATTGTCAAACAGACAAACACTGAACGGATGCCTGCCATTTTATTTTTTTAAAGGAGTCCCATGTTGTAGAGTTTGAGTCTTGAACTTTATATTAATAGTAGAGTAGAACTTATTTTTCACTGTGTACTCATCTTGTGGGGTTATGTACAGGGAGATTAATAATGTATAGTGGTTTAATCAACAGTTATATGTTGATATATTGTCATAAAACGGACATCTCTACCTAGCTACCTATCCACCCTCGGGGGGCCAAACGCCTCCTGCCGGAGGTTATACGCCGGGGTCGTGCGGTCCATGGCCCTCTACGGCGCCCCTGTTTGGGCGCCTAACCTGTTGCGGCGTCCCGCTCGGACGCTGCTCATGGCACAGAGGGTCATGGCGATCCGAATGATCCGCGGATACCGCACGATCTCTGGGGAGTCGGCGAACCTCCTTGCCGGATTACCGCCGTGGGATCTGGAGGCGAAGGTGCTCGCGCGCGTGCACAGCATGCGCGCGGAGGCACGTCGCCGGGGCGAAACTCCGCTGCCGCGCCAGATAAGTGCGTGGCGGGATGAGCTCCGGCGCGATCTCATGGCGGAATGGCAGCAACGACTGTCGCAACCGAGGACTGGGCTCGCTGCCATCGCAGCGGTAAGTCCCCTCTTTGAGGAGTGGCTTGAGAGACGCTACGGCGTCCTCACCTACCGCCTGACGCAGGTCCTCACCGGACATGGCAGTTTCGGGAGGTACCTGTGTCTGATGGGGCGGGAGGAAACGCCCGGGTGTCATCACTGCGAGGACCGCCCTGAGGACACGGTGGAACACACGGTGGGAGAATGCCCTTCGTGGGCTGAGCACCGCCGTGTCCTCAGGGAAGTGATCGGCGATGGCGACCTCTCGCGTCCGGGCTAGTGCAGGCCATGATGCGGAGCGAGGGGGATTGGGATGCCGTCTCCTCCTTTTGCGAAGCAGTCATGCTAGCTAAGGAGGAGGCGGGACGCGTGAGGCAGCGAAGCGCTGCCTCCTCGCAACCCAGCCATCGCGAAGGACACACCGGGCGTCGGGGATCGCGGGACGATCTCCGGCCACCGTAAGCGCGGGCCTGCGGACGGCGAGCATGGGTGGCTCCCCGTCCGACCAGAAACAGACCCGAGCGTACGGCGTGTCGCGTTCCGCGCGCGCCTCAAAGAGCCATCAGACCACCACAGATGGGGTCCAATAGGGCCGATGCCGATTCGGAGTCGCGGAGAACCTAACGGGTAACCGGGGCTCCGGCTCGACGTGCAGGAGAAGGAACGGGGTGGTTTTTAGTCAGTAAGAGTCTGACACTCCCCCCCGCCTCACCCAGGCGGGGGCAGTCATTCGATGATTTTCCCCCCTTAAAAAAAAAAAAAAAAAACCCCTTCGGGAATAAAAAGGCGTACGTGTTGTTCTGTATATTAAAGTCTGATAAGAAAGCATTTAGTTCGTACTACGTTAAAATATGTATAATTGCATTTTTCTGATGTATATTTATTCCTTATTAATAACCCATCCAATTTATGTACACAAGCTCTTTGTGCAAAATATAATAATAAAAAAACAATAAACAGATCGATGATACACCGTCTAGCTATGTGAATAAGACTTGTTATAATCATATCGACTCGGTCTTGTTTATTTTCTACCTAGCAATATTAAAAATAATAGTGAAAGTTTACACAATAAACTTGTAAAAAATGTAAATAAAAAGCCAGACAGACCAATTACTTGACAGTATAGAAATCGAAACGATTTATTGAAAAAGTTATTTCTATTTCTTGGAACTTGTTAACTATTTTTAGTTTTAAATATTGTTTACTAATCACACTCGTTGCCCGAACGAATGCAACGCCATCTACAGTGCTTGTCTACACTATCTACACTAATAGTAATAGTTTGAAATTCTTTGAGAAATTCTTTTACTGTTGGAATCCTACATTACCGATGCTGAACATAGGCTATATTTAACAGTTGGACTGCCGACAGAAAACTGTTGAAGGTAAATCCTCCGCTATCGTGGCCCATACCCCCTTATCTCCCCTTAAAAAAAAAATCGTGGCCCATACCTTGTCCCCATGGCGTTCAAGGTGTTAATAAAACAGAAAAAAGGGAACCGTGTGAAAATTGTGTATTATATTATAATATAATAACATTATCACTATCTGTCTTGTTGTAGGCCGCTAAGCAAGCATTACAAGAGATGGTAGTGCTGCCTTCATTGAGGCCGGAGCTCTTCACTGGACTCAGGTCCCCTGCGAGAGGACTCTTGCTGTTCGGACCACCAGGAAACGGTAAGTCGTATTTTCATATTTACTATCATATTACGACTACACAGTTGTCGCGGTGGTTGGGCAACTGGATGCCGCGCAACGTATCGCGGGTTTGATTCCCGCACGGAACCACTGTTTGTGTGATTCACAGATTGCGGTTCCGGGTGTATATGAAATTGTATGTTTGTAAACGCACCCACGACACAGGAGAAAATCCTAGAGCGGGGCAACGTTTTTTTTAAAAAAAAATATTGTTATAATAAAATAAATAAAATAAAAAAAGTTTATTTCAATTACAAAAGGCATTACATAAAATTATTGGAGATCACCTTTTAAGCAATGGATTGCTTGTGTTAGGAGACTCCGCACTTCCACATGACATTCTAAGTAATTGAAGTTACAATGTAGATAATGTAAACATGCAAGATTAACAATAAAACAAGAAGAAAATAAATCAAGTTAAACTTACAATTTAATCGCCGAGACAATGAATGAGTATAATTATTTGAAATGAATAACAGTTATTGTGAAAATACCAGATCGCACAATGTATGTATGTGTAGTATGTGAATCATGTATAGTAAGTATGTGATTTCTTTGATGAAGTAGAATTTTCGTTACTTTCACACACATTTAGCAGAGACTGGACAGCAACGCTCTCTAGTATATCTGACTTTTTTAAAATGCTATATCCAACGCTTGTCTAGTACAGAAATTATGACATGACCATCTTATGAAGAGGAAACCCGTAGTCCATCAATTAACTGTTAAGGGCCTGTCGATGTTTGATGTGTATGTAAAATTCAGTCAAGGAAACCAGCGAAAAATATCTATACGAATGCCTTCGAGTACCAACTTTGCGTTGTTATTTATTATGTCCAAAATGTATGTAAGTACCTATTGACCTATTAGTATGGTTTTTGTGCAGGTAAAACGCTGCTAGCGCGGTGCGTAGCGGCAGAATGCTCGGCGACATTCTTCTCGATATCCGCGGCGACGTTGACCAGCAAGTACGTCGGCGAGGGGGAGAAGATGGTGCGAGCGCTCTTCCAGGTCGCCAGGGAACTGCAGGTGAGACCTACAGATCATCATCGTCAGAAGACGGGTCACTGTCGAACAAAAATAACGCATTAATGTGATAGTATTGTGTATCTGATGATTTTGCTATTTGAGACATTTTGTCAGCACAAAACTGGAAAATGGAAGTTGACTCAGCAATATTAATACTAAATTCTGGTGGACGTGTGCTTCTTTTGCTTTGCACAAATTATTGGAAATTAACCAGATCGGCATCATAAAACCGGTATTTCTGTTTAATGAAACCGCATAAGACATCCGTTGTATTTACAAAAATAAGGTTGTTTTATTTTGTGGTAAGATGAATGATGACGTTAGAGCGCTACAAATCCGAAAAAAATATTCCCATTTTTAAAGAAGTTTTTACTTGAACCTATGAAAAAAATATCGATGTACAATTCGCAAAACTATCTAAAACTTGATCTAGAAACTGACATCTAATTAGGTAATAAGGCCACGATGTTACTCTAGCTAAATAAGTAAATAACCTAAATAAATAAATAAGTGTAGTGTTAAAATAAAAACAATTAACATTTCCTTCAAATAAACTTGTTATCTCGCTCGCAATATCCGAAGTCGTTGACCTCCTTTCGAACGCATACACCCGATACTTGGTAAAAAATCTATGAGACATTTGAATGCACTTTCAAATACTTTGTTTGACTAGGTATAGGTGTGTATGGCTAGCAAAGGCTATCTACAGAATCTTATTGTCCATCTGTGACTATAATTTTTGGCTAGGCATTTATGCGGCTTCTCCCGCGTAGCCGTATGATAATAAAATAAAAAGATTGTAGGTGCGTAACTCACGAATTTACATACACATCTCACATAGATCCGAAGATCCGGAACAATTTTTGGATCACACACAGGGATATCCGTATAACATAAGTAGAAGTTGGATTTCTACTATATCTATGTACGATGGACATGTGTTGTCAATTAAAATCGCTGATTGAATCGGTTTATTCTTAATTACAACTATTATCTTTATCTACCAATATACCTGTAAATCTATGGATTTGATCAATCTACTATCGAAATACCTACTAAAATAATTCGTTCAGGCATGAAAAATACTTCTAAAAACGATCAAGTTCACGGTCAACCAATGCGAGCGCTGTTTATTAATATAAAACAATTAGTCAGATTGGCGCGAGGTCGGTGCTCCAATGCGCCCCAATTATTAGAGAGGTCGGACCAATAGGTCAAGTGTAAATGAAAGCGATTTCCGTATTATTTTGCCGAATTTTGTTCTGATATTGAACTGTTGAAGACTTAATATTGTGTTAATAATAAGGATTTTGTCAAAATAATTTTATAGAGCACTCATATTTTTGCGGACTCAAAATTTCAGTGATATAACGCCTAGGTACATTTTATATCCAGCCATGATTGGATTTTTCATAACCCTTCGCCATCGTTGTCTCTTCAAGAATCACGAAACTTTATTTTAAAACAATAGGATAGAACGCGAAAAGAAAACACAATCGCAAAGCTGTATCTGCATAATCCTTTAAAAGCATTTGGCGTAGCGTCTTACCAAGATTGCATAGCATTACTTCATGTTAAACTTATTCTTTTACAGAAAGTGAAATAGAAGCATACAACGTATATACATCTTTACGTTTAAATTATTTTGATAATTCCGCATAATCACGTGGCTGTTTACAAGTACTCGACTGATTTTCTACTCAATTTTATGCGTCCCGGTAGTGATTCGAAATTATTCGAGTACCTTCGACTAATTTCTCGTGAATAAACTATTACGTATCTAATCATTTTATTATATCTCTTTATCTCACGATACTCTCACTTATCTTATATAGCTTAAAGTTTATTTTTATTTATTCTCTTAACAAATGGCCGCTATATTTCTTCAACAGCCGTCGATAATCTTCGTAGATGAAGTGGATTCGCTTCTATGCGAGAGATCGTCGGGCGAGCACGAAGCGTCCCGGCGGCTGAAAACTGAATTCCTGGTGGAATTCGACGGACTCCCGGCTGCGGGAGCTGACAGGCTCATTGTGATGGCCGCCACTAATCGACCGCAGGAACTCGATGAGGCGGCGTTAAGGTGAGGAAACGTAACGTTTTAAGTAGATGATAACTGTGAATAATTTGTCAAATAGAATAAATTACGTAATAATTTTCTAAACAGCATGTACTTCCCTTAGTCGTCTGCAATCATACTATTAGCTCATCATTTTCAAAGTAATATTTCTTTAGTTATACATGGGGAAAAGTTCCTTCTTGGTGATTAACTCACGTCTGGAAATAAAAAGACACAGAATTTTTTTTAATAAACGTGGAACTTTCATCCACATTTAGAACAATAAGAGACCTATTAATGTATAAAAATCTGTCCCCCAGACGTTTTCCAAAACGCGTATACGTGTGTTTACCGGACGTGCGCACCCGTATGTCGTTGATCCGGCGCGTGCTGGCGCGGGGCGCGGCCGCCGCCTCCGTCAGTGACGAGGAACTGGCGCGCCTCGCCGCGCTCACTGACGGGTACTCCGGCAGTGACCTCACGGCACTCTGCCGGGACGCCGCGCTAGGACCCATTAGAGGTGAGTTTGTGTAGATAAATAATGGAAGATGCATGGGGAAGTTGGTAAAACGTTGCCGACTACGGCGATGGTCGTACGTTTATCAGTTTAGTTGAGACAGAGGACGTCCGTAGAAATAGTACGAACGCTGACCAAAAAGGTGACGTTTAATTAGAGCAGCATGAAACTATTAAAGAATGGGGATAATGCAAAAGAGTAATGCCCGAACAGTGCTACAAGTATTCCATTATCTAAGGTAATCTTATACTCAATATGAATTTCGAAATGAAACCGTTATATTTGGCAATAGGCTTATGTCCCCGAAACAACTGGCATTTTTATTCCACATCTTCATCACCAAAATGCATGAATCAGACCTCGAACATAAACTAGGCCACGCATGCAAGCTTACGTGTACCACAACGTAACGTGCATCTGGCAACACCAGTTTATCACGCAATATGCAATATGGCAACACCCACCTTGACCTCGTTTTTATTTAAATGTCTTATAACTCATAAAACGGTATCGAATCGACTGACAATAATACTGACACCCACGACTTCTGTGAGTCGCTGTGTCGTGAATTTAATGCAATATTTTTTATTAAGGCCATACTGTCAAACGTTTGTTAAACAAATGGCGAAGCATTAACTTGGATTCATTGGATGTTTGTTCTTCTATAATAAAAAATTCTTTAAATAGATCTAATAAATAGGTAATATTTGTGTAAAACAGAATCTTACTGAACTAAAAAAAAATATGAATTTTATTTTTTATTGTACTGGAAGTCATTTGTTTAACAGGCATTAATGAAGTCTCAGAGTGTGGCCGTAAGACATATTACTCTAATATCTTAAATCTATGACACACACACGCTACAATTATCATCAGTTAGCATACATCAGATGGTCAATAAACTATGACATGTCGTAGGTGGCACTCACGACATCATATAACAACTTTCTGTACCGGTACTTGTGTAATACGTTGGGTAATAGGACTGCCGGCATTTGGGCGTAGTGTAATCCCCAAGTTGAAAAATTGAAAGAAGAAGAAGAAAGAAAAGTGATTTTATTTGACATTAAAATGCAATTCCAAAAAAAAAATGGGACTAGCCGGTAAACGAGCATACGGATCACCTGATGGTAAGCCATATCGGCGTCACCCATGGACACCTGAAACGAAAACTATTAAATGACTAACTTTTCTTGACAAGAACGAACACAACGATATATGAATTATTAAAATCGGTCCAGCAATTCCTGAGTTTTGTAGTTAGCAACACATAATTAAATTGATTTTTGTTTATGTGCTTACGAACATTTTACAATTGATTTTCATTTATTTATAAATGAAACCTTGTCACAGAACTGGACCCTGAAGAGGTGAAGTGTCTGGATCTCTCGCTGGTCCGCAGCATCACGTTCCAGGACTTCATGGACGCGCTGAAGAGAATCAGACCGTCAGTGTCACCACACAGCCTAGTCGCGTACGAGAAGTGGTCGGTCCAGTACGGGGACCTCGGACTGTGAAGTGGTTTTAATACAGGTTAGTATTTACCTTCCTTCTTAATAGGGTAGTTTCCTAAATTTTATTTTAATGTCCTTCTGGTAGATTATTTTAAGACATTAGTCACGTATTTTTTCTTTTCGCACAAAATTAAATGCTTTCGACGATATATTGATTTGAAATGTCGTATGACGTCACAGCGTGTTACAAAATTTAGCACGTTGTGACGTAACTACCTCCTACTCCCAAACTTAATGCCAGATTATTTAGATATTGTATAACTATACGAGAAAATAAAAAAATACGTGTCTAATACTTTTTTATTATCTAACTGACGGACTAATTAGATTTTTAATTTTCTTACCTTGGAATAGTTTCCAAGGTAACGGTAATAGGATAGTCCCTATTCTAAGGTAAAACTGTCATGTTGGTTATAAGAAACATGAGTTTAAGTTTAGTACTTATTTTTAACCCTATTTTGGTGCCTAGCATGAACTAAAGAGTCTTACTATGAAGTAGGACTCTTTTTTATAAGACAGGGATTCTTGGGTTTGACAATTTTTGATTCATTATCCCGATTTAGAAATTCAGTATAGTAATAAGGCATAATTACTGAGGAATAAGTGATTTACAGTACGGTTCACGAGTTATGGCGGGTGTGAAGTTCGCGCAGAAAACTGCGTAATAACGTATTTTAGGGACCAAAACAGCGACGTGTGCGGGACAGGCATATGCTAGTGATCTGAATCTAATTAAAGACAATCGTTTTATTGTTTAATCAATTTATTTGCGAGTATACGTGCGCGAAACTGACTTGCGGCTAACTTCACTCTTGATAACTCGTGAACCGTACTGTACTATCTTTTTTTCAAAACGTGTCGACTGTTCTGTGACCTTAGTACAAGATTGTTTTACGTTTTTCAAAACGAGTACGCGTTCGGCGCTCTGATTGGCCAGCTCCAATGGACCAACCAATCTAAGGCCTCTGACTTTTCACACTTATCTTCAAAACTGACTTTCAAACAATATTAGATATTATTTAAAAGACATTAATAGTTGCTTGCATTGTTTTTTTTTTTTTGTTTATAAACAAAGCAGTTTTTATTCAAAGATATGGGTTTTGAAGAAAACCCGTAGAATAACAACTTTTTATGAAAACCGGAAACTTCCAGATAATATAAGGGGTTAATTTAGGTGCACGCAAAGTAACTTTTAGTTAAGAGATGGTTTAGGAGCGGTCATAAGCTAACTAATTAGTTTACATCTGTTACAGGTATCAGGTATTTACTCGAAGTAATGGTGAGTCATTAAATTAAGGAACATAGACAATAGAGTACGATGTTGATTTACAATAATTGATAATATTTATCATGCAAGTATTCATCGCTCAAATTTTTATACATAATACGTTTATTTTTTAACCTGCCTCGGTACATTCGTTTAACACTCCACTACAATATTGGATCTCCTCAACCCCACATTCCCTGGGTGTCACCGAGGCATAATGCCAATTAATTTATTCTAAAATTGACGTTTTAATAAATACAATTCTTTTTTTTTTCTTAATTGTGAATGAAGTCGCATCTAGTCAAAATTTAGTTGACTGTTCTCGCATGATGTACATACCATAGACACTCAAAAAACAACCCTAAATGGTCCAATCTTTTTTTTTTAATGAAGTTGATAATTCGCTAAAGAGATTTGACAGTTTGGGGTGGTTGTGTCTGTGCAGTTCCAATACTAGTGATGCCCAGTCGATAGTCCATTCGTATCGATGTTTGCCCTAATCGATTTTACACGTAACATAAAACTTGCCATGCAAAGACAATGTTGATGCTTTTAATATTGAATAGTTTGTACTAGACATAATAATTTTTAATTTAGTCTCCACATAATTCAAATATCGACATTTTATTCTATTAAGACAACTTATTAGACATTTTTTAAAAGAGACTATATTAAAAATAATTATGAAATCAAAATGTCCAAAATCCACTAAAATAGTCCTTAACGGGTGATGCCAAATGATATAACCCGGATCATTAAAGAAGTAGCTTTCCATGTATCTAGATGTAAAGAGACCGCTTTTGCTCCAAAGACTTCTCTATTGAGTCGGGTTATATAAGCCCTCCTAGTACCCGTCCAGTCAAAAGGAACGTTGTAAAATAGTCTCTATGTTGAGCTGTGAGAGTAGATTTTTTAATGCCCTGCTTCCTTTTGGCTTGCTCGGATTTCTTTTTAACTTATGTAGGACCAAATTACGTGGAAACTTGCCATTGTCAATTTGATGGGAAATTTTATTTACTTATGTCACTTGGATGTACAAATTATCTCTTTGTTTTTAAAATAATAAGTATTCCACTACGCACCTAATCTCCTGGTACACCATGTTTAAAAAATATTTAAAAGTGAACTCTATTGTTCAAATAATAACGAACATAATATAAAATCCAAGTTATTCCTTAATAGATTTGTTACCAATATATAGAATAAAATATATAATCTCATTTATTATTATACAGCTGAACAAAATAATGAAATAATGTACAAAATGCGTTTACCTTTAGTATTACCTCATAATTTTGTATATTTGAATTAATTGCAATTTAATAGTATTCTAGAGTAATAAAATTATTATATTTTAATTGTGTTTTTAGTAAATTATCGACAACCTTTTAGATGTAGTGTTTAACAAGTTTCCACTCTCCACTATATTAAGTAGACTTTATATCAATGAATATTCAGCTCTATTTTAATACAATTACAATGCGTATTTGGACAGCAAGAGTATACAGACTTTAAGTAGTATTTTTACGAACAAATAATTTATGGAGTCAAACATTTCATACTTTAAAGTTTTTGTATACGTATAATATCACATTTCTACGTTTAAATATTGATTTTATTAACATTATATACGTATATAGAATTAAAAGGAATGTAATCTCATTTATGTACGGTCAACGACAAATAGTTTTTAATATTTTTGAACAATCTCAACACGATTCACCTCATAAGGTATACGTTATATGTCTTACAGCCGAAATTAATTAGCAATATGACCGATAAAAAACTCTTATCGATATATTTTGACAGAAACTCAATAAAATGAAATCGATTTTTACTTATAGAGTGCGATTTTACGGATAAATACTCATAATAAATAAATACTGGGTATTTACTCGAGTATTTTTGCAGCAAATTGATAAATACCCAGTATTTAATCAGTATTTATATATTTTAAGTATTTGTCAGAAAAATCGCTCATCTCTACTAATCGCTAATCGTTATACTGGGTCTCAATCAGAAACCGACATTTTCGATTATAATCAGTTGTTAATTTCGTCCGTCAGATAACTTCATAACCCAAAAAAATAATGTAAGTAATAATAATGTAATGTATCTGTAATTTGTTTACAAAGGTTGTCGATAAAAATATTAAGTGTAGTCTAGTAATAGCACTGCCCAATTGTTAAAACTCCTTAGTTTTCAAAGAAATCAATTATTTATTTATTGTATTTTTTCATATATTTATTGCTTGATCAGTTTTGCTATGTAAAAATTATACATGTTTGGGACTCAAGTCTGCTGTCTTTATACGTTAGACACTGTTAAACTAGAAATGTGTTGTGACCAGCGATAAGAGCTTACATTACCACGACATGGCGCTAGTGATCACTAAGGCCATTTTAGTCCAATCAGCGTAGCTGTCTCAAGTTACTACTGACAAATGATATGAGCAAATATTTTATTGGACAATAGACCTTAAGCTACACTAGCGCTTCTAGTGCTACGGAAATCTTGATTGGTTGAATTTCTGTTTATTGAAAATTGACACCTGACACAATTAGTAGCAGACGTGGGTCAATTGACAAAACTAAAGATAGTTAATTGAGATTTCATAAATTAAGTCGCAAAACTGATCAAGCAACACAAATCTCATTTTAAAATTGTTATCGAATGTACTTAATTAAATTTAATTCTGTTGATTTTATTATTCTTTATTATTATTATCGAAATAAAATAAAATTCAGTGATTGCGAAATTATTATTATGAAACGCTGTATCTATACAATATGCTGCAGATCTTATGAACATAATTATTACATTTATAATCGACATTAAAACGGGTAGCCTACACTTCCATTTAGCAAAAGAATTAGAATCATTTGCTCAAAATATTGTGTAATGTAACGGAAACGATAATTTTGAGTACTAAAATGATATATTTTCATAAAATAGTTTGTTAAATTGTCTATATCTTGGATTGAAAGTTGTTTAATGGGAATTAAAATTATCAGTCACAGGACCATGCAAATTGTATGTAATTTGTAGTTACGTAGTGCCATTTAGAGATGCGCAGGAGTCGCTGAGAGCCATCGGGACTTGTATTGAAATATGTGTGAGTGTGAGTATTCACACTTTTGTATGTTTACGTGTGTGATAAGATAGATTAAGATGAGATAAAGGATCCTCAAACAGTATCGATTCTCCAATTCGAATTTTTTTATTCGAGATGCCAAGTTTTGAATGTTGCCAGTGATTTCTTAGTGTTAATCAACTTAGTTGTAAAATCGTGAAACCAGTATCCCAGTTCCAAAAGTATTACTAAAAGGACAAATAAACTCAGAACTCTATTTGTTATTGAACAGAGTCTAGATTCGTAGAAAGAATATTAAAATGCCATTTAACTCGTCGAGTACCGGTTTTATAGACACAATTAAAGAACAATAGGTCGCGGTCACCGGTGACCGCTTGGTGTTTGACAGATTAAAGTGACATGGAAGCATAATGACAGCTGTTTGAGAATTCGTCTGTTTTATCTGTGGTTCATGTCCCAATGGTTCTGCTTCGCCAGATAAATGTCAAAACTTGTAGTTTACGTTATATTTGTACTATACGCTTTAGTATTTAAATAACGAGTATCTTCCAAGACTTTTACTGGCCAAGTATACGTTTGGGAGTTACGGTAGAAAAGAAAATAAATATGTTCGACAATCTTACACAAAAAATACAGACTATAAAAGTTCTCATTTATAAAACGATTTTTTATTGAAAATGAACTCATTATTTGAAAAAGACAAGGAGAGGAACTGGTTATTACAGTACAGTAAACATTGTGAGCTACGGGTAGAAATGGTGAAAATTAGTTTACAAACCTTTTGCTAAGATATAATTAAGTAGATTTTTGTGGGATTGTGTCAAATGGGTGACCTGGTGGGTCTACCGTAACTCCCTTTTTATCTATTATACAACTTCAAATGTATATCGAAGACAGTCCTTAAAAGTCCTAGCAAGTTGGTCTCATAAAAGAAATTAGTTTCCCTGAGAATTTCGGGAATCATCTTTTCGTGTTCTGCTTCTTTCAACTTGATTTATCAATCCTTTCTAACTGTACGTTTTGGCAGCCACTCAATCACTAGAATCGAAAAGTAGTTCGAGTTTCTTTTACGTTTAAAGTAATCGAAACGAGAGTGCGTTCGGCACGCTGATTGGCCGGTTCCAATGTACAACCAATGAAAACGTTGAACGCGGTAAAACACTATACAATATACTAAGGCCTTTGAAGTCTTTAGTAAGTAAATACATCACTTGATATGTAGGTATACCTACACAGCAGACGGGTTGTTCGATAGCCATTGAAAGTTGTATAATAGATACCAATAACTCCGGTAATGGATTTAGCCAAAAGTTAAATAGATTTTGTAATAACGATAGTGAACAATAACAGTTTTCCTAAAAAGACAGCGATATAGTGGTTAGTGCGGTTATTGTAGCGTCTATTTTAAAATAACTAGTTTATAGTTAAACGTAATGTAGTTCCCGATATGTTTACGCTAAACGGTTGTGGAGTGATTCTGAACTTTTTAGGTATTGAATTTTTAAGGAATAGCGTTTTGGTTTGCTATTAGACTATGCTAATTCTGTTCATGCGCAACCTTCTGCTAGTTGCCCATACATCTATATATCATATCTTACTTGTTAAAAATCGTTCAATTCGAAATTCATACACGTGCCAAAATTAGAAAGTATGACTCTGCTTACTTTAACCCGCGGCCTCGCCTGATTGATGAAAGTAAAAAAGTAGCATAAATTACTGCCCAGCCTCTTATCTCACCGCACGAAAAAATATAAACAAATAAACATATTTTCACGTTTTTTATTAAAGATCACTGATCATATTAATCACTTTGTCTAAAGTTATTACGCATTGTTTGCTTGCTTTAAAAATAAAAGCATATCAAGTAGGAGGAATCGGCAGTAGCCGTATACATATCCGGGGAAATATGAACATTAGGTGTTTGTAATAATGGTCAGAATCACGCCACAACTAGGCTTTGTAGATAAGCCCTTTGTACTTAGTGTTGCAAGTTCTAGTGGTAACTAGACGAAACGATTGGTTTAGCTTCACTCGCTTCATGTCCACTGAAATGTTGGTAGTATTCGGTGTATCTGTGTTCAAATTGCAGTCCACGATTATTGTTTAACCTTTATGCATGCACCTTGGTGCATTCAAAAATGCACCGATATGAGACACAATAGAAAAAAAAATGCGTCTCGCGTGGATCCACGTCTTAGACACACGAAAGATTAAAAGTAGGAAACCCGTTATAATATTCTTATTACATTATCATCCCACGTATCTTGACATCGAATATAATATTGGATTTCGTTTTTGCTCAAAAATATCGCTTCAAAACTATCGCTAAGTATTTGATTACTACAGATAAAAAAGAGCAAAGAAATTAAAAAAGAATGAAAACTCAAGTCCTTGTTATTTTCAGTGTGTGATAAAGAATTATTCATAAGGAATAATGGTTTTGAATCAACATTTCAGTGGATGGAAGCGGCATTTAGATAGTATAATTCCCTAATATCAAGAAACACGACATACACTATAGTGGGAATACTTACATAGTCTGCAGGTGTTTAATTAAATTAAATTAATTATGGGAGTCAAATGATTTTTTATTGATAACGGTCCAAATGAGGACGACAGATACTCATATTTTTCCTTTATCAAATAATTTGACAAAATAAACTCAAACGTATGGTTAATAATTTAAAGTTGAAATTACCTTGATATTGTAGTGTATGTCGCAGTTCTGTCGGCGAACTTTTCTATTTATAAAAATGAAATGTAATTTTTTTAAAGGCAAGTGTTGCAAAGGAAATGAATTGTTGTGAACTTTTTTTTTAAATTTACTCGTTTCTCATACATTTCGGTTGTGGTCGGTTTTTTAAATAGTTTTTCCGAGTTTTTTACGCGTAACGTTTTTTATAGTTGTCTGTGTGTTCGTTTTGTGAAATTCGTTAACGTTACGTTACGTTTTCGTTGATAAAGTGAAGTTTGAATTTTGAAAAATTGTTAGATACTTTAATTGATGCAAATGGAACAAAATTGTTAGTTGAAAATGTAATTTGAAAGATAGCAACATTTCAATGTTTTGCCAGTAAGAAAAATTTATAGAAATGATATGTTGCTACTTGATCCACAATTAACCTGCATCCTAAAATACCGTGGTCTTATTCTAATGCGACAATTACACAGCTAATGCGGCCTTTCCATAAATTATGAATCCAGCTATAATTTTAGCTGAACAAAAGCTTTAATATTATACCTAAAACGCAATGTTAAGCCAAGCAATACCTTTTTTATACATTCACGAGTAATTACAAACATACAGAAGATTTTTTTTAAATAAAAACACATTTATATCAGAAGAGCGAAGACAAAAAGCACAGTATAGTTTTATCATTAATCATTAGAGAGAGGTCCTAGAGTTCCATTTTTAAAATTAAATTAATTTTTTTTTTATTTTTTTTTACGGCCTGTGTGTTTGTTATTTCTCGCCAGCACGCACATTTATACAGAATTCAAAGTATTATCCAAATCTAATGAAACATAAACGTTTTCGATTCAAGAAATTGAATTACTAGAGCGCTAGATAGGCTAAATGGTTCTTCTGTCTATATTATCAGTGAGGCTTGAACAAAAATGTCGGACAGTAATGATTATTGCGCCTGAATTTTCCACCAAGAGCGCTAGTGGGAACTAAGGTATCTTGTCCATGCCCAATAAAGTACAGTATCAACGCCTATTGGGATTCATTTAAGTCATTGACTGAATAATGACTTGGCATTAGCAAATACTCTTTGGGTCACTTAAAGTTACACTAGAGACTCTAGTGGCGTGAAAACCCTTCATATAATCTGTGCAAATTCTTTCTACCAGCCAAATCCTTGGATATTTTGTATGATTGTGCTCTATCGCGCTGTGATACGGATAATATAATAAAACCTAATGCCTTACCTATTGTTTCATGCGCACTATAATTATTAATCACAAAGTATTGTTACGAATAACTAACAGTGACTGTCTTTCATGTAAAATTATTAAAACTAAAACTAATTTGTGTATCTGGTACATATTGAAACTATATTTTAATATGTAAGTTGTTCGTTTATGTACAGTCAATTTTCAATTTTATAGCAATTGGTTACAAGGTTCAATATCTTTCTAAAAAAGGCTTATATTCTGGCTAAATGCCCATTATGTTTCCTTAAACTGTCAAACACCAAGCGGTCACCGGTGACCGCGACCTATTGTTCTTTAATTGTGTCTATAAAACCGGTACTCGACGAGTTAAAATCGTTCGACGTAGACAGTCACAAATATGTTATTTCAAACAAATGAGCTTCGTAACAATTAAGTAATGACAAGCGACTGATTGTTACCATTATAAAAATTAAATATTAATATTTCAAAATTATTTCTTAAGTCGTTTTGATGTGATTGTTTTAAAAGATAAGGGATTCAAATGAAAGAAAAGTATGGTTCACGCTTTATTGCAGTATTAAATAAATAAAAGATTGCAAGGAGCGTTTGTTCGGCGTAGGCGCATGAGCTTAGCTGCGCATGCCTCGTAGCTCGTAGTCGTTTCGACACGCTCGCCTACGCGGCAACGCAAGATCGCTACGTGCGAAAGCGCTCTAAGGAAAATTGGTATGCTACTGAATTTACTCAAATTATGTATTTCTATAAACCAAGGCCTATTTATAAAGAAATGATGTTTTTCTATGATTGGTTGGCGTTTGTTGTATTTTAGTTAGCTATGTTTAAGATGTTATGAGATTGAGCTTTCTTTAAATATACGTACAATTCATGTGGTATGAATCTCGAAGTGAGTGCTCCTTTTGTAATTTTATTAAGTTTCATCGTTCCTATATAAATAGGCCGTAATATCCTATTTATTGCGAATATAAATTCTAAAATGTGGTTGTAATTATTTTACACTTTCGCCTTTATGCTACTTGTTATTTTAATTTAAGCGCACGAATTTATCAATTTGACTAAAAATCAAAAATGTTTTTAAGCCTGTGCACTCTGCGATATTTTGGTACAATTTATTTATTTTTTATCTGTGCCCTTTTTTGTTTTTAATTTATTCGCTGGTGATGATAACGGAGTTGAGTTTTTATACCACAGATTATAAAAATAAATCGTATTGAGGTATCACAGGGTGTTCAAAATAAGGTTTTAGGAAGTATCGTTGAATGTTACGAGAAATAAAAGATAATATTTTTCATAATTAAGCACACTTTCGCCTAAACTGTCGTGAATGTTACACTAAGCATATGTGATACCTACACGGTTTATAAATAAATAATAATAATTTGTGAAATTTGAAGTTTTATTTTTATTCTGTGTTCACCCTGTTCAGGACTGCGAAGTATGAGTATGAACAGCGTAGAATCTGCAAAGGAAAAAAAAATTTGTGAACAAAGAAAATATCTACTGAATTACTCACCTTTTTTTGAAATGTGGGTACTTTTAAAGTTTAGCAAAAAACCGATTCTAATACATATCACATTTGCAACAAGCTACCCACTGTCACTCGATTTTCAACTTTATTAGCAAAAGGAAAGGTTGAAGATCAATACACACCGCTACAAACGTAGGTCGAGACAGCGATATGTAGTGGCCAGCTTTGAAGATGATTGGCTTCTTCATACGTTCCATTGCAATGAACAAAGATCGTTTGAACTTGGTGTCCTGCTCATACCATGGACATTGGTACAACCATTCTCGAAGATTTTCACTCTGAAAAACAATATTATGGTGATTTACATTACATAACATAACATCACGCCTTTTATCCCCGAAGGAGTAGGCAGAGGTGCACATTACGGCACTTAATGCCACTGTACAATGTAACACCCACTTTTCACTATTTATGTTATGAGTCCCATGTAATAGGGGGTGAGCCTATTGCCATATACCGAACACATTTCCAGACTCCGATCTACTACTGAGGTTTTTACAAACACAGTAATACTTTGCCCGACCCGGGAATCGAACCCGAGACTCCTTGCCCGGCAGTCGCATTTGCGACCACTCAGCCAATGAGGCAGTCAATGCTTTACATGATTTACATTATTAATCTAGATAATCATCATTATAAGGTAGGTAAGTTGTGTTAAATACAATTTTAAAATCCCGTTCTCACCTTTGTCTACTCTTTGTTGCTTAGTAGACTAAATATTCATACAGAACATGGAACAGAGCCCGATCACAATACGGCCAAGAGCTAGAGCCAGTGCGGCAAGTATGGAGGACCGAAATAGTGAGAACCGTGCCTTCTTTGCAAAGAAAATAAAGCCCACTCCAGCTCCAACGTCTCCAACCTATCAACTCGAATCTAGAGTGGTTAACCGACTCTCAAAATATATTCCAGATTCGAAGAACATTCTAGGTGAGTTATTAGGGCCTGCGGACGGCGAGCATGGGTGGCCGCCTGACCAGAACCAGACCAGAGCGTACGGCGCGTCGCGTTTTCGCGTGCGCCTCAAAGACCCATCAGACCACCTCGGATGGGGCTGGTGCCGATACGGAGCCGCGGAGAACTTAACGGGTTACCGGGGGCTCCCGCTCGAAGTGCAGGAGTAGGAACGGGGTGGTTTTTAGTCAGTAAGAGTCTGACACTCCCTCCCGCCTCACACAGGCGAGAGAAGTCATTCGATGATTTTCCCCCCTTAAAAAAAAATGGTCAGTTATTTAGTAACATTACCCGTATTGTAAGTTCGTGCCCACACCAGCAGTACAGGAACAGCTGAGACAGCATCGTCACCATGTAGTTCAACATCGAGAAGAACTGCACGCTGTTCTTTTCCACCTAAAACATGCTATGTTTTGAACGCATGCGCTTATCACGCCAGGTTTCTTTTACGACGGCGTCAATAATTCAAAACTTCAGAGAGGTAGGTTAAGTCTTCTAGTAATACGGTAATGTATTGTTAAATTTAAAGTCAGCTAAAAAAAATCTAAAGTTGTGTAACTTACAATAGAAATCCTTAATCCTATATTACAGATAATGGCAACAGTACCGCTTAGTTGAAAGAAGATATTCGCGTGATACGTATCTTCACAAAGTTGAATGAGTCTGCAAAAAGGTAGTATTTTTCATAAAATGTAAAGATTTAAGTTTTGTGGTTCAGGTACCTACTTGTCCTGTATTACCTTTCAACCGTCTGATGCTGCTTGACACATTCGTCTAGGAGTTCGTTATTCATTTTTAACAACTTCTTTCGACCCTCTTCTGACTGATCTGTATTGAATATACTTTGGATCTGAAAAACAATCTGTAGTAACTAAGAAAACGTAATGAGAATAGAATAGAAGTACCGATATAAGCTACGGAAAAATATAATTCGAAACTGAAACATGTATTGAGGAAATTCTGATGAAGAAAAAGGATATCCCAATTTTATTTGACGCCCACCTTCTTAATCTTGTCCATGATAATCTCTAGTTCTGCACAACCAAACATGATCATACACACGGCGACGCTGTCCACTGATATGAAGAGGAAAGCGCTGATGTAGATGCTAACCATCTGGTACAAGTAGCCGAGCTCATAGTCTGGAGACTTTAATGGTGTTACCGGCATCCTGAACAAAAGTATCAACGTATCTTGATTGCTACATAAATACGGAAGAGTACTAAAGAAGACGACATAACACGTCTTCGTTGACGTTACGTTTTTATTAAAGAAAATATCTTGCAGCATCTTGTGGACTTATTTTACTTTACTTTATTGTACGATAATAAGACTCAAATCTCACCAGATCCTAAAAGGGAAAGATCGTTTGCTAGCATCATCGAAAAGAGGTATCATTGCCCATAAAGTGCAAGTGGTGGTGGCACTCGTCAAGAAGAACAAACACAGCCGCTTTATCTTCAGAGCTTGAGCTGCTAAAATTCTGATAGGAGAAAACAAAGTACTTATAAGATAATTACCTACTCCAACCTGAACGACAACTTACGTTAATCATCCCTTGTAGAATATATTAGAAAATATTATTGCTAAATAACTTTAAGTAAAATCATGTACTTACTTCTCATGTTCAGCAGATTTGGGCTTAAAAATGTCACTATCCATAATATCTAGGAGCTCCAATAAGCTTTTTTTGTTGATCATAAAAGTGGTGGACTTGTAACACAGAGATGCTTGAGTAAACAGCAGATATGAAGCCTCGGATACCTCGTCAATTTCGCCCCAAACGTTGACTATGTAAATAATTTCGAAGAGGAGAAAAGAGTATTGAGTCCACATTACAAATAACATGTAAAGTTTGCGCAAAATAATGTAGTTGTTTGGGTGAGGCCAGACCCCGTGGGCAGTTAGGATTTTTTTCGGTCGGCCTAGGAATAGGGTCGTGTTTTTTTCTGCCTCCATATTTTAGATCGTGATTATAAAAGACTCTCGAAGAAGTGAGGAAACAAAGTCAAGGTTCTGCTCATGAATACAAGCTGGATTTACTGAATCAAATGACACCTCTGATTGTACGTCAATATCTTTTATATTTTCCGTAATTTCCATTGCAAAATTGTTTCCGAAGAACTGTTTAATGTTTACAAACTTTAAACGTTGAAATTGAAAAGTTTTAATACATGTTTACCTGAACTTTGCCGTGTGATACTTAATTTGCAGACTGTTCGCTTTGATTGATTTAGTTTCAAAGGACAATTATCTTTATGCCGAGGCCATTAATCTACCTAAAGCATTTTGGTTCAGTAGAACGGCACCCAAAAGGTACAGAAAGAGATTCAATATGCCATTTCAAAGAATCCTTCCGTCTAATAATAATTAATTTTATAAGAAACCTGGTTAAATGGACTCACCACACGCTTCGAGCTCCGAACGAGTTCCGTGTTACTATGGTTTCTGCCATATTACTCACTTTCTAGCTTTCTATACTTGGATAACAAATGAAAAGACTTTAAAAAGAGCAGCAATCAGTCTTACCCCTTCTATGCAATTGCATAGGAAATAAAAGCAATTACAAAGTTCTACAACAACACGAACTTTTGTTGTAGGTGATAATTAAAATAATTGACACATTGTGGACGATGCACACCTAAAGATTTAACTGTGGAGTTATAATTGTACAGGCGAACTGTACCGTTATATCGTAAGGTATATAGAGTGAACAGTTGAACTGTAGGCTTTTACTTAAAGTATGTTGTCTGTATTAAACTGTCAATCACCAAGCAGTCACCGCTGACCGCAACCTATTGTTCTTTAATTGTGTCTATAAATACGGTACTCGACGAGTTAAACCGCTTCTCTATAGATTTGATGCAGGAGAAACAAAAACTGCTCTGTAAAGGCATCTAATGTTACGTCCACATCTGCAGCTTGCAAAATACTGCCACTGGTGATCGGCTCGCAAGCGGCGCACTCGCCAGATGTGGCCGCACTTTTGTATTATTTTAATACTAGAAAGATGTTTTGTTCATTCTAGAAGAAAGAATAAAAGACAATTTACTGTGCGTATTTGTGTGTATTTGTTTCATTGCTAGAGCTTGGGCAATTCTTCATCAATAATGTCAGAATACTGTGCCATGAACGTCTACGTGATGTGAATAGGTAAAACTATCCTGTTACGAGTACTATGAAGCTTTTTTAGTGCGTTTGGTTCAAAACTGCGAAGTAAGAGTAGGACATTCGAAGGATCTGTAACAAAAATTAAAAAGCTAATTTAATTGAAAACTAAGTACATACCTACGTAACAACACTACACTCTTTTTCTTTTTTTCCTTATCCTCCCTTAAAAAAAAAATCTCACTCACTCTTTTTCTGTAGCTGTTCATTTCTACCAAAAGCTATGAGCCAAGATACAAATTGCAAAGTTTCTATTATAATAGTTTAACACACATGGGTACTAACTGCAACAAAAGTTTGTCGCGACAGGATTATGTAGTGTCCAGCGCGAAGGACGAGAGGACGGCTGATACGCATCATGGCAAAACAGAGCTCCCTCTTAAACTTGACGTCCTGTTCATACCAGTAGCATTTGTACAGGACTCTGTGCAGGTCTTCACTCTGAAATACAAGTTTTCGTTACCTATAATTACGTTATGAAGTTACTGCCCCTTTGAAGCGTCTAGATTGGTTGACAAAAGAATATTGTCGCTCTCTCCTGTATTTGATAGAGCAATCTGATAAATCAGGGATCTTAAAAGATATTTTGAACTTTTGGAGGTTTAAGACGCCCACGCCCGCTTCTCATGCATGAGGGTGCGGTTTCGAAACCTACTAACGGCAAGTACCAATGTGACTTTTCCGAGTTGTATATACTTTCTAAGATTATTTAGACACCATTGACAGATGGTGAAGGAAAAATCGTGAGGAAACCTGGGCTTGTAATTTTTAATTATAAGTTTGTATTCGCCAACCCGCATTGAGCAAGCGTGCTGCTGATTAACCGCTTAAATGCGTCGATATGAGACACAATAGAAAATACGGTTTATAAGACACGTTTAGACACAGGACGGGTTAATTCTCAAACTTTTTCCGTGTGAGAAGAGGTGTTGCTCAGCAGTGGGCATTTGTAGGTTGTTGATGTTGATGATGATGATGAGGAGGAAAGGAAATCTATAGCAATTAGTAACCAAACGTTCAAGTTTATTTACCCACCGTAGCAGTAAGTTCGTGGCCGCACCAGCAACAGACGAAGAGTTGACTGATCATAACAGACAGGTACGTCAGAATGGAGAAAAATTGCATGCTGCGCCAATCCACCTAAAGTAAAAAAAAACATAATTTCTTACAGGAAGCCCGAGAACGTTGGTTGTTTGATACGAATACAATTCGGAGGCGACGACTAGCTTGTGAACAGTCAAATAATACACAATAACAATAGTATAGTACACACTTATACAGCCTAGGTGTGCCTCACCTCACCTACATATGACTAAGAGTCGTGTCTCTTAAATTTGTCACGCAACTATGCCTTTGTTTCAAGATGTCTAGTCTAAATAATAATGGCACAATATGGACCATACTATCTCCAGTTGCTACTCTTACATAACTATCGACTTTCGCTACCTTCGGCACCATACATTTATTTAAGCTATTCCATATTATGATATTACTAAATCCGTGATGTGAATTAAATACTTACAACCAAAATCCTTAACGCAGACATGCAAATAATTCCAACACTGCCAATTAGTTGGAACAACAGATATGGATGGTAAGCGTTTTCCACGAGTTCTGTAAATCTGAAAACACTTGAAAATGAGAATCGTCACACTTTAACAAATTAGGTATTCATTTAGAAAACAATCATCACTCACGTGACAATCGCCTGATGATGCTTAATGCAATCAACCAGCTTGTTGTAGTTTTCTGCTAGGGCCTCATCCACCGCTTTAGTACCACGTTTCTCTTTTATAGAAGTTATCTAGAACGATTTTAAATGAGTAATTATGTGGTTTCATATCTTATCCTAGTTTCCTACCTGCTTCTATTAGTAGGTAATTACAGAAACGGACAAAAATAGAAATATAAACCCACACTCATCAGCTTTTCTTTGATAATATTAATCTGGGCGCATCCGAAGATAACTGAAGAAAATGTGACGCTGTCCACACCGAAGTACATGTAAGCACTAATGCAGATTGTTCCTAGTTGGAAAGCATAACCGATGTAGTATTGCACAGCATCTTCTGGGCTTACTGGCATCCTGGTAAAAAGAGCAGAATCAAATCAGTTATTTTGATATCACATTTACACCCGTTAAATAAAGTGCTACAAGAAAGGAAATGTTTAGCCGTTGCCGTTGGTATTTTACATAACATAACATAACATCACGCCTTTTATCCCCGAAGGGGTAGGCAGAGGTGCACATTATGCCACTACAATGTAACACCCACTATTCACTATTAATGTTATGAGTCCCATGTAATAGGGGGTGAGCCTATTGCCATATACCGGGCACATTTCCAGACTCCGAGCTACTACTGAGGTTTTTTCCAAACCCAGTAATACTTTGCCCGACCCGGGAATTGAACCCGAGACCCCTTGCCCGGCAGTCGCACTTGCGACCACTCGGCCAATGAGGCAGTCGGTATTTTACCTAACTATTTTTTAGTATAAATCCTATTCAGCTCCGCTGACCATCCTCACAAAATCGAATTTCTATTAAGGATTCCTTTTAGGGTTAAGGGAGAGGAGAGGTCTTCGTTCAGGAGTGCACGTCTTCCGACTAAAGATGAAGTACCTACTATCGGCAAAGTTTAAAGTAGAACAAAACAAAATCCTGTGACAAATTCGCCATCTACCTAATCGTTCAAGTAATCACTAACTTACCACATATCGAAAGGAAATTTCCTGTCAGCGTCGTCGAACAATGGTTTCAGTGCCCACATGCCACAAGTTATTTGTGAGCTGACCATGAAAGCTAACAGCAGTCTCTTTATTCGGGCTGCCTGCAATTCCAATAACCTGATTGGGCTTGATTGAATATTGTTTCTTATAAAATTAATGTTGGTACACGCCGGAGTACATCAATATCAAATTATTAAAATAGAAGAGTCGAAAGTACCTATTCAAAAATATTTAGAAAATCTGTACTCCGGCAGTAAGTATCTCGTTACCTACTTTTCATGAACATCATTTTCAGGTCTAAAAATCTTTGCATCCATCAACCGCAACAAATCCTTCAACATAGGCATATTTATCTGAAAAACGGTGACTTTCAAACAAAGACAAGCCTGTGTGAACAGCAAATAGGACGCTTGCGAAACTGCGTCTAAATCTCCCCACACTTGGATGATATAAATCGTTTGAAAAATCAAAAATAAGTATTGCAAAGTGATCATGAACCCTCGATAAGCTTTGAGGAAATATGAAGCATTGTCTGCTAAAACCCAAACTCCTAAATATTTCATTACAAACTTCGCCCTATTCAGAAAAAGGTCTTCTGAGGAGACCATTATGGCCGACCTATGTCGAAACGGCTAAAGACTTCAATTAATTTACTATGATTGATACACAATCTGTTATGTTAGTCCATTTCAGAAATGAGGTAATTAAAGTAAACAAGCAAGTAATGGCGGTCCAATTACTGTATCAATTTGATGGCTGGTAATAATATACTTGGAAGATAATTTGGCATATTTGCGTCCTAACAACACACAGGGTGATTTATTTGGATTACTTGTTAATTTAAAAGAAAGTAAGTTAGTGACTTACTAGCTTAAAGTATTTAAATACCTACTCTAAGCTTACTAGGTACTTCATTTGAACAGTAACTGCAATTATAACTGGTTAACATGAGAGTTCGACTCTTTTTGAATCTTTCGATGGTTTTAGTGCATTGTCTTTTTTATGCTAATTCTATGAATGGCAATAGGCTTGCCACTCACCGTAGGGGACTTATAACATAACTGGCTAAGATTAGAATAGATTTCAATGTTACAATTTATAAGATCACCTGTGTCTATCACTTTGGTTAACGAACAAACGTTCACGGTGGACGACACCTTCTCGTCTTCAAATATTTCTTCAAACATCATCTAAAGCAGTCTTATACCATGGTGATTCATTTTCTAATAAGCCTCTATTATGTCAACAATAATGCTAAATGTGCCTAGGTAATAACAATAAAATGATAAAGTAACATTTCATTAAATCCTTTGTTTGTATTGCAGATAATAGACCAATCAAAGGTAATAAATGTACCAACCTAAATGAACTAAGTGGTCTACGTGTTTGGTGCAGTAGTTCAATGAGGCAAGTAGCTTGGATTCAATTTCCGGATCACACCAAGCATTTATTAATTAATTATTGATATAACTTATCAATATTTAGAGGATCGATGATCGACGATCTGACGATCTCTGCCTACCCGTCCTAAGAAATAATATACATTATGATTTGCAGTGCTACATTATCATCAGCATCTCTCTATAAGATTATGTTAATATTCTTTATTTAATTAGACTTTACATGAATTAGTTGTTGCGCGATACAAGCTGCTTTTATTTATTAAAATTGTTTCTAGACGTTAGAGCAGCCACGGTACACGTGGATACAACAATATGATACCAAATACAAGAGAACATAAGGTCTTTGTAACAAAATACTTTTTGTAGTAGTTAATAAAGCAAGCTGAAAAAATAACAAAAAGAAAATTTTTGAAAAAAATGGTTAAGGGAAAGTGTTTCCGAACCAAATATTTGACGTGTGATGTGTCAGGCTTACGTCAGTCGATTTAAATGTCAAAATGATCGCCGTAGGGACTAGCGATCTAAATAGATAATTTAAACATTTTCCAACAATTCCTCTCAATAATGGTGCCTTCATAATACAATGATAGTGACACGTTAGCATGGAGAATAATATAATGGAGTTTACACTGCCGCCAGCCCCCCGGGGGCTGTGCTTTGACAGAAACGACTTCGTCAAGGTATTTTCGCCGATTTCTATTAAATTAATCATTAAAACAAATTTATTAGGCCTGAAATGTTTTCTAAACTTGTTAGTTAATATTCCAGACGAACTTTTCCGTCGATAATTTTCTGGCGGAGCATCAAAATGTTGCGTCGTTGGAGACGATGCGAGATGACCTAGGAGTGTACTTAAAAGTCCTAAGACTGGCTATGATAGAGCTCATTAACAAGGACTACGCTAACTTCGTCAATTTGTGTGCTACTCTTATCGGATTCGACAAGGCTATAGTAAAAATACAGGTGCCATTAGGACAATTGAATGATGAAGTTATTGTGAGTAACATTTTCTTTGCCTTAGCTAACTTATCTAATAATAAAACATTGTTATCAATACTTACCACAGTGTAGTAACATAAACGAGTTATTGTTTCCTTACTTTTATCTGTAAGTAATACACATAGCTGTTGCTAATTTGTAATTCATTGGCTAGTCTTTATTTTTTTATAGAGTGTCAAACAATGCCTAGAAGATGCGATGAAGGAGTTGTCTCTGTGGATGAGCCAGAGACATGGCCTACAAAAGAAAAAGCAGCTGCTCAAGCACTATAGCCAAACAATAAACTGTCTAAAAACTTTAGATAGTATATTAAAAACCATCACTCTTAAGAAGAGACAAGAACAGGTAGCTCTAGCTGATCGTGCAGCAATGCAATATAATCAACTGAAGTTTTCCATTGCAAAGTGTGACAGCATAATAAAGCCAGAACATAAATTACAATACAATGAAGTAGGAGGCAAATTAATACAAACACTTAATGAATTACTATTCAACTTTTGGAATAATAGCGATGAAGAGAACCTCTTAAAAACCCTCATCACTCTAGCATCTTTAGACCGAGTCAAAGAGTCTGAAATGCTAATTAGAAAACAAGCAGTTGCACCTCTCCTCCAAGATATAATTAATGAACCAGCTCTACAGAAAAGTAAAGAAGGACTTCAAGGAATCTATGATAGAATCTTGTCTTTATTAGACACAAAACTAAAGTTACTTCTAACTGTAACGCAACATTCCAAACTATCATTTCTGGTTAAAAAATATAGATTTTTAGTAAACTGCTTTTGGTGCGAAGTAGAAAATAGGTTGGAAGTGAATCTAGCATCAATTTTCGCTCCTGGCAACCCTCAGATATTTTATAGAAGGTACAGTGAAAGTGTGGAATTTATAAAGAAACTTGAGAAATATTGCTCTGCGGATGATATGAAGTTGCTGCATCAAACTTCAGAGTATAAGAGCTTCCAAAGAAGATGGAACTTGCCAGTTTATTTCCAAATAAGGTTTCAAGAAATTGCAGGTACTTATATTTCTTTTATTTATACAAATTTTAGGATACTATAACAAGACACATTACATTTTTGAAAAGTTCATTTCCAATATACAATGTGCCATAAGTATTCTTTTCTAAAATCTACAATTGACCCACTAAATGCTGTGGGTGTTAGGCATAAATAGAGGCCCATATTTCGTCCAATGACGCGTCACATCATGATCTAAATTAAATGTTTGATTCATCTCAAGTACCAAATCCCCGATATAATAAACATGCCAGAATGTGGGTGTTTGTATGCAATAGACTTACTTTTTATTATGTTTGAGAAAAACATGGTTCTATAAATCAATGTTTGATATTTTAAATGGTTTAGTTAATTAATACCATTCACAATCTGGACGAAAGCCAAAAACCAAACCCACTTTTTATTTCCAACATTATTCATAGTAGGTTATGTGGAAAAATTTCAAGTATGCATTTGTTTATGAAATGTCCAAACAATCACAGGAAGTTACGAGGCGGCGCTACAGAAGAGCCCTACACTGGAACCAAACGATGAATTCGTACTGAGAGAAACACAAAAATGTTGGAACGCTATCCAGGAGTGCTGGTCGGACGGGGTATACATAGAAGCTCTGGCCCACAAATTCTGGAAACTCACTCTCCAACTGCTGTCGCGGTATGCCACGTGGGCTAATGCGTATTGTACACAGGTAATAACCAGTTTATACGCGGCGATTTCAAACTCCGATTGAGTGCTGATAATGTTGTATGCACTGATAAGCATTTATGAAATGGCCTGATTTTATCATTGCGTTAATGTACACTTGTAAAGCTCTAAGCTCTTTAGTTTAATCTCTAGGCCTACAATTAAATGCAAATAATAGGAATGTATTACTCATACTGGTACAATTCATACAGTCATAGATATAATTTATTGATACTAAACTAATAAGCTTATCATAGACATTTATGTTTGAAAACTGTACAGTATTGTGATGTTTTATTTGAATTAAGTAGTATTTTTATCAGAACTGTACCTTTTTAATTAGTTTGTAGATTTATTAATACATGATAGTAAATAACGATGACATCATGCAGCTGTAGATTGTTGAATTGTGTCACAATGTCATGGTCTGAATGTCTCATTGAAACATAAATAAAACAATAATCCTACTATTCTGTTTCAGAGAATACCATCACAAAAGTATGAGCCAACAAATGTAAATAAAAACTTAATAGACAACAGTATTAACATCTATGTGGACATACAAAGTTTATTGAGAAAGTTGCCTCACTTATTGGAGCTTGTCAAGACCAAAATACCTATTGAGAACAAGGACCTATTGGGGCAGAGCTTGAAAGCTTCAGAGACCATTCTACAGGGTACTAAGGAGAAAGTAAGGGATTGTGTAGTCAACGAACTGTACGAGAATTTCAATGTCCATCTGAAGCAAGTCAGCGACATACCGCGCCTGTACCGGAAGACTAACCGTAGTGTACCAAATAAACCGTGCACATACATAGATGTAGTGTCGAATGCCTTGAAGGAGTTTAACGAGGAAGCTTCCAAAAAGCTGGATAATACGTTCACTATGGAACTATTTGAATCACTATTCAACGTCATGACTGTTTCGTAAGTATCTATTGTTAAATTATATTTCTATTTTTTGTTGTTAGATAAAACACGTCAATGTAATACGAACTGGGTTTTCCCTGTAAAATATTAATGTCGCAATTTGTTGTAATTTTTTATAAAAAATTTAATTCCTTATCAATATGTGATAAACAAGTCCATAAATAGTAACATGTGTTCCAGATACTACAAGTATGTAGAGGATGTATTGACCTCGGTTCAGAAAACCGAAGAGTCATTGAGAAGACTGAAGCAAATTCGAGAGATGAGTTCCCCACAGAGTAGCGACAGCGCGGGTGTAACGGACGGAGACAAGATCCGACTGCAACTGAACGTGGACGTAGTCTCGTACGGGAACCTCGCGCGCACACTCCGCCTCAATGTAAATAGTGTTCACAAGTTCCCAGAACTATCCAGTATGGTAACAGATGCTGTAAAAAATATAGATATTAAATGATATGCCCAGTTGTATACTAAAGTTTTTTTGTTTAACCTGTATCGTCTAATGTATTATAATTAACTATTTATTAGCAATAAAAGATATTTATTTTAACATAAACATGTATTTGATCAGCTGAATAAAAATTGTATGATTTGAAAAAATAGAAACCATTCACTTATCACTTAAAATAATTAACAAGATAAAATCTTACTAATACTATTTGTGTGGAACAAAATATTTCATAATTGTGTTCGGTTTAGCTTTGTTCGTTCTAGGACTACTTCTCGGCATCTCTGAGCTAGAGGGGTTTTTCCACATGGACTTGAGCTCCTTTTGCATGTCGTCGGGAAGTGCATTGAACACTTCTTTATCAACATAGCTGGGGCAGTCATCACAATTCTTCTCTTCACAGTCTCTCATTGTGTCTGACGTATCAGACAAGTTGTCTTTCGCTGGACTGGCGCGTGGCGTGAGTGATCGATCGCGAGAATTCAGTCTTAGTTCTGAAACTTTTTCAAGCTCTTTTGAGTTTAGTCGGAGTTCACCAACTTTTAATTTACTTGGGGAAGCAACCTCTTCTTTGGCCAGACATCTTCTTTTTGCTATCCATGTAACCTTTTTGGGTTTTTTTGGTGACGGCTCGACTTCGGCGTCAGAGAGATCAGTTGTTGTGCTACTGCTGGGTGACACTGCAGAGTAATCCATAGATGAAGCAGATGTATCACATTCATTTTGTAAATTAAGCACAGATTGGACGGAAATATCATTCATTAAGTAGTTCACTATAGACCCTCTGCCTGTCATGCGCTCTTGGAACTTAGTGAAAGCCAATCCCACTAAAGTTAAATGGAATGGTTTGGTCAAGTCAATTAACTTGTTAAATAATCTCATAATTATGTTCATCAGTTTCTGCTGGCCTGCCTCAGTCACTGTCAGAGTACCACCAGTTAGAGAGAAGATGGAGGGAGAGATTTGACTCTGTCTTGATTCTCTGTGACTGCTCAGTCTCTTGGCATCTTTCTTCCGTAATGTGACCCGCAAAGAGACGGGAATGCGTCCATCTTCTCTGACTAAAACTAACAACCTTTGTAGCAATGCAGTGAATTTATCCTCCACTTCACTTCGTACACTGACTATCTTGAAGCTGTCCTCCAGGCCGATGCTCTGAGGTTTACCCGTCTGTTTCACTGGAGTATTATCTTCACCTAAACTTAAACTTTTCAGTCTGACAGCCATATCACTACTGAAGTGCTTCTTCAACACATCAAGGGATGCTTCTTGTAAGTCACTCACAGTTATGATATTGTTAGATATTAGAGCTTCTGCAGTTTTTGAACCAATACTTGGAATGGAGCGTATACTTTGTAATGTAGACATGAAACTGGTCCCATGTTCAGGGAATATAATAGTTTGGTCATTCGGTTTGTTTTGGGGGCAAATTAGTTTAGCTAACAACTTGTTGTGTGCAATACCAGCACAAGTTGTGAAACCTAAGTCTTCAAATATTTTTTTCCTTATGTCACTGGCTATCTGTGATGTTATCCTCAGTCTGGTGTGGCAGCCACAGGGGCAGTCGATGCTGGGCTCACTGTACACATGTCCAGCATGTGTAATGTTGCTACTGTTTACTGATTTCATCTTCTCTTGTACTAAATTTGTGACATCAATATAGTTTTCATCCATACCCAACTTTTCCACTGGACACTTCCAACACTGTAAAACTGCAAATATTTTATTAGAAGCAGTTCTGTAGTTGTGCAAGTCTTCACCATTTACAAGTTTTAAATTAGGACAAAGTTTTAACGCTTCCGTAACAAGCATACATTTCTGCACGCCGTACTTCCTGGCCTCGTAGTTGCTTGTTACGACAATGTTCTTCTGTTGTATGCCGAGCGGAACCGTCCGCAGCTCCGGTTTTAGTACCATCTCCACTTGTGCATAGAAACAGTCTACATCGATGTGAATTATACATCGAGCGTGTTCGCTATCAACATCATTGTAATGAGAACAGCCAGATTCCATATTCCTGGAAATTAAAGCATAGTTTAGTCATAATTTACTTTGTTCTAACTTAGTTTTACCTGTTGCGATACAATGTGAAAAATTAACAAATACCGTACCTATCGTCCATGACCGTACCATTGAAAGATTAAATATATTTAGTAGTAAGTATTTAAGCTTTTTAAGTTAGAAATTAAAGCTTTTCTTTCATAAATTTCCAAAATATTGATATTTTATATTGGACAATCACGACACATCAACAGAAGGAATGTTACCTTGCTAAAAAAAGATTTCCCTCGTTTTTTTCAATGTGATTGTACTACATACTAAAAATGCTATTCGAAGTCTTATTATCTTTAATTTTGGGAAACAGTTTAAATTAGTATCAAAAAGCCTATTTTATTTGTAGACATAACAGGATTCTTACTAATATGAAATGTAATACGTATGCATAGGTACTCACACAAGAAAATATTTCTATTCAATCGAATAGTTTTTTTTTGGAAAAATCGACTAAATCACCATGGTATTATCAATTTTGACATTTGACGTTTCATCAATTCTACTATCACAATACGTCATTTTCGCGAACGAAAGTGGGTTGAAGTGAAGACAAGTGGGTGTTCATGTTCAATACAAGTAACAAATAAACAGCTAAATACCGGAATTTACAGTTATGAACTCCTGAAATACGACAATGGAGGGGCTGCCTTCGGGTGATATACAGGCGAAGTACCAGAAATTGGCGGCGGAGTATTCGAAAGTGTGTGTCTTTGCTAAACGTGATGCGGTAAACGATCGGCAATTTAGTGAATTCGTTGTTTCCGTTGTTGCAGTTGCGGGTGCATGTAAAGGTGCTAAAGAAAGGAGTTCTAGATGAGCAGGCTAAGTCGAATGAGTTGCGGGAAACACTTAAGGATAAGGAGAAATCCTTGAGAAAAGGGGAGTTGGAGATAGATTCATTGACATTCAGAAACCAGCAGTTGACGCGGCGGGTGTCTGTCCTTCAGGATGAACTCGATGCGTTGCAGGTCAGTTGTAGCATTTGTAAATTAAAGAGGAAAATATATGTTTGTATAGTCACCTGCTGATAAATAACTTTATCTTAATACTCTGTGGATATCATTATCTATGTTTTGCAAACAGTTTCACCAAATACATAGGCCCTGTTTCACCATTATTAATTAAGGTTCTGTTATCTTAACTGACTCATGTTTTCACACATTTTATATGGATGGTACCTCAATATGTCCGTCAATTACGACTTGGGTATTTATTACTTAGCAATATTAAGCTGAACATAACGTTAACTAAATGTGGAAGGGCTCCAATTAGAATATTAATTTACTTTGCCTTGTTCTAAATGATATGCTCTGATTATTTTCTGTTATAGTAGGCTTCTTTAACACTTAAATGTTACCATTTACTATGAAAATTAAACATGAAAATTGTATTATTCATCTGATTACCTACCATACATACCTTGCTTTGTCTTGAAATTAAAAATAAATGCAGATACAGCTGTGTAGTATGATGTCATAATTATGCACTTTGTTTATGTTACAAAAAACAAAAGAAAAATACAGCAATTTGGATTATTATAAGGAAGTGAGTGTTATTGAAAAAGAGTGTTTATATTACAATAAAGATAAAGAACATTTTCCCGTATATTGATGCTTTACTATTATTATTTTTTACTTATATTATATTGCTTACCTATTGTCACTTTTAATAAAAAAAACCCACACGCAATGTTTAACTGTTCAATCCCCCAATAGTCACCGGTGGCCATTCTCCACTAACACCATTATAGACCTTTTTCTTATGTTTAGAGACTACTTTTCTCAAATTATGGGTATTTATGATATATAAACATATTAAGTATTGTTTCTATCATTATACATTTGATAAATTATGTGACTGATAAATATTTATTCTTTGTGATTGTTATTTAAGACCATGTTATGAAAGGTTCAATTGTATCCAAGGGTCTTATTATCATTACATTATTTATTGAAAAATAATTATATTTCCGTAACATATATTTCATCGTTGACAATAATTTATTTTAACTTCACAGTTAAAATTGACAAAGAAATCAAAAAACAAAGGTGATGACAAACAGCAGGCGACAGTCAGTAGCGCACCTGCATTAGACTCGGGACTTCTACAAGAAGAGCTACAGAAGAAGATTATTGAGAATGCGCAGTATGCTTCACAGGTATGCTAGATCGTAGAAAAGTCAAAACTGTACATTAAATATTTTTTTAATACTTGTGCCGTGATCTACAGTTGATACTGAAGCCAAAATTATGATTTTTAGAATTTTTGTCTGTTTGTTTGTATATATATCCGGGATGATCTCAAAAAGTACTGCATGGATTTACTTTAACCCCGAGCTGTTAGTAATAATCATGTGACTGTCATAGTGACTATATAGGCTACATATTATTATCATATCACCTATGGGGTAAGCGCAGTATTCCACATGAACGAAGTCACGGGCACAGCTAGTTTACTTATAACTGTCATTCTTTATTTAAATCTTGATTGATAAATAGGTACTGTAACTATAAAATCTTAGTCTCTTTCTCTGTTTTCCGAATTCCGCTTTCTTTTATTCTTTTCACATCCAACATTACCTAATGCAATAGCTATGTTATTGTAAATCAAACAATAGACCTCAGATACTGGACAGTTCAGGTTTTCATTATAAAAATGACATTCTTCTGTGATCAAGCAGAAAATGATCCAATAACAACTTACATGACCAGGGAATTAAATCTCCTTGCTCATCAGTTATGTTTGCCTTCACATGGGCAAAAAAAGAGTTCAGTTGACATGAAAAAAATAGAAATAAGAATGTTTATTTGCACGAAGTATGGTAATTACAGGTGATAATGATTATAAAAAATAGTCCCACATACATCGCCTACTGTTTTCGGCATGAATGAATAGAATAGAATAGATTTATTTATTTGCAATGAATGTAGATACAAATTATTATGTGTTACACAATCTTAAGGTTCCATATACATTCTACCTTAATTGACAGACAAATTTACATTAATTTTTTTTATTAATAAACCTTATCATCCAAGAATTCTTGTACTGAAGAATAACGCTTGTCCAAAAGTAATTCTTTAACATGCTTTTTAAATTTTGTCGTGTTTGTTAGTGGGATAAATATTATCTTTTTTAATTACAGCTATCAGACAAAGTATTCGAAGTATCTCAGTTGAGGGCATCACTGGAGGACTACCAGAGACTCATCAGTGAGAGTGACAATAAATACAAATGCGAGATAGCAAAGCTGAAGAATAAGAACCAGGAGTTGCAGTACTCACTAGAGGAGGCTCAGAGGGAGAGGATAGGAGGCACTCCGAATAAGATACACCTGGCTACTAGCAGTCAGACTGCAAGCTGTAATGGAGACTTCTTGTCTGAAGGAGGGAGTTTGGTAAGAGATCTGTGGTTTTTTTCATAGTCTTTACTCTTTCTTCTTCTCAGTTCTTATTTGTGACTTATACGATCCTTAGTATTGTTCAGGGCCCAATGAGGTCTTGGTCTGGTGTTAATAAAGCATAAATAAAATATTACCTTCTATTTAATTTGTTGATGACTTATGATGAAGCGAAAGAGATGTAAGAATCGTAGTAATTGGCGTTCCATGGTCTCTACCTACCCTCGTGGGAGACAGGCGTGAAGTTATGTAATTAATTGGTCTGTGGGTTCTGAGTTTACATTTGTTCACAGGTGGGCAGTGAAGACGCGCTTAGTTCTGTAGAAGATATGAATGTTACTGAGCAGCTCAGTATAAAAGCTCATTCATTAGAACAGGTAAGATTTGAAGACTTTTGCGTACATTTTTTTTTATGATATTTTTTTTTTCAATTTAAACGTTGCCCCATACTAGGATTTTCTCCTGTGTCGTGGGTGCGTTTACAAACATACAAGTTCACATACACATGACACCCAGACCCGGAACAACGATCTGTGGATCACGCAAAGAATTGTTCCGTGCGGGAATCGAATCCGCGACACGTTACGCGGCAGCCAGTTGCCCAGCCACCGCGCCAACCGTGCAGTCTTTTTTTGCGAACATTGCTTTTGTTGCGAATACTTTGAGTATCGTCATTATAGACACAATTAAAGAACAATAGGTTGCGGTCACCGGTGTCCTCGCGGTGTTTGACAGTTTAATATGCACAATTGACAAAGTTGGCGGTCGACCACGAATTAGGCGATATTCGCATGCATTCGCCGCGAGCGACTACAGGGAAAACAGAGCGATGGATAGCGAGTTTGCCACAGGATTTTGGTTCAAAAGTGTACTATAGTAAACGTTGCCAATGGTACATGCATTGTTGAGCGTGCCCTCGTAACCTTAAACAGACAACAGTCGATAGTTATTATCAAACGAAAATTTATTACAAGTCTTTAGTAGGTCATGCAATGAAAAATGGCATTTGCTCACGAAAAATATTATATTAAATGGAATCTGGTTCAATCTACATTTTAATTTAAACAAACAGATGACAGTAGTATTTAAAAGACAGTTAAGCCTTTGACTGCCGACAGAAAACTCTTACAGGTAAATCCTCCGCTATCGTGGCCCATACCTTGTCCCCATGGCGTTCAAGGTGTTAATTAGGACGACCTAAACCTAAAAAATAACGTCTTTTATTTATGCATTTTTTAATAAATACATCTTTTTAGTTTTAACGAAGTCTGTATTCTTGAAGGGTAAATAAAACCGGGGTATTTTCGAGGCTCGGGTGAATAGGTTGTTTAGGGACGACGTGCTCCATCGTAGACCGCATCATCGCAAAAAAAATACAAAGATTATAATTAACTCAAAACAAATTTCAGGAAAACCAAAAACTAAAAATGGAGTTCGAAATGCTTCGAATGGAAAACGAGAGTCTGAAATTAGAGGTAGCAAAATATGTATCCGCTTCACAAAAGAGGAGAGGGGACGGTCATGATTCCGGTGACTTCAACACTTTTGGGGAGACCTCCGTGGATGCTGAGGGAAGGGTCACAGGTCTACTGGGTAGCCTCCAGGTACCCTTCCTCCTTACCCAGGAGATAGAGACCAGGGAAGAAAGAATGAAGACATACTTTAGGAATAAGATTAGCGAACTGAAGATAGAAAAAGAAGAATTGAAGAGTAAGACTGAACATTATGTTAAAGAGGTAATTTTTGATTTAATTTTGGACTCTATGTCTATAGATAAAAGAACCTTATTATTTTGCCTTCATAAAGCTTTATTTTCAAATCTAAGCTGGATTACTAAATCCTATTTCTTTTTGTACTTTTTTTAATGTGAATGGAAAATATATTTTTTTAAATATAGTTCCTAACTTATGCCACATAAGAACTAATTTCCCATACCGCATTGCATCACATCCACCTTTTCATGACGGTTAAGAATTTATATCTTTTATCGCATAAGAACTATTATCCCAAATCATATAACAACTTCTAACATTTTCAACAGTGTGAGATGTTACGACTCCGGTTCGAAGAGATGGAGAGAGATAAACAGAGCAACGAGCACACGTTGAGTGAGAAACACAACACTATCAGTAGACTGGTGAGTCATGCGCGTGCGCACCGTACAGTCGATGTTAATGTTTTGGTGATAGCGAGAGGTTGAATGAGGTCGTGTTATACTTAAATGGTGTAATTTACATAATATAGTTATTGATTAACAAGTCTCGGGTATTATGCTGTCTCAGATTCGATTCCTGGGCTGGGTACGTATTTCTTTCTATGAAAATTTTGACTATGTAACATAACATAACATCACTCCTTTATCCCCGAAGGGGTAGGCAGAGGTGTACATTATGCTACTGTACAATGTAACACCCACTTTTCACTATTTATGTTATGAGTCCCATGTAATAGGGGGTGAGCCTATTGCCATATACCGGGCACAATTCCAGACTCCGGGCTATTTTTTTTTGGGATTTTTTTTAAAACCCAGTATTACTTTGCCCGACCCGGGAATCGAACCCGAGACCCCTTGCCCGGCAGTCGCACTTGCGACCATTCGGCCAATGAGGCAGTATTTTGACTATGTAAATAGCATGGAATTTAGAAATATGGCTGTCCTATAGTTTGAAAGTTACTAACACCCCATTGATTCTCCCCACAGGAAGAAGAGCTCCATTCAACGTCGCACAACTATGAGGAACAGATGTCAGTTCTGACGGAGCACGTGGCAGGTCTCAACGAGCAACTGACGAGACAACACGACGAGATACAACTACTGAAGCATGCGCTTAACACTAGGAAGAAGTAACTAGGTAGCTGCTAGGATGGGGGGTGAAAGGTGATTTGTGACTTACGACCTTGAGATAAGGTGCTTATTACCTTGGGGATATAGACTTATAACCTTGGACTATACATCTTATGGGTTTAGTAGGTCTTATGTCAGTAATCTGTTTCAATAAAGGTTTCCGAGATGGCGCTAGTCTGGTGTTAAGACAATTTAACCAATCAGCTTAGCTGTCTGAGTAATGACGTGTTACTAACAAATATTCTATTGAGTGATAGATCTTCAGCTACACTAGCGCCTCTAGTTACTAAAAAAATAATTTTGAATGTCGAATATTAAACCCTATGTCTTTGCATTTAAAGGCTCCTTTCCGGACTGGGTAAAGTAAAAAGGGGCTGGTAAGTTTTATATTTAGTCACTTTTAAGTCAAGGGTCATAAGGTCGATATTTAACACCCTTCGTCTCAAATAAGTCCTATAAATACATATTGTATACTGTCAATATTATCGTGTATAAAAATGTTTATAATATATGGTCATGTGACCATAATGTACAGTGAACGAAGTATATAAAATCAAGTTAACTTAGTATGTTCAAAAATATTTACGACTATAAACTCGAAAGTTACGGACTCCGGTTGGCTCCGAAAGCAATCGGTGTACACCGATTTCTGACAAGAGACAGGTTTAGAAGTTTTTGACGTGCTTCTTGGATTTTTAAATTTATATGTTGTGTGTTATTTATTGAAATGAAAATTAGATATTTAATTTGCACTTTGGTAAAACTACTTGTGTCAAGAAATGAGCTGAATAGGTATTTCAGGATGTATGAGGGATAAAACTGGTATTAACAATGTATTATTGAGATTTTTTCATTAAAAAAGTTGGTGTATTTTACTTACATTCCTAACTCTGGGATAGACAGAGATGAACACAGTCAATGTTTCCCACCATTCAGTTTTGTCATTCAAATTACAATTTTATTCCGAACACATCAAAATTCATTCTTCTCTATCTCTATAAATTTAAACTTCTACTCTTCTATACACATTTACACATTTCAAATGTTTGTCACAAAAAATTGTATAAATGTAAAAATTGTTAAAATGTTCGTTGAATTATAATAAAGATGTACACCCGGCAAATTGTATAAAGTTTATAAAATATTTTTATGTGTGTTTAGGTAATTATATATTAAATAATGTCCGGTGTAAATTGTATGAGATTTGTTTTATGAAATTCGTTTGCATCAAATCTTTGGCGCTCGTATAGCGAGTTTGGACTTCTCTGAATTTAATGATAACTACACATTACGTAGTCAAAGTCTTAGGACCTGGTTCACAGTCTTTGATGAAGTGTTTTCGTGACTGAAAAATCATTAAATATATCCTCTCGTTCTGAGTAAGGCGGGAGTGAGTGTCAGACTCTTACTAACTAAAAATCACGATAACCTTGACTTGTACTTGTACTATCAACTTCTTACTCATATTTGACACATTTCGTACGAAAATTATGAATTAACACCAAATTATTCAGGTGCCGGAGTGCAGGTATGTGAGACAATAGAAAATACATTGTGTCTCGCGTAGATCTACGTCCCGGACCTATATACCACGGGTTAAAAAATCGACTTCTTACCCTCTTTTTTTGAAGTCGGTTAATTAATATACTAAAACCTTTTCCCAAGTGTAACAAAAACTTTTATGAATCAAAATCGGTTCAGCCATTCGCGAGTTAATCGCGCACAAACATTATTATGTTTACACATACAGGTCCATACATGTCACACTGAGAACCTCCTTTCTTTCTGTTTGATGTCGGTTAAGAACAGGTCCTAAGTATAAATTTATATTTGAATAACAAAATGCTTCCTCAATCTAGCTCAAAAAATTAAGTCTAGTCTCGGAATAATTTGCATTCTTATCACTAAAACAATTGTTTAGTTAACGAGAAACATTGTGGCCTAACTAATGTATATAGTATACAAACTATACAACTATACATATTAGGTAATCGTATTAAATTCGGCTAGTGATTCGTGCTTTAGTTTAGGCCAATTTGGTTTTTTTAAAAACGTAAAACATTAAATTAACTAAAAATCGCGATCAGTAGATACTGATCAGTATCGCCGCGACTGCGCACGCTGCTCATGAGGAAGAACCCCTCTGTGATTCGAAACTAGTAGAGCTTTTCTCAGTATATTCACATGAGTAACCCGCGATTTTAGTTAATTGAATTAAAACCATTGGAAATGTAGAATAAAAATGTATTGCATACTTTTATTTATTGGTAAAATTGTCGGCAATGAATTTGCTCTTTTATGTACATTTTGGTTTAACAATTAAATTATGTATGTATATGTGAACGTACAGAATTTGTCTGTATTTTTTATGAGCCATCATTTGTACGATAATATTTCAATTCCAATCTTATATCCAGGTAAGATATAAGGTCTTTGGTCCATCAACGTCAATAACTCACGCATAAACTGCTATTTTTGTCTGCCTATAATAAATATACCATGCTTTGTATGTAAATACCAACATTGGTTTCTCACTATTTGAGAATCTTTACACAGCCAGTCTCAGTAATCTTTTTAGGGGGGAAATCATCCAATGACTTCTCCCACCTTGTGTTAGGCGAGACTGCCTCATTGGCCGAGTGGTCGCAAGTGCGACTGCCGGGCAAGGGCCTCGGGTTCAATTCCCGGGTCGGGCAAAGTATTACTGGGTTTTTAAAAATCTCAGTAGTAGCACGGAGTCTGGAAAAATGTGCCCGGTATATGGCAATAGGCTCACCCCCTATTACATGGGACTCATAACATAAATAGTGAAAAGTGGGTGTTACATTGTACAGTGGCATTAAGTGCCGAAATGTGCACCTCTGCCTACTCCTTCGGGGATAAAAAGGCGTGATGTTATGTATTTTATAAGCAGGGCTGTCAGACTCTTACTGACTAAAACCACCCCGTTCTTACTTCTACTTTGAGCCGAGACCCCGGTATCCCGTTAGTCGGGTCCGCAGCTCCAGGTTGGAGTACCGCGACTATAGATTTGTCTATTACTTATTAAGACTGGTTGAAGTCATTGAGATTATCCACAAGCTAGACTAGTAAAGGTTCTAACGCTGTTTACATTAAGTTATGTATAAAATATTATTATAAACAAATATACGGTATGCTATGAATATGTAATTATGTGTATAAAATGTATAATACGAGTATTTTGGTACATCTGATGGTATATGTATGATGAAGTGGCATTATAATGCATTTCTATTAAAAAAAGATGTACCAAACTATTCGCAAACGGTCGTTGCATATAATGTATAAATAAAAGGAAATAAATTATCAATAAATAGTTTTGAATACTTATATTCGTTTTCTTTCATCTACGACAGTCCTATAATATTCAATCTGATAAAAGATTATAACTTCATGGAGAATATGGAGATACGCTAACACAAAATCAATGATCGTCTGGGTGATTTTCGCAAAGGTGCTACTACAGGATTACTTTCAAAAACATATTAGTACATAAATTAATTTCAAAGTCAAAAGTCTATTTCAATTAGACAAGGAAGGCACTTTTGAACGTTAAAACAAAATATTAAAAAAATGCCAGTCTGTAGGTCAGTCCTTTAGTGAAGCTATTTGCTAGTTCCAACGAGTAGATTCCTATGGAGAAGACCAAGAAACTCCAGAGGTATTTGAAACTTTAAGCAGACCTGAAGCTGTAGCCAAATGCCATTTAGCGCTTGTCTACATGTAGAATAGAAAACCAAATTATATGCATTGACGTAAATTTTGACACTTGTCAGTGGCATCCACATGACATTTTGATTTCTATTCTCTCTGTAGACACGCGCTAAAGTGGCGTTTGGCTGAAGGCCCTGACTCGGTTCTAAGCATATTTTAAGGACTACATCTAGCCAGTATAACTATAGTAGTGTTTACCTACATATTTCCTATATACTTATCCAAAACAAAAATACTTTTTCAATTCGAACCCATCAGTCCGTAGTTCCAGAGATTAGAGCCTTCAACCAAAAAAACTCTAACTCACACCAGTGCAACTCAAATCCAGTCTCTGAGTGCGTCCATGGTAGAACGCCTGACCTGTCCTTACAAGCGGTTTCCGATTGGGGTGACGCCAACTCGATCAGGTTCAATGCCAATAAAACCCAGGCGTATTAATTCTCCGCAAAACGGCGTCGGTTCCTACTTTCCGAAGTGTGTCAGTTCTGAAAGGTGATCATCTTGAGCTTCTCCGCGTAACTCTGACGCTCACTCTCAACCTTTTGTTCGTATATTGAATCAAAGGTGCAACGGGCTTTTTAAATCATCGAATGACTGCTCCCGCCTAGGTGAGGCGGGAGGGAGTGTCAGACTCTTACTGACTAAAATCCACTCCGTTCCTTCTCCTGCACGTCCAGCCGGAGCCCCGGTTATCTACCCGTTAGGTTCTCCGCGACAAGGTGCAACTGGTTAGAAGGAAGTCGGGTGCCCTGTCGAGGGTGAGACGGTAAGTACTTCACATCGGAGAGCATTGCTCATTCTTTACCAAGCACAAGTTCGGTCGTGTATGGAGTACTGTTCCCATCTTTGGGATGGTTCGGCTAAATGCCAGATGAAAGCCCTTGAGTCCATTGAAAGGCGCACCGAAAGGCTCATTAATGATGATTCGCTTGTGGAGGCGAGGCCTCGAACACAGGCGTAATCGTAAGCCTTTCGGTCTTCTACCGGATACCTTTCGGGGAGTGTGCGTGGGAATTGCACAACTTTATTCCCCCCAGTCCGTTTCACCATCGTACGGCAGACAGCCGTCGACAGCCAGACGAACGGCAGAGCGCCATCCTTAATGGTGCACATTTCACCCATTCGCACGAAACGATTCGTGTCAAGCTTCCTTGCGCGAACAGCTAAGGAACCCTGTTTACGGTATAGATTTGGGCTCCTGACTCACCCTCAAGCTCTGCATCAAGATATTCATGCAGACGGTATCAGACGTCGATAATTTTTGTGTTTTGCACACGATACATAGAGTTGTTAGAGAGTAGGAACCTATATCAAACATTTTTTTTAAGTGGCTCTTTGCCCAAGGTCGGTTTCACCCCATCTAATCTCAATAAAATTTAAAAAACGAGGTCTAATTGGAGGCCTTTTTATAAGTGGGGTAAATCATCGAATGGCTACTCCCGCTTAGGTTAGGCGGGAGGCTAAAAACCACCCGTTCCTTCTCCTGCACGTCGAGCCGGTGCCCCGGAAATCCGTTAGGTTCTCGTTTTTTAGATTTTCTACTTTGCCTTTTAATTTATGTCCTGACCTCGAAAAATGTGTAAATATAATTTTATCTTGTTTGAGAAGCAGCAAGAGCGTCTATCGAGCAAGGAGTCCTAGGTTCAATTCCCAGGTCGGAAAAAATTATATTTCATTTTTCTGAATATTCTCATATCGTAAAATAATTTACATTACCTACATTAAAATATCTTTGTAAAATTAAATTACTGAGATGAAAATTGAATAAGCCTCTCAGTATTTGGGCATAAGTAACTTAAGATTAGGGTAGGAAAGCAGGTGTAAAAGGGGGAATAGAAAAAAACACACGTTATATGCACAACTTTGTATTATAACGATAATCATAAGCACCTTATAATATGTCATCTGTTACAATATTTGTTTTCAACAGTTACATTATCGTTATAAATATTTATACAAAATTTATCAATTTGTTGAACAGCGTTTTGCAAATAATTCGCTAAGTGAGGTCATATGTCGATCATGCGTCGAACAGACCTACAGACAGACAGCAAGCGACCGGGGACATTATATGTATATCAAAACATTGCACTCGTTTGCTTACCAGAAGCGTATTGCAAAATATTCCATATTAACATTAAATTTAAGTTTATTTTTATACTACACCTTATTTTAAAATTGTTGTTGTCCGACAGTCACTTGCTGTGTAAACTGTAGATTCTAGTATGGGATACTATCAACTGAATAAAGCCGAATGGAAATTTTAGGTAAAAGGTCTTTAAACTTGATTATAATTGCTAAGATGAGATCGCAGTTATGAAACCGGCTGTTTCAGGGTTGCTACAAAATCTAAATGCTTTCAAAGTGCATAATGGCATTCGCAATAAGAAGCAAGTTCAAAAACCCATTTACCTCAAACTGGCTTATAAATGGCGGAGCCAATAACACGAAACTGTACATTTAACATTAAGGTCATTATACATGATTGCAAACAACTATAAATATAAAAGTTACAAAATCTATTTATGGTCGATAGTATCCAATACTCGCGTACAACTCTTGATAATTCTCTTTCAGTCGTCACTCAATAACACGGATATTTTATTTATGTTAAAATAAAAAAATAAATTACTACATACATAGGTGCTCTTCATCACATCCACTCTCTCATTCCCGAAGCTCATCTAATACATTTTATACATACATTACACATTGTTAAGTCGACTGCTTGAAATGGCTTCAACACAACTCCTTTGGCACTCTATACACGCAAAATAATAAAACTTAAATCGATATAAATCACCGTGGGTGCCCCGAGTTGTAAGATTACTATAATTCATAAAGGCAGATAGGCATAGTTATGTATAAATAAACTAAGTTTACGTCGAGTCGGCAACATATTAAGCTTATACTGGATGCGTATCTAATGCTACATTTACACTCTCGCGGGTCGAGACGAGGCCGAGATACATTGTCGTTATTCTAAAAGAGTTGTGGTGTTTCTCGTATTATAAGACTGCGATGTATCTTAACCTCATGTGCAATCGCGCGAGTGTAAATGTAGCATTAGTTTTCCTATGAGCGAATATGTAGCAAGCGAGTTTAATGCAACAAGCGAACAAACACTCGACATTTATCAAATAGTTTTACCGTGGGACGGTTGCATTACGTTTTTATTACAAATCTTATATTAAAACGAGACTTATTTTACGTACTTATTAGGTAGTTTGTGGTATAAGCTGAATATGTTCCCGAGCCGGCGAGAGTATTAGGACACGCATTTTGTATGTGTTAAATAAAATTCTATCTTTAAATATGCGATGTCGCTAACGGTGCAGTGTACTCTCGCCCTAGTTATTCGTTCGACTAAAATATAAAAACATCTATAGTTTGACACACTCACGTTCATAATTTTGTGTAAACCTCATTGAGATCTATCTATGTCAAACATATAAGACAATAATATAAACATGTGTTCATGTATTTGGTTTATTATAAACAATAAATTAAAGATTTTATATAAGACGGGAGTATATCAAATGTAACTGACCAATCATAAGACTGGATTATTCATATTTTCTTTTGGTCATTACAATTTGATATTCTCTCGTTTTAAAAAACCGTATGGCCTTTAAACAACATGATTATAATCTAAAAATAGTTTTAAATTAAATACACGATTGGGCTAAGAAGTTCTTGTAAACATTTCGTAGGTGGTTCGCGCGTGGAATGGTATATAAACCTGTTATATAATTAAAAATATATTTAAATAAAATTTCGAGTAACTAAAACGAGTCGCCTTGTGATGCGTATTGAAGATGAAATGTTAGGAACACACGTCCGTACCGGATTAGGAGAAAATGTATGTAAATCTGTACAAAAGGTTGAATTAATAAACGTTATCTTAGTTCGTAATTTGGTTTAGGTATATCTGTATTTGTATCACGTCACTAGTGTAAAAGAGACGGAAATATAGCTAACAACTAAGAAACGTTTATTACGTCCAGAATTTGAACTTGATAGGTAAGTTATGTAATGTAATGTGTTCATGAAAGACCACAGAAAGAAAATCTATCCCAGCCACTCACAATGTTAATTTGCATCACTTTTCGTATAAAGGTCGACAACGCGACGAACAAACTCCTTTTACAATATAATACAATAACAGCAGTGCTTTGAGTACATTAAGTAGCAATTTTATATGACGTGATAACCAACCAATCAGGCGATAGCACGCAAAAGCGAACGGCATCCGATTGGTCGGTGATCACGCGATCCGAACGCGATTGTCGACCCAAGTGGATATAAAACATCAACAAAAGGACACTACCGTAATAATATATGTGTACTAACTAATCAATATCGAGCACAATGCGTCACTCGTGTCACTCATATAGCGTCCTCTCGCTCGCACACTCGGGCGACCGCGGTGTTGCCAGCGGTCGAAACGTTCGGCACTTTAAAACACGTATTGGCATAATATTAGGTAATTTGTCGTTAACATCCCATGAGAGGCCGTTGACATACCTTGAATTTTCAAAATGCATTGAAGTGGAATTTTTAGCTTTATGCATCACTTTAGACAATTTTGTATCACGGTGGGCGAAATTATTCTTCAAAAAGGTACTGTAGAAAATGTTCTAAGGCATGTTTTGTATTCCACCTGCATTGAGATTAGCTGTGAAGCTTTCTATCGTGTATGTGTGCGGGCTGGGTCGGTGTTGCTAGCATTGGTTGACGTCCGGCGGAGTGGACAGGTACGGGTCGGCTCGCTTGTGCTCAATCAACGCTTTCACTGTCGTAGAGTCCGCCGGAAGCTCTGACTTCTTGCGTAGAAGGGGTTTGCTAGCATTGTAGCCTTGTTTTCTGAGCTGTGGAAATAATTTTAAGTTTAATATAGGTTTCTAGAGAATACCTATTCGCTTTATACGGTTGGTTTCAGTGTTGATCGATAAGACTGATTTTTGGTACAATGACTATCGCAAAATGTTCAAAATTACTAACAAAATACAATTTGTTTAATTAAACTATTCGAGAATGCTCGAATAATTTCGAGCCACGACCGGGACTCACAATTACAGTTCACATGAGCAAGTTTGAAGAAAGTTTTAAGAATGGATAAGCAACTGCCTTTCTTATCTTCAGTTGAATAGTATTAAAAGACGAGTAAAAGCTGTTACCTCTTGCGCCTCCTGTTCGATCCGTTGGTACGTGAGCGTGGCGAGGTCGTCCCTGTCGGCGGGCGGCGCGGGGCCGCGCGGCGCGGCGGGGGCGGCGGCCGCGCGCGCCTCCAGCGCCTGCCATACTTCCTCGCGCTGCTGCAGCCGCTCCCGCTCTCTGCAGGGTAACAAACATAATTAGCATATTAAACATGTTGCCTAAACAAATCTGTGGCTCCATAGTTTTTATTTCTCCATGAGACATAGACCCATCTCCATGAGATGTCTCCATACGTAACTCAAATCTTTATATAATATGCAATACTATGCATGTTATTTCATAACGAAGTCATGGCTTTTGTAACTTTCACCGGCTCTGTAGCGAACCAATTGGTTAAAATAACAACTAGACTGCTAACTTCACATAATTTTTGAATTATACCTTTCTTTACTATTATTATAAATGTAGTGTGTTAGTTTGTTTCTCTGACGTCGCAATGGGACAACGGGACATGCACATCTGAATACTCCCTGTATAGGCCATTCTTTTTTTCAGAACGTGAGCAATTCTTGTGAAAAGAACTTACTTTTGTTTCTCCTGCTTGTACTGCTGCGTGCATTCATCGAAGAGTTTCTGGTTCATCTCCATGAATAGCTTGAGCGCGTTGTAGACGAGGCCGTGTATAGTCTTGTTCCAGTGGCTCTTGGTGTTGCGATATAGTGACGGGAACATTATCGGCAGTATGTGCGTCGCGTTGTCCGATATAAGGGACATTATGTACTCGTTGTTCCAGTAGTAGAGGGCGCGCTCTGCTACCTGCAATTAGGGAATTCGGCGTTAAATGTCGGATGGTTTTGGTACAGGTAAAAAAATATCTTGAATTAGGAACAAGTGACTGCTCAACCTATTTATTATAGACTGGTAATGAACTTCCTCCAAGTAAAAAAAGGTTTTATTTGTAAAAATATTATTTATTTACTTATTTATTTACACTTCATGTAGGTATACAAAGGCGGACTTAATGCCTAGTGGCATTCTCTAACAGTCAACCTTAGGGTGATGCAGAGAGACAGAATAGTAGGTGTAAACGTTTAACATTTGTGAGTTTTGATCATACATTGACAAGTATTACATATAATTAACATTAAGATTAAAGTTAACATTAACATCATATATAATTTCGTACCTGAAAGTGTGGACTGGAGACGCATTTAGCGAGCTGCTTGAACAGCGGGTCCATGATCTTCTGGAACTCGCCCGGCTCTATCACGTCCAAGATCTCCTCCATTTCATTCAGGAACATCACCTCCTTCGGCGAGTGCGTCTTCGGCCAATATTTTAGTAGTGCCCTAGAAATTAATGAGAAGTGGATTTTTAGTATGTTTGTTCGAGTTGTTTGTATTATGATGGGTATTGTGAGTATAACTGAAAGTAATGTAAGATTTACAAATTACTTGAAAGGAAAAAATAATTAATCTTAAGTTGTATATATTTAATTTAGTAATAGTTAGTTTTAATTTTATTTAAGTTTTTATTTGAATAAATTAAATAAGAATTTCATCCATAAAAACATTGGTTTAGCCTTTGACTTTTTGTCTCTATAACGGGAGTATTATCTGAAACAAACAATTTGACTTCCGATTTGAAATATTTCTTTTTACCTTCAATAGCGTTTTTAATTATCATAATAAATATATCTCGTATTATTTAATCCTAAAAAGTAATTATAATCTAAAATTTTATTTGAAAGTAAATATAAGAAATATGTTTTATTGTTGTAATTTGTTTTATGTTCAATGGCACTTATGCGCAAGTGTGATGCGCAAAACAACTGATTGCGCATAATATTGTATTAACTTTATAATGTTGCGCAAACTGTTTGCTATAGACGTTAAGATACTATAAATAGTTTGTCACTATAATGCGTTGTGTAACGTACCTAACTACAGGCTGTGTGAGCGACGGATCCTTCTCCAGGAACTGCACGACGCAGTAGGCGAGCTGTGGATGATACACTGACAGGGACTTCGCCTTGTGCAGCGGTAATAACACCTGGAATATACAACATTAACCTTCAGTTGAATAGAAAAATCATGCATCATCTTTATCATCATTAAACCAAATGCAAGATGCCTTCAAAAAATTTTCCATATTTCTACGCTCAGTGAGCAGATTTGAAGGTTCAATTTTACTAGACAGTCCTTCTGACCGATCAGCATCCGCAGAAAGAGTTAGATGTCATAATACTGTGTAGTGCTGATACAAACACGGCTTTCCGCGGCCAAGAGAAAAGTATTTAATAACATTCCCTCAAGAATCAGCCAATTAGATAAAAAAATATAAATAAATGCTGACCCTCAATAAGAATAGTTTGTGTTCCTCTTTGAGCGGCAACGCGAACCCGTTGATGATGGAGCCGAGGATCTCCAGTAACTCCGCGATACCGTTGTGATGCTCTGTCTCGTAGATAAACCTGGATAGAAAATAGAAATATTTTACTGAAAGTCATCCAATGTCCAACATATGTGTACTACAAGGACCATATCGGCCGGTAAGAAGTAACCTGTATCTAGTGGCTCACTGTGACCTTTGTCAGGTCAAGTTGAGGATTCGTTTTAGAAAAAAAGATAAGTAATAGAAGTTGCAACTTTTGAGAGCCAATTCTGAAGTCAATTCCTATTATTGGCTAGATATCTCACACACACTAAAAGGAACAAAAACTGTAGAAAACTTAATTCAATAAGGATATTGATACAACCTATTTTATAAGTTTGTTATACTTTTAACACCACAGTATATAGCATTGGAACAGAAGATCACATACATGTATTTTATTTATGCCATAATACCTGCTATATATATAACTTAATATTATAATGCGAAATTTTGTGTGTTTGTGTGTAAGTTTGTTACCCATTCAAGTCAAAACGGCTGAATGCATTGGGATTAAATTTGGAACTTGGATAGATTATGGTCTGGAATGACATAACATAGTCCTTTTATCCCATGGGAACGGACGAAGCCTCGGGCGAGAGAAGCGTCACATATATCTTACAAAACATTTAAAATGAAAAGTCACCTTAATACCCTGAGCGTCACTACTCGCTTTCATTACTGAACATTATCACGTGAATGGACACAGAGATGTAATTATTATTTATTATTGTCCGTCACGTTACCGTGTTTATAAATAGATGCGGCGCCATTTTGCATGTTATGGTGTTAAAATAGAATTATATCTGAATGTGGTTTACCGTATAATCTGGAGTGCTTAGAAGTGTGACGCGGAAATCGCGGGTGACATTAATTCATTTATTAATTTGTATGTTTTTTTGTTTGTATTATTCTTGATTATTAGATTTATTAGTTTCTTATTCTTGTTTCTTGTTGTTTCATGTAGTCTAGTAGGATTTTCTCGTGTACTGCGACTGGTTTTAAAAACATGCCATTTTAGTAAGGGAGCCCATGATGCTAAATTTGGATTTACTCGAGCGTCGTAGAGACTACTGGATTTTGAAGATATGCTGATAGAAAAAAAATGGTTTAGTGATAATTTCTACTACTGGTGGCCGGTGGGGGACTGGGTAATCCACAGAACTTTGAAATTGTTACTCGTAACTTTTGTTCTAGTTGTCAAGCGTGTCAGATCCCCCCTTTTTCAATATGACATTAGGTTTTCCCCATAGCTTTAATCTGACGCGCTGAGTAACTACCGAAATCCCTTCATGAGCTTCTCAGACTCCCTACTATTTCACAGAGTCAAAGTCAAGGCACTTATTTGAATTAATTCTTAATAAAGCACTTTTGTAACGTCAAAATTAAACTGTCCGTCAGTTTGTCTGTTAGTAAAATGCTTCCGACTGCTCGTTCCAAAGTATAGTTTCGAATGCCTGCTTGGTTGGCGCGGTGGCTGGGCAACTGGCTGCCGCGCAACGTGTCGCGGGTGCGATTCCCGCACGGAACAACTCTGTGTGATCCATAGATTGATGTTTCGGGTCTGGGTGTCTGTATGTGAAATAGTGTGGGGCAAGGTTTTACCAAAAAACAAAGATAGACAAGAACAAGCAAGAAACTCCATCCTTACTCTAACACATACATAACACACCCAGGGCACACCCAGAACCACGCAGTTAAGTATATAATATACACATCTAAATCCGACAAAAATAACAAACAACATCCAAATGTAACAAATATGTAGTTACTTTAAAAAATCCGTACCTCGAGGAGTGGACAGCTATTAAGCAATGCACATAATCAACATAGCTTCTCTATCTCTTATCAGCACATAGTCTAATGGGTACGGTTTCCTGTACACACAGCTAAGCTATGAATAACCAGTATAAATAAACCGTCGAATGTCCGGAATGATCATACAAAGCTGGACCATACTATATTGGTTTTGTATGGTTAGATATGTACAGATGTTTTGTGTCGCTATTTTATTGACATGGTCGTAAAACTAACAACGCATACAATCGTAAGTATTTCCTCGTTAAATGCATCTTTATCTCAGCATCTAATCTGTCCATTGTCTTATTATCGCGTATCTTTGAAGGAGGTTTCATTATATTTAATAAACAGTTGCTGGTGTAAGGAGGTGTGAGTGATATTTGTTGAGCGTGTGTGTGTGAATAGTTCTGCGAGATATTCGACCTTTTTTGTCAAATACTGAAACGAACATTCTATTAGTTTTTGTTCCTATATTTTACTAGCAACCCGCCCCAGCTTCGGACGGGTGTAATATGCATGTATTATTCATACAAGCCTTTTTTAAGAATCACTTTATCTATCAAGAAAAACTGCATCAAAATCTGTTGCGTAGTTTTAAAGATCTAAGCATACATAGGAACAGACAGACGGCGGATAGCGACTTTGTTTTATACTATGTAGTGATTATGTTTGGTACTTTACGGAGAAATTACGATCACCTATTATTTTTTTTTGTTGTCTCCAAATATAACTGGTCCTAGTGTTGGGATTATAAATGCACACAGAGCAGAAGAAAACCCAAGTATGAGGTAACGTTATTAAAAAAGAAAGTAAAGAGAACTTACCTATAGAACACATTATTGATTTGTTTCCGTATATACGCCCGTAGAACTAAGAACTTGCCGTATATCCTGTGTAGAGTTGTCTTTAAGAAGTCTCGCTCTCTTGGATCCTCAGAGTCAAATAGTTCTAGTAACTGTGGACAAGGAAATTAAGAGTTTAGTTTATTGGTAACTAGCGACCCGCCGCGGCTTCGCACGGGTGCAATATGCGAGTCTTATACATGATTACCTAATTAGTTTGTTTTTAAGTATCTAAATAATAGCATTTATATAAGATTAACAGTATAACTTAATGACGTAAGCTGTGGTGTTATATATGTACACTTTCAAAATAAATAAATAAATAAACATTCCTTAAGAATTACTCTATCTATTAAAAAAAACCGCATCAAAATCCGTTGCGTAGTTTTAAAGATTTAAGCATACATAGGGAAAGACAGACGGCGGATAGCGACTTGTTTTATACTATGTAGTGACATAAAGGTTTTAATATGACTGGATGGAAGATTTGACAAGAGTAGTCTATCTAATACGTAAGATCTTGGCCTTAACCTCAACATCATCAACAGTGATAGCCTGTGATAGCCCCCTTTTATACTATAAAAGGGTTTTACCATGATATCACGCTTTTGAGGGGGGAAAATCATCCAATGACTTCTGCACCCCGGATGAGGTGAGAGGGAGTGTCAGACTCTTACTGACTAAATATCACCCCGCCTTCTATTGTACTTGGAACAGGAGCCACGGTAACCCTTTAAGCCTACGCTTAGCAGGCCAGTTGCAGATCGCAGTTTAAGAGATTCAGGAGTGTAGACTTTTTTTTTAATGGGGGAAAATCATCGAATGACTGCTCCCGCCTGGGTGAGACTGGAGGGAGTGTCAGACTCTTACTGATTAAAAACCACCCCGTTTCTTCTCCTGCATGTCGAGTCGGAGCCCCGGTAACCTGTTAGGTTCTCTGCGACAGGAGTGTAGACTTAGAGTAGCCAGAATAATACAGATGCAAGTACATACTTTACGACATGATGCATTCCTAATTCTAGTCTTATAATGGAGACATTTTAGTTACCACAACACATCAATAGCCTATAAGTGGCCACTACTGACTAAAGGCCTCTTTTCACACGGAGGAGGTTGGAGCATTTATCACCACGCTTGCTCAATGCGGATTGGCGATTACAAGTCTAGGTTTCCTCACGATGTTTTCATTCACCGTATGCCAGTGGTGTCTAAATAATCTTAGAAAGTACATATAACTCGGAAAGTCATATTGGCACTTGCCGTTGGTAGGTCACGAACCCCATAGCCATCAAAAACTCAGTAAATATAGAAAGAAACTTTTCCACAAAAATTACAAGAACATTTTTTACAGAAGAATGTAAAACACCTATTGGTATTTGATACCATTAACAAAGAGGCTCAAGTTTTACAAGGGCGAAACTAAACTTGTTAGACTTCAAAAACAATATTTTTTCACAAATAGGTACACAAATTTCTTTGAGCTAACCTTCCTTGTTTATTGACCTCCTTTTAGGAGATCAAAGAACGAAGTTTGGATTCATGTGATCCTGGCGTTCAGTGATTATAAAAGAAATTAACCGTTATTATTTACATACAATCTACCTCGTTGGCCAAGTGGTCGCAAGTGCGACTGCTGGGCAAGGGGTCTCGGGTTCGATACCCGGGTCTGGCAAAATATTGCTGAGTTTTTCCAAAATTTCTCAGTGGTAGAACGGAATCTGAAATTATGTCCAGTATATGGCAATAGGGTCACCTCCTATTACCTGGGACTTATAACCTAAATAGTGAAAAGTGGGTGTTACATTGTACAGTAGCATAATGTACACCTCAGCCCATTCCTTCGGGGATAAAAGGCGTAATGTAATGGTATTAAGTGCCGTAATTTGCATCTCTGCTTTCCTCTTCGGGGATAAAATGAGTGATGTTATGTTATTTACAAACAATAGATAAACAAATTAGCTACGGAATGGACGTCCTATTTAATTAATCTTGATCGATAATCAATGACAATTTAGTGAGTAACTTAATACATAAATAATGTAACAATTTATTAAAATTAAAAACCACATTTTGTGCATCAAGATCAAAATAAACAATTAACCTGGATCTATCCAACTACATTTAGTTCTATATGCCGGAATATTGAAACGTTATTCAATTTTAGGTCGTACTCAAATATCGTGCCATCTCTGTCGTTTTACAAAGAATTTGTAGAGACAGAACTATACTGAAGCACGACTAAAAATTGAGTAGCGTTTCAGTATTCCGACAATAGTCATTTTCCCTTTAATTTATCCTTGGATACAATCATGGTTATTACCTAGTTATGATTATAAAGAGCAGTATACAACTTTCAATGTCAAATAGACATTTATTTTCTTCAGATTATTGTATGATAGCAAATCTATTATTATTATATCCATATTTAATTGTGGGAGAGCCATGCTTCGGCACGAATGGGCCGGCTCGGACGGAGTGATACCACAACCGAGCAGAAAACCGCTGTGAAGCAACCCTTGCGTTGTGTTCCGTCTTGTGAGTAAAGTTAGAGAAGACCAAACTATACCCCCTTCCCAATCTCTTAAATACAATCTCCAACAATCCTCAACTTCCTAATCCCCAAAAGGCCAGTAACACATTTGTAACGCCTCTGGTGTTGCGGGTGTCTATGGGCGACGCCGATTGCTTACCATCAGGTGATCCGTCTGCTCGATTACCGGCTAATCTCATAAAAAAATCCATGCTAGTATTCTGTGAGACAAAAATTCTTATTGCTTGTTATCACATACATGTCTCCACGAGTTAGAATTAATATTAATTAACACTTCTATAACTAACCACAAATTCTTACATAAACGTGTAATTTAGCAAGAAATTGTTCTAAGAAATTCATAGCAGTATTCACTTGAAAATAGCCTGTATTAACAGAAACACAAAGTTTAACTTACTTGTAAAACAAACTTCTGGTCGATATACTTCTTGGCGATGTTGGGCTGGAAGTCGGGCGACTCTAGTAGCCTTAGGAACAGTTCGTAGACTAGTTGTAGGTGAGGCCAGGCCGCTTCTAACGTCGGCTCGTCTTCTTCAGGATCGAACTCCGCACCATTGGGGTTCGACGACGGCGGTAGTGTCCGGAATAAGTTTATCGCGAACTACGGATAGAACAATCTTCGTTAGTGGCAATACAAATGTGAGGTTTAGAAGGATCATGTTGCAGAAGAACTTCATGATGCTAACTTGAATAAGTATGCAGATAGGCAGTCTTCTGTTTTAATACTATGTGGTTTCTCTACCAGTCTACCTTTATTAAAAGAAAAACTATAACAGATAGGTTCATTGAACTTCAATGATCACGCAGACATCACATGATAAGTTCATCTTGAATGAAACTACATTTAGAACTAAACTTAAAAGAAATCGAGTGTCCTTATGAACACTACTAGCTGAGCCCGCGACTTCGTCCGCGTGGAATAGTGATTCATAGCTCCTCCCCCTTCGTTAAATAACTTGAAAAGACAATTCAATTTTGACGATCCAACACCTATAAGTACTATGGCTTGTTTCAATCGCAGCATGGTCATATAGAAATTATGTACGTTATGTAGTTTTATTGTGGACTTTGCGCCCAAGGAAACTAAGCCCTATTTTCTTTGTTAGTACATAGAACAGATGTTTTCAATCTTTTCATAGCACTCGCATACATTTCACGCTTATACAAGACTATTGTTAAAATTTTGTTTGTTAATGAACATAAATATAAAATATATTGAAGTAGGTAGTACATGCTCATTATTTTTATCCTCAATATTAAAATTAACACATTGAACGCCATGGGGGACCGACTTTAACGGAGGATTTGCCTTCAACAGTTTTCTATTGGCAGTCAAAAACTTAAAATCTATTGCGATCGCTTATTCCGTTCTGACTCTCATAGATTGGAAATTAGTACATCAGCTTATCGATTATGAGTTCAAAAAACTAGGTCAATGTCAGATGATAATTCTAATCACCACTAGGTACGTAAAGAAAGGTAATCAAAATATAATATACACAGATAATAAAGAATAGTTTTATACCTTCAATTCTTAGATACCTATTAAAAAAAATTAGTCATCATAATACATTTCAGACGATGAAATATTTATTCTATGTTGAAATAGTTTTAAACTTATGCAGTAAAGTGCACTTGAGACGCCAAGATGAAAAAACTATTGAAACCAAAAAAGACTTCAAATAAAATTGTAACTGATTTTCGAATACGAGATATAAAAAAATCCAATCAGACCACTCCCAACGAATCGAACACTGTGTTAGCAAACATTCAGTTAATTTCTAATAAAGACTATAACTTCTGCCAGTGGTTTTGCACGCAAGGACACAGTCAAAAATTATCCAACTGGGTCGCATTATCCTAAAGACATACATACATAACTTCACGCCTGTCTCCCATGGTAGGCAGAGACGCCAATTACTACGCCAATTACTACGATTCCTACATACCTCTTTCGCTTCATCAACAGTCATCAATCTTTTCATGCATGCTCGTCGGTTAAGGGTACTTTTAATTTGGCCTTTCTTTAATATATCGCCAATCTGGTCACTATATACTTCTTTCGTTACTCTACTTTCATCCATCCTTTCTACATGATCAAACCTAAAGACCCATATATTATTGCAGATTTAGGCATTTTTAGATCTATTCAGCAGTCCAATCGTGATAGAGGAACAAACATGCGTCTATCCATCTTCACATATTATTATCAGTAATATGTACTGGTACTTCGGAAAGAAAATAAATACTCTGCCATATCCGAGACATCTTTATTGAGTATTCATAAACAATTTGTCTGTAAGCGATGAAATCCCATTCAATGCTCGCGCCATTGTCTCGTCAGTATTCAATTGGACATATAAATTAAACTGATATAGAGATATACGTATGTTAATGTACGTGCCCACTAGAATTCTATAGCATGTGTCAGTGGTAGAGAAAAACAGTAAGTTTGGATCAATGAGGTATCCTGGACCAATTTTTAGTTAGTATTTAGGAGCAAAGTAACATAACATCATGAGTCCCATGTAATAGGGGGTAAACCTATAAGATAGGACCAAAGTTTTGACTGCGATTTAGGTTTAGTGATGAATATTGACGTGTTAACTAGTAAACTGGTGACTAAATGATTGACATAAAAAGCAAAATCAGATCTTAGTCGAGAGCCAACATTTAGCGGGATCTTGGGACTCTTGGCTTAAAGAGATAGTAAGAGGGCATGCAAAACGAATTATCGTTATATACAACAAACACTAACTCTATTTATAATAATGTCTCTCTACACATCGATTTTAATCCAATAGAAAACTAGACAGATGTTAGTGAAAGCTCATAAATATTCCACTAAGTAAAACCTTGGCCTTCCAAATGTTCAAGGGCCTTCAGTAATAATAAATGACTGTGAGTTCCACTTCACGTCCTTACGTGGACTTGAATCGCCCTTGACCTATCAGTAGTTTGGAGAGTGGAGAACAAAATTACTTTCAGTAAGTAGGTAACTCCAAAATATTAACCTGTCGTGTGCCGGAATGCAGATCCACGCGTGAAAATGTATTTTCTATTGTATTTTATGTACCGGCAACCAAGAGGTTAAGCAGTAACAGTAAATAGTCTCGTTGTTCTAACTAAGCAGCCAGTATACTCCCACATGCCAAACTCTACTCCAGGGTTATTACGGAAGCGGATTGACGTGGCTCTGGCTCAAAGCAGGCATAGGAACAGGGTTTTTAGTCAGTAAGACTCTGACACTGTCTTACCCACAGCGAGAGAAGTCTTTAGACGATTCATTTTCAAAATAGGGTTACAATGGAAAAACCAGAAAACAAACACTTTTTCGAATCTAAAAACCTCAATACTGCAATCACGTTAGACCATTCACCGCAAAAACACAAAAGTAGAAGATAATAAAACCTTCCAATTCTACATTGAACAACCGCACCCTAAAAACTTCCGTAAACAATTCCCTTTGTCGAATGCACTTAAGCGAGAAAATCTTCGGATACTTTCCAAACAAAAATGTAGGGTAGTTAAAAAAAGAAAAAAGTCAAATTAATGTGGGTATTTTGAAGCCCGGACGTTTGCGGGGTCTTCGAAAACAATCCGAGTTTCATGAAGCGAGGCTCCCGGACTTTCAATGTTCATTGTGCCAGTTACTTATACAAAAATTGAGGACCTTCCCTTCATTTTGTTTTGAGAATATAAAAAAGTACGTTAATAAGAGATCAATGATTTACTTTCTTTATTTTGTTTAGGACACATTGTTATTTTGTTTTTTCTTAATTTACAAAGATTAGCTGCGGTAGTATCCGACAGTCCTATTAAAAAAATGAAAACTTGGAAAAATGTTAAGAGTTATGAAAATTTATGGAGATTCAATTTCGTTCGACTCGATAACCATACGAATTTTTCACTTTATGCTTTAGACTACCACTAAAATACAATCAATACTCCATATATTATACAAATTAACCATCTTAAAGCTCCTTACCGCAGTAAAAAAGAATCTAAAAAATTCTAAAGCAAGATATATCCTTGCTCGGTCGTTAAGATTAAAAATATTCATCACAAGATACCCCTAGAATGTCTAGAGCGGCTTATCTGTTCTACAGGGGAGCCAATCTTGGATGTGCAAGCCAAGGAGCTGTCGTAAGCTTATCTGTTTCAAAGGCGTTACTGGCATTGTGAGACGTTCAGTTCATCACGACGTTGAGGACTGATTGAAAATTGTGATTCTGTTTTAAACTGGATAGTAGGTTTTTCTGTTGCTTGAAGGATAATGTTCGTTAATATTAGAAGAAACTTATCTGTGACAATTTTGGGGATCAGAAACTATACCAATTTTAACCAAATTCTAAATCCTCGATAATATTATTTTTAACTTTTGAGTCTGATTCAGATTTTCCTTCACTCTGACCTCTGGGACAATCGTATAACCTCATAATGCTTTGTTCTACTCGGGAGGTGGGACAGAAAACTCCTTGCTTTTACAGTGACTTAATTGAATAGTCCTATTAATTAAAAACAGGGATGACACTCATCTTCCGATAACCTAAGAGTAACAGAAACTTCATCTCATCAAAACGTAAAAAATGAAGAGGGAAAAATCGTACAAAGAAATAAAGCAACAAAATACCAACTACTCACCATATTAACCGCCTCAGGGTATATAGGTTCAGTAATAACGCCTCTTTGCGACGTCACGTATTCAACCATTTCCAGGAGTGCTGCCCTTTTGACCTCCTTCCATTTGAGGTCGGAGAGGGGCTCGTCTGCGAAGTCGAAAAGAAGGCAGCATTGCTGCAACTTCTGAACGAACAGCTGTTCGCGCTCCGCCGCTGGTGCATCTGGTGGGAGAAGAGATATTTAGTGAAGGGGATTGTTACTGAGAAGAGTTTTAATGATACAGGTCATTGTTCATCATCACACACATCACGTTTCTTGTTGCTCAAATAACTAATTAGCTATACTTTTCACAGGGGAAAATTAACGTAACTTTTTCATAGCTACAGATAATCTATGTAGTTCCAGAGCATGACGAATGGTATTTTCACCCTATAACCCTAAAATGGAGTTCTTTATTACACTAATGCAAGCAGGTTTCTAATTATCTATTAAAGAGCAATTGAGCAAGTTGAAATAAAGACCAATGAACAACAACGGTTCTTGCGAGTTAAAGTTTTAAATGTTGCAATAAAAAATTTTAATCAAACTTCAATAATACGTAAACTTTTAAACAAGATGTATAAAACTAAAATGGTTTTCATCTCTTACTTTAACATTTATAAGAATATTCTATATTACTGGCTGACACGGAGAACTTTGGACCGTCCGCGTCAGTTCACACTTTCAGATATAGCATTATTACATTAAAAATACGTAAACGTTTGGTATTGAAACAACCAAGCTAAAGAAGACTTATAAGGATTCTACTTTTCAATTCAGTTACATTTGAATTTTGAAACTTCCAGCTGCTTCAATTCACAACACATTACCCACAAAATTAAACTTTGAAACACGTAACAACAACTGTCAAACTAGTTTCCAAGTTTTCGGGTACAAGTAAATTAATATTGAAGGGGAAATTACAGTGGTCTGCGTTTGCCTCCTCAATTGTGAAAGGGGGAATTAAGATACAAATCTCGAAAAGGAAGCTAGAACATAAGTAATATGTCAAATTCAACCATTAGCCGTTGATATTTGGTTAATGATTCTTCTGTACAAGCAAATGCCACTGAAAACGACTTTAAATTTGAAGCAGAATTGCGTTAACTTAATGAGGGACTTTAAGAAGATTGGTAAGTACTAGCATCATCAAAGACAATGACCCTTGGATTAAAACAAAACAGCTAAGACACGCACAAAACGAGGGCTTTCTCCACTTGAGGGCCAGAGTAAAGTATTCCAAGATTTACGACTCAATATTCAAGCAAAAAAGAACAATAGTTTCAGTAAAGAGAAGGTTTTGCCAACAATTCAGTGCTTCTTTTCGTAATAAATTTGTCACCCGCACCAGACACCCTTGCAAGGGGACCGCTGAGTAATGTCCCAAATGCGTGCCCTAAAGAAACAAAAGGGGACATTTAAATAGCTGAAGAAACTCGAAAGCTCCTTGCTTGTACACGGTTCAAGAAAAATCGTAAGAAATGCCTCGATTTTTTCCTTCCATCACCCAATTTCGTGAAAGTGTAAAAGCCTCAAATTAGGGGCCGGGATCTCAGTAATGGCTGTGAGGTTTTCGCGTTTTATATAAAAGTAAAGTCGTCATAGTACAATAAGGAAGGATAAAATTTAATTATTTAGAAAGCTAGTCTACGGTAGTAAAAATAATATATTATCTCCATGATTGGGTCGATCTGCGACACGAGTCAATAGTAAGGTCACGTGGATGTTTTTCTATTGAAGTGTTTACAAGTTGTTGTCATATAGAAGCATTCGCGTTCTGATTAATAGCTATGGAGCACGGTAGGGTTTGTAGCAGTTTCCTACTGTTAGATAGGATCCGATAACTTGTCTAATTCAATTACCATCACATCTCCCGAGAAATTGTGATATCAATTTAAATTTTGCTTCACTATACCAACGCTAGTTGGAAAGTGCGGCTTATCAGATGTGTAATTGGAATGTATAGTTAAATGTTCTCAAGGCTTCTGTGATATCAGCATGAGATCATGTACCTATGTCAACAGAACTAAGTTGTTTAGTCTTAATTTACAACATATCTTCAACCGCACCATCATTATGCTTCGTTTTATGAATTATATGCTAGAGACATTTTCAGCCATGCGTTCCTAATATAACTTATAAACAAATATCTTTGCAAATGTTCAAAGCAACGTTCAACAATGTTCCTACAAAATGATATGAACAAAATGTTCTATGATTCTGTTGATGAGTACAAACAGCTCACTGGAATAGGCAAATGACCTCGTCGCGCTAATTTTGCTCATTAGCGAAACAAAAAGGTCGGTTTATAGCAGTTTCAGAAGCTGTCCCTGTGTTGTGGTCAATAATATCGCGTTGCATGAGTTGTCACTGGTACTGCGGTGCAGGGCGCAAGGACGTCGCAATACATTTCCCATGGCATACATACAGCACGGGGCCGGCCGCTGGCCGCCGATGGGTCGATATATTTCTGCGGCGTTTTCGCCATTTCCTCTACGTCTATAGTATATATGTACGCACGTCATATAGCCAATAACTAGTTTCAGTGATTCAGCCGCATTGTTTCGGGTCGGTGAGTCCGATTAGTCTCTTCAAGGCTGACAGTGATGAGGTGTGGGCGACTACTGGTATCGATACTATAGTTTAGGTATCTGCGACGCACGTGAACGTGATAGTTGTATTGGAATACGTCTTCTTCGACGCAGTTTGTTTAGGTTTACGTTCAATTCAATAACTATAAACCACAAATAGACGCGGCTATTTCGCACGCGGATGCCGAAACTTTGCAAACACTAGAGGTTTGTAAACATATTAAGAATCTTCTGGTTTCACCGCGTTTGATGTCTGTTATCTGCAAAGGCAACACGAGGGCATTGTTGATGTTACCGACGAACCTTTCAGCGGGGGGAGCTGCACCATCAAACTTTCCTTATCGGCATTTGGTATCGGCGTGGGGCGCTCGGGCGAGACAGCGGCCGCGGCGGGGGGCGGCGGGCTGCGCGCGTCAGGCGGCGAGGGCGCCTTCTGCTGCGGGCCCTGGCCCTCCATGCCGGAGCCGGCGAAGAGCGCGAACCGGAAAGCCCGCGCGACGTCCGACACGCTCTCGGAGCGCTTGGTGGCCGCTTGGTTGGCGACGAGATCCAAGCCCGAGTGGAACGACGGAGACTTTGGAATTCCGAGCGGCGAGACGGCGCGACGCGGTTTGCTCTCAGCGGCGGCGAACATCGCGCGAGAGGGCGCGCGCGCGGCCGGCCCGGCGTGGACCATCGCAGGCGGCGGCCGGCAGCGGCATCCGAGCGGAGGCCCGGCAGCGCCGGGACCGGTGCGAGCTGCGGGGGCGGCCGGACTGCCACGCGCCGGTCTCTGCCGCGGACAAGTACTGGCGACGCCGCACGTGCGCGCGCACTCCCGCCGCACCCCGCTCGCGCCCCAGCCGCTCTATACAACCTCAACTAGGGTTGTCAACTCACTATATACTCCATTTACATAATGGCAACATGGATTGTTACTGCAATACAATAACTCCTACACACGAGAGTGCGTCTCAATAGTTGATTGCGTCTGAGTCTCGAGCACTCTCGTAATGGAGTAACGTTAGTTACCGCAAGCGACACTGAGAGCACAGAGTAGTAATGACGCAGACGCTTATTACATTGTACCAGCCCTATAGATATTACGACGATTTCACAAGTCGAAGAGGTCGGGGGTCGCGATCGCGTCACTTCATGAGGAACAGTAAACAAATGTACTGTTACGCGATAACCAAATGCGTAAGATTATAAACACTGCCTACTGATACACAAAATGTGGTAAGTAAACATTAATCAGCTGTGAGGTCGTTATCTTCGTCGATAAACGTTTCAACAGTTTGCTAATTAGAAGAAAATATTAGGATAAGGACCATGAAAAAATTGCGCCAATATTTGATAACCCAGCGAACGGTTTGGCGGCTAAATTGCAAATTGCTAGTAACGACCGAACAGCCGGCAACGTTTTTCTGGGAAAGTGGAAAAATAACAAGGGGTTCGCAAGGGTAAGTTTGTTTGGGTGTACCGCGGTGGGGTACGGTCGTTCTGGCTGGGGGTGGCATCCTTGTGCCAGACTGGTGCGCTCTCCCCTGCACCATCGATCGTTTAATTGACTTTAATTTGTCTGACTCACTTCCTAGATTGTTATCAAGAAAGTGGTTTGTTATATTAAAAACCAGATTCAGTTAAATTGGTACCGTGATGAACTCTGTGGCTTCATTTATAAGGACATCTGGTTTAAACCACTATCACTTTTAAAGGAAAATAGTCTTACTGTTTTATGTGATAACGATTATATTTACCCAACGGGTAGTTAATTTAAAATTTAAGCAGCTATTTAAATCTAGACCTTAAACACCCGAGCTTTGCGAGAAAATGTACGTTGCTATAGGGAGTAATTTTCGTTCAATATGAAAGCTGTCACGAGCGTATCGAAATGGTATATTACATTACATTTAAAAGCTATAGTGATTAGGGAATTGAAGCTACATTATGAAAGGCTTTAACATGGTTTAAAACTCGGATGTTTTATAAAGTTTAGTCAGATCTAAAAACATAATATTTGGTTTATTTTGGTCAAGAACGTTGATGAGGTGTTCACTCATAAGTTCGAATTAAATTGAAGACTCAACGAGTCTTCAATTTAATTCGACTAGAGTAACGACTCTAGTTTAGCCATTGATCATCAATTAATTTACACCAAAAAGTAAAATGTAGTTTCTATTAAACATCCCTATTTACATTAAGCCTTATTATTTTCTGTACTTTAGCAAAACTGTAAAAGAAACAGTCTTCAGAGTAATACATTATTTTCCCTTCTCATAACTCTTTCTGAATTAGAAAATCAGTTATCTGTTCCGTTTGGGGTCTTAGAGGGGCTTAGAAACGAGGGGATGTAAGGATATGAGCAATGGCATTTATGCACCATCACGGTAGCCCACTGTGGGGTGGGGATTGTGGGGGATATAAAACGTAGTCATTATTGGTTATGCTATGAATGATCGAAGCGGTTTATATGCAAGCGCTTTATCTTTTCGTCCGGAAATGAGCTCCGGACGAAAACGTATGTCCTTTTATTACACGGAGTTATGTGTGACATGTTTTTGACAATAAATGAAATTGTTGTCAGTTTCGATTGTGACTATGTTGGACTCATTATCACTTTTTTATTTATGGATTTTAGTTCTAAATGTAGACACAACAATCTAATATTTTCACTTTATTAAATTTTAGAGTAAATGCTAAAATTACCGAAGGACCAAACTGTTTAGCTGTAGACGTAGTACAGATTCATTTTCGAATACAGTTTGAAGTAACACCTTTTATCCCCGAAGGAGTAGGCAGAGGTGCATATTACGGCACTTAATGCCACTGCACAACGTAACACCCACTTTTCACTATTCATATTGTTAGTCCCATGTAATAGGTAAATAGGGCTAAACCTATTACCATATACCATGCACAATCCAAAACTCCGTGCCGTGCTATCACTGAGATTTTTTTTAAAAACCCAATAACACTTTGCCCCTACTGGGAATCGAAACCGAGACCCCATGCCCGGCAATCGAACTTACGACCACTCAGCCAACGAGGCAGTCTGAAGTACTACGATAATATTTTAATCTTCCTTAGCTTATTGGTCCGTAAATACGTTCGTAACTTCAATTAGTCACATTAGTATTGTCGGTATGGGTTTAAGACTAAATATATTTGCGGCAGTTTCAATTTCATGTTGTTATATAACTGTGTTCCAATGGGTAAGGGAATTAAACTTCTCTATTTTACAGGAGTTTAATGTGTAGCAAATTATTCAAAATCAACGTCCAAAGGATGGCCATGCGGACAGTTAGTACGATGATATCAAAATTGGATCGAAATTGTTCAAGACCGATGATGGCATAAAATGAAGAAGGTCTACGACTCTTTTTTAAGGTGGCAAAATCATCGAGAGATTGAAAATAGTTAAGGAGGACCCACGGTGGCAACAACCCTTGACGAACAAGCCCAGAGAAGGAGGAGGAAGACAACTCATAAAACAATTGGAGACCAATTTTATCTCTAGTTTTACTTCTAGTTAGTTATGAATTAAGTCGAAATTGAGATGTCTGCTTTAAATATCAAGACCATATACCCTTTTAAGACCATTAACTTTATCTACTGTCAATAATATGATACCTAAGTACATCACGGATAACATCGTAAAACGTATTACGACACTAGGAACTACGCGAAAGACATTTTCAGCCAGCATTTATGATCTTACGCCATTTTTCAAGATGGCTGGACGTTTTTTATTGTTGTCATGGAGTATTGGGAAATGGAGTACTAATTTATGCCTATTTCAAATAGAATGTTTCCAACTGAATTGCAATAATTAGTTGGCGACACTGTAGCAAGTAATTTATTTTTAAAATTTCATATGTGAGGTTGTCTTCTATATTGATTTATTTTTTATTAGATTAAACCTCTTGCTAATATAAATGCTTTTTTAAAACACTAACAACACCTTTTCATACATTGAGAGAGTATTCTTTATCGCTCTTCATGATTGTTACCCTAAACGGAGTACATAAAATAAAAATAAAAGCTATATTTAGAGCAATGATGTGATTAAGAAGTGTGTCAAGGCTTTATCTCGATCTGTTAGTTAACGAGAAAACTGACAAACATTCAGACTCAGAGCAAATATCTGAAGGCCACTGTTATTTGTTTCCAAGTTTGCGGAAACAGAGGATGGTGGAAAATGGTGAATGGACAGGTCTTAAAAGCGGGATCTTTTGTTTGTTCCATTTTCAATTTAGTGCTTTTCAATTCTGTGTAAAGAAAGATAAAGCTGATACATTTATTCTTGGTGCAGTGCAACTAAGTCAAAATAGAATATATTTTCAGAATCAATTTATTTTTTACATTACCCTTTTTATTCTAAGTGCGACATATGCAAGAAGATTGACAACAAAGACGGCTTGCATTGTTTTGTAGTTCAACCACCAGAAAACGCCCATGACCTAACTACCAAAACAAGCCGCGGAGAACCTAACGTGTTACCAGGACTCGGCTTGGTTTTTAGTTAGTAAGAGTCTGACACTCCCTTCCGCCTTACCCAGGCGGGAAAAGGTATTCGATGACTTCCTCCCCTTAAAAAAAAACTACCAAAACAAAATCCACTTCAAAAAAGGTCTACCAGAATAATTAAACTGGTTAACGACCATCATAGTATACAATACATGTCCTAACACTAACGGCTTAAAAGCCCTGTTTACCTATCTAAATCCTACAAGGTCAGTCTTATTAAGATAAAAGGCAAGATTAGTATGTCGCTGATCAAATTAGCGAGATTAGCTGTACAGTGCACAGTGCCGATGACCTGGACTCTAATTGATGGTCTTAATTAGCTATCGCTCGTCCTTTTCAGCATGGGCACACTTCAAAGTGATAGGACACACAATATACGTGTGTAATTCGAACCTGTGGAGGGTTGACCGTGGGTTTTAATATAAATGGAGTGATCACGATTAACGGGAAATAATTTTGGTGAACACTGATTTTACGATTATTGTACGGTTTTGTATTAATTTAGTCGTGAATTTATTTTTATGACACGTAAGTTCTATCATTTCTATTAGGTTTGTACAATTTTATAAATTGGCGTAGCGATGAAAAAGTATTAGAATAGGTAGCTATTAACTATATTTATTAAAACAATTGCATCTTAGTTGATATCAATAGCCCTTAAACATTGTTTAAGTAGAGTAGGTATCTAGGTAATTCACTAAGGGACACCACTGAGGAAGATTTCCAAACCAAAAAAAAAAGGTAAACATGATCACTCTATTTATTCCTTCATCCGTGTCCAACCTTATCTGAAGGTACGTAGGTATACACACATCGTATCATCGGAACCCATGTATGGCGATGTCGCCGGGTGATATATTAGCAGTTATATGCGATAGACCTCGAACCTCGAGCACTCATCTTCAATAAGAACAGGAAATGTTTAATGGAATTAATTAGAACTGATTTCAGGGACGTCGTGTCCTTTCACGCGATACGCAATTAATACACAATCTTAGAAATGTCTTAACAATAGAGCATAAATTATTACAACCAAAGTCGTGCGATTTTTCCGATAAATAACATGAATTGATGTAATTTTAATCTTTATAGTTAGAAATAAGGACTTTTCTGCAACAATTTTCTTCAGTCCGGGGTCGATGCAAAAAATAAGTTGCGTAAAACCTA